TATTATTTCATAAGCATTTAATATATTTTTGATAGGTCTCTTGGGCGGGGGAACTGAATATTTGTATTTTATTGTATCAAACACAGATTCTACATTTGTCTATCAAAGTTCATCTATGTAGCCCAAGACTTGACCTCCCACCTATACAGAGAGGGAGGGCACCTAAAATGTACAGAAACCAAACAAAATTTATATCTGTCTTATAATCAAATTGATGTTAGTATATTTCCTTTAATGTCAAACCTGTTTAGTTATGTACACTTAAAATACTTACATATGATGTATGAGATTCCATATTATAACATCTTTTGTACATGTATATAATTTACATGTGAAGGAACACTTATTAGACCTGAAAATTCTTGGCTTGATACGTACATGGTGAGGTTTTTTGTTTTTTTTAAATAATAAAATTTCATATGCCAGACATGCTGTAAAATAGTCATCTATTTATTAAACATTTATGTCAGTGAGGATTTGTTATATGTTTTGAAGAATTCACATAGTTCTCAAAGTTTTGTGGTACTATTGTATTTAAACCACTGAGCTGCAGTTGTTGTTGGTGGCCTTTGACCCTGAGGTTATTGTCTGTCCAGTTGTCTTCTGAATTACAGGTAAAACTATTGCACCGGTTGGCTGTACCGTAAATTGTGACAGGTGCATTATTACTTTTTCAAAAACACCTAATACTGTTATATTTCTCAAGCATTATTTCACTGTGACAAAAGTCGAGGTGTAACCCTGATGAACTTTGACTTATATTCTCATTAATGGAATTTATCTTAGAATATTATTTATTCAGGTACATAACAGTACCCATGACATTACTTTACTTATACCAAGCAGGTTTGACTCTAACTTGTTGAAGATATGATTTTCATCCTGATATATTTAATTTTAAAGTTTTTACTTTGATATTAGTATGTTAGTACACATAACACAAACAGTAAACATTAAAACAAGACTCCCAGAAATTCCTAAACCCTTGCGCCCAAACAATTTTTAAGCTACTAACAATATGCTGTCTTAAAATACAGATGTGATGTCACCCTTTGATGTTGGCGTACCATTATTTCAAATAATCGTACGGTCAACTTGCCAATCGTACATTATTTATACTAGTGAAATATTGGACTCGCGTGACGTATTTCATTGTAAAAGCACGTGTAGAGTGTCTGTATTTTAAGTTTTTTAATGGTGTCGAGCTTAAGACATTAAGTAATATATTAAAACAACACTCGGGCCTCGTGCTGTTTCAATATATTACTTAATGTCTCGCATACATAATCACAGCTATGTGTGTATTTGGTACAAGTAACTTGCAGCCAATGGTTTGGGATTGTGACTGCTGATCTTTGGCAAATTGCGATGTGCACTCAAGTGATTTTGTTTGCAATATGGGTACAATTAAAAATTGCTTACAAATGAGAGAGAGAAGAGAGAGAGAGTTAGTTTAACCTCCACTGGACACAATCTAGGTCACTTTGGGACTAACATATTTTTATTTCAATAATTTGCTTGTGCGTAGGGGGTCTTTAGCAGTAGGAGGACCCGGAGAAAACCCATGAGGTTGGACAGACAACCCTACTTCTTGTCACGTACAGCCAGGGAATCAAAACCAAGCCAGTTGACTCAATGACAGACCTTATGATACAGCGCGCACATGCCAACCATTTGGCCATCCAAACCCTCGCATGTGGGATCTAGGTTTAAGAGACTTGAATAATGGATTAAACAAAGAAATGCTAATCTGATTAAGATGAAATGATTTGATTGAAATAAGGTCTGTCAAAAGATTGTTGTGTTTGTGGATATTTCAAGTTCAGCCTTTTTTCTCAAGTAAGACATAAAATGTTCAGTAGACAATGTTTTACTTGTACATTTTAATATGAAAATGAAATATTTAGTTAAAGATACATTATGGGAGATTCGATAACGAGTTGGCAGTAAAGGCAATTTGCTGAAAATTTCATTCAAATTGATCCATTATGAACCGAGAACTAAGCGGTTGAAATTTCCGGCTAGCCTTGATCATCTTTACTACTAAAGTCAGTACGATAAACAACATAGTCTCGATTATCCATTTAATCTTTAAATCGTGAAGGAAAGTTATGCAGTAAATCGGCTCATAATCCACTAAAGTACGCAGGCTAGCGATGCCATCTAGAGTTGATTATGGTCTGGATAGGTTAATTAATGTCTAATTAATAGTTTAGATAACATTTCAGGCCTGAAGAAAGACCTGCAATAGGCAGATTTAGCTCTTGCATTGCATGTTTAAGTGTATTACATGATTCATAAATTCTAACTAGAATTTGTTAATATCTTCATGTAAAACGTAATATCCAAAAGGGGATAGATTACAGTATTACCGGTAATGTATTACTGGCTTTGAGAATACAGGCATTGAATAAATAGGTTTCAGGCATGCTGTGGCAGAATCACAAAGTCCTGAGGTCCCTTTTCCAAATTTAAATAATTGATTATTTGTGTATACTATTTTATGTATACCAGCAAATTCAGACTTTTGTATGTGTACAAGTTGAATATGGATTTTATAGTTTTTTTTATCTAATATCTACCTAAATATTTCCCATTTTAGTAAAGCAGCTGGTTTAATTTAATAAACTTCATATTAATTCTTTTAGAATAAATATCCTTTGACTTTAAACTTTAAAGTATCTGAATGAACATTATAGAATAGATTAAAATTAATTATGACAGCATATATTTTTAATTCATAACCATCATTACTCAAGTATTTCTTTGTAATCTTTGTATACTTGACTTATTGCAAGTGTCACCACGGTATGTCCAGACCCTACAATTCCCTTTCTATGGTTGAGTTAATTATGGGTTACCTTAACATTAATATGACATACATGTATTAGAGCATAGTCCTCTTAACTAGTAGTCTAATAAGAATGAGACTGAATGGAATAATGTGTCCTAATGGTAATATTTTAATACATGTATATAATTAATATTATAAGCCTATTTTCTATGCCTATAATCTTCTTTGTATTCTTTTAATCTGTGTCTAAATTGTTGTTATACGCCCACATTTTCATGTGGACGTATATTGTCGTCGCCCCTGTCAGTCTGTCTGGACGTCCGTCCGTCCACAATTGTTTGTGAACAGTCTACAGGTCACAATTTTTATCCGATTTCAATGAAACTTGAAATATAGGTTTATCACCCTAAGATCTCGGTTCCTTTCGATACTGGCATGTATCGGACTGTAACTTCATGGATTATGGCCCCTGATTGTACGAAAAATCACGTTTTTAGCTTGTGAACACTGTAGAGGTCACAATTTTTATCCGATTTTGTTGAAACTTGAAATGTTTGCTTATAACCCAAAGATCTCAGTTCCTTTCGATATTCGTGCATATCGGAACGTAACTTCCTGAATTATGGCCCCTGATTGTACTAAAAATCACGTTTTTTGGCTTGTGGACCCTATAGAGGTCATAATTTTTATCCGAATTAAAAAAACATGTTATTATGTCACCCTTACTTCCTAAGGACAGCTGAGTTCGAATTTCGTGAAAATCGGCCCAAAACTGACAGACAAAATGGCCGCCCTTCGTTCTCAAATAGCGTAAAAATATGGTATATCAAGGTTGTGGACCCTATAGAGGTCACAATTTTTATCCGATTTTGTTGAAACTTGAAATGTATGTTTATAACCCAAAGATCCCGGTTCCTTTCGATATTCGCGCATATCTGACCATAACTTCCTGAATTATGGCCCCTGATTGCACGAAAAATTGCGTTTTTAGCTTGTGGACCCTATAGAGGTCATAATGTTTATGAGATTTTAAAAAATGTATTATATCACCGTGGCACCCTAAGGATGACTGAGTTCGAATTTCGTGAAAATCAGCCCAAAACTGACAGACAAAATGGCCGCCCTTCGTTCTCAAATAGCGTAAAAATATGGTATATCAAGGTTGTGGACCCAATAGAGGTCATAATTTTTATCTGATTTTGTTGAAACTTGAAATGTAAGTTTATAACCCAAAGATCTCGGTTCCTTTCGATATTTGCGCATATCGAATTGTAATTTTCTGAATTATGGCCCTTGATTGTAGGAAAAATCACTTTCTTTTTAGCTTGTTCTCTATCCATCTCTCGAAAATGTGGGCGTATCCTGCCTGGCAGCCGCTGGTGTTTATGTTAATTGTAATATAGATATCTAGTGGTTACATCTTCGTCGATATAAATATGGAGATGGACCCATGAAGGAGTCAAGTTACATGTAGGTAGGAGACACAGGTAACAGGCTACATTTAACTTGGGCCAACTCTTAAAATTATACCTCTTAGTTGTGCATAATTCTGTATAGTTATAATTTAGTTCTGTGTAATATCTGTTATAATTGTTATTACTGTATCTACATAAAGTTCTACAACTAACTGAATCAAGTGTTATGATCTATGATGAATAGCCAACAGTACTAAGAACCAAGCTGGTTACACAAGGTTCAAATCTCCGAAAAAGAATTTTTCGTTGAATTTAAGTGCTTTGGTTGGATAGTTATGAAGTCTTGTTTTGTATAAATATTAAATTTCTACCCTAGAGTTGTGTCACTGGATGTTTTGTTATTTAAATTTTTAGAAAACTTTTTAGGATCTTCCTTATTGTCAAAGGAACAATCAAATGAATCTGACAAGATCTGTTGAGAGCAGAAGGTTCACAACAAGCTAATGAAGATGAGCGTTTGCCATACTGTAGTGTTTGTATTAGGAAAATTCAATCTGGACAGCAGCGTTTCCATCATCTCTTCATAGAATTCCATTTACCAATAGTACTTTTTTGTGCACGCCAACGTGGGATCGATCACTGGTACTCATGGTTAGTGAGTCAGCGCCTTATGCACTGAGCCATCATGGCCCCAACATATGTAAGTGTAAGAGATGTAGAGATCTGTGTATAATACGCTCTAGTCCATCATACTGTATACATGAACAATATCAATTTATTTTATTTTTTAGAAATTTCAAGAAAAATGAAGAGAGAGTGGAAGATGATGAGCATAATGGAACCACAAAAGAGAATGCATTGAAATCCCAACAAAGCATGAAGGTTTTCTACAGATGTCTTCGAATGTCTTGGAAATCATGCATGATAACTTTTGTTATGGTATTAGTTCTACTGTGGAGTGGTTTGTTATATTTAGATACGAGCCGTAAAGTAGAATCACAGTGGTACCTGAAACCAGCACCATGTAAAACACCAGCTTCTCAAATCCATGACATGGTGGAATTAACGTTTCTTCTTCACAACATTTTAGATAAATTACACGTGCCACATGTTCTGTGTTTTGGTACACTTTGGGGTGCATTAAGAAATAATGAAATATTGCCGTGGGATAACAATGTGGATATCTGTGCCCATAGTAAAGATTTTAGTCATGCTACCAGTAGTGATATGATCGATTCCCTAAAAGACCATGGGGCAGTGGCAGTGTATAATTCTCGTTATGGGTACTTTGAAATCAAATATAAGCAGGCTTTAGGCTACATCAATCTTTTGGCTGAACAAATTAGTTTTGGAGATTCGCCGATGATGTATCAGATCGGATGGGGAAGATGGTCTTTGTTCAGTAAAGTTAAAGAGTTTCTCATTCCAAGCAGATTTATGGAGTCTCCTTTTAAAACCACCAATTTTTATGGCAAACAGATACCGGTTCCTCATGAAGATATAGAAATTTTGAAATATTTATATCCTAATGATTGGTGGCTTGAGATAAAACCACCTGGTTGTTAATTTTAGACCAATACGCAACGATTTTTGAAAAAAGTATAAGTATTTTTAATACTACGAAGTCAAGAGCATTCCAGTGAAACTGACAGAACAGTACTGTATCTTCAGTGCTTGCTTTACCAAATTAGACATCCAGTCTGTTTGGCTTTCATTTGTGAACCAAATTAATTCAATGAAACATTTTGTTGTTCATCCTCGGTATCCTCAGACAGGGTTATCGGTCTGTTCTACTCCACTAGTGGGGGATATCCAGGATGCTTGTGTTTTTAAAACAACAGATCTATGATAAGTGTACATGGAGATAGTATTACTGAACTTACTGAAGATTCAACTTCTAATTTATAAGTCGTACTGATTTTTAAGTGGCTTACAAAGAGCTTGTGAAATGTACCTTGTTTAAGTAAGTCACTGCTCAAATTTTCTAAATTATTATATGATATTATAACAATGTTTTGATCTGTACTACTATGATAATATCTCTTTAGATTTGTCTCTGTACTACTATGATAATATTTCTTTAGATTTGTCTCATACCCTACCTAAGGCTAACTAAAAATTCTAAAAATATTTTTTGGTAGATTTAAAGTTTTATCTTGCCATTCAGCTTTTTTATTATCTAGATCAAATGTGTAGTTTAGTTGTGGTGGATTGGGAGTTGGGGGAATTTTATTTTATTCTTGCTAAATAGTTGTATTTTTGATAACAATTTAAAGATGTAATATTTAAATCAAACCTCAGCCTTGTGTCTGCATTCTAGTACATGTACATGTACCAGGTCAAGGTTTGACTCTGAAGAGATTTTAGATGTGGTATTGAAATCAAATCTGACTGTATTGGTTCTAATATTCTATTTGTTTTACTAAAAGTAACCAGTGTTAAGATTTTGACCATAACCATGACGTTTTAGCAATTAAAATGATGAACTTACGATATATAATACAATAGATAGACAGTAGGCCTAATAAAGATAAGCAGAAAGGAAAAAGATCCTGAGCCAGAGTTCACAAAGCATTCCCAGACTTAAGTTAAGAATTTTCTCAACTTTGATCCAGAAACAGAAAACTTTGCACATCGTTTCTTTATGAATTTGATACATTTAAATAACAAAAGTTTTATAAAGGGGTATATTTTAGTTAAAATAAAGCAAACAATTTTGAGTAACTTCTTAACTTAACAATGCTTTGTGAACTTGGGGCCAGAAAGTTTTAGAGGGTAGGAAATAACTGAAAGCGATTCAATATTTTGGGGGTTCTTTGTTTGCCAGCCTCCATGACCATCAAAATATCTCTGGAAAATTGTCCTTTTAATTGACAAGTCTTTATACACCCACATTTTCATATGGACATATATTGTAGTCGCCCCTGTCCGTCCGTGTGTCCGGACATCTGTTCACATTTTGTTTGTGGACACAATTTTTATCTGATTTTGATGAAACTTAAAATGTATGTTATAACCCACAGATCACAGTTCTATTCGATATTGGTGCATATCGGACAGTTCTGGAAACTAAAGGGGTCACAATTTTTATCCGATTCAGATGAAACTTAAAAGTATTTTTTTATATCCCAAAGAATATGGTTCCTTTTGATATTAGCGCTTATCAGATTGTAACTTCCTGGATTATTTATGACCCCTGATTGTACAGAAATAAAGTTTTTAGCTTGTTCTCTGTCCATCTCTTGCAAAATGTGGGCGTATCTTGCATGGCAACCTCTTGTTAAAGTAGCAAAGTCTCTAACTCAAGATCATCCAAAGTTTTTGACATTGAAAACACAAATTATTTGTCAATCTAAATCAACATTGATGTTGTGATCTTACCGGGAAAAGATGGGCTTCTGATATCCGATATTTAAGACAAAATAACCATTTTACCATTGGTACACGAATCGTGTACCATAATGCGTTTCAGTGCCATTTGTAACACGGGACTCGAGAAACGAGGCTAGAGATATTCTATAAGTCATGTCAAACGGTGACGCCATTTTCTTATCTGGAGACCATGTTCAATAAATACTATCGGTGCATGCTGGAATAACCAGACCCTAGAGATTGCCATCTGCTTGAGACTTATGTCGTATTTCGCCGAACATTCTGATTTGAAACGGAAACGATTGAATTTAAAACAGTTTATATACATACATATTACATTATTATATTCGTTGCGACCCATTTGTGTCAGTTTCTAGGTCCCAAACATTAGCGATTTAGCTCCTTTAAGTAAATATTACTTTTTATACGTCCACATTGAAATGTGGACGTATATTGCCGTCGCCCCCGTCCGTCCGTCTGTCGGTCCGTCCGTCCATCGTCCACAATTTCTTGTGAACGCTCTAGCGCCAAAAGTTATCATCCAATTGTTTTAAAATTGATATATGTTGTTTACATTAGTGAGATGAAGAAGCCTATTTAATTTCAATAATTTCCGTTTATTACGTCTAGAGTTATGGCCCCTGTTTCACTTTGTTGAACTTTGTGAACGCTCTAATGCCAAAAGTTAACATACGATCTTTGTGAAATTTATATGCAATATTTAAGTTAGTGAAACAAAGAAGCCTATTGAATTTCAACAATTTCTGTTTATTACGTCTAGAGTTATGGCCCTTGTTTCACTTTATTGAAACTTGTGAACACTCTAACTGCAAAAGTTATCATCCGATCTTTCTGAAATTTATATGCATTATTTAAATTAGTGAAACAAAAAAGCCTATTGAATTTCAGCAATTTCTGTTTACTACATCTAGAGTTATGGCCCTTGTTTCACTTTACTGCACATTGTGAACGCTGTTAACGCCAAAAGTTATCACCCAATCTTTGTGAAATTTATATGCATAATTTAGATTACTGAAACGAAGAAGTCTATTGAATTTCAGCAATTTCCGTTTATTACGTCTAGAGTTATGGCCCTTGTTTCACTTTATTGTACCTTGTGAACGCTCTCACACCAAAAGTTATCATCCGATCTTTCTGAAATTTATATGCATTATTTAGATTACTGAAACAAAAAGAAGGCTATTGAATTTCACCAATTTCCGTTTATTACATCTAGAGTTATGGCCCTTGTTTCACTTTATTGATCCTTGTGAACGCTCTAACGTCAAAAGTTATCACACAATCTTTGTGAAATTTATATGCATTATTTAGATTAGTGAAACGAAGAAGCCTATTGAATTTCAGCAATTTCCATTTATTACATCTAGAGTTATGGCCCTTGTTTCACTTTATTGATTCTTGTGAACGATGTAACGCCAAAAGTTATCACCCGATCTTTGTGAAATTGATATGTATGATTTAAATTAGTGGAACGAAAAAGCCTATTGAATTTCAGCAATTTAAAATAATTACTTCTAGAGTTATGGCCCTTGTTTCACTTTATTAAACCTTGTTAATGCTCGATTGATGAAAGTTATCATCCGATATGTATGAAATTTATATGCATCATTTAAATTTATGAAACAGGTCTATTGAATTTCAGCAATTTCCGTCAATAATTTCTAGAGTTATGGCGATTGTGAACGTTTGAATGACAAAAGTGATCATGTGATCTGTATGAAATTTATATGCATTATTTAAATTAGTAAAACGGAAAAGCCTGTCAAATTTCAACAATTTCTGTAGATTACTTCCAGAGCTGAGACCCTTGTTTCAGTTTGTAGAACCTTGTAAACCCTCAAACGACAAAATTTATAATCTGATCTGTATGGAATTGTCTTGTAAAGGCCCCAATTATCTACAAAGGAATAAATAAGCGGCAACCCTTGTCGACCGCTCGGACGATTTAGCTGCTGTGTGCGTATGTTTTGTTGCCTGGCAACCTATCTTTAAAACGTGGGAATAAAACAAGACATTTGAAGTTTGTTAAAGGTTTGGGAAAAAGTAGTCCCCGTTGAAGCTATTGAATACAACCATGGGTTATTTAATGGCTGTATTCAATGGCTAAATTCAATGATATTTTCTTGTATTTGCATGCACATGTAGTTACAGAATAAATTCCCTGCTGTTGCCATTTGAAAATGGGAAATCAGTTAGCCAGTCCTTTATGTTTATGAAATCATGTGGGAGCCATAAAAAGCTCCTGCCAATTTAAAAACTGAGAAAAAAGTTCCCATGAAAAACTTTTGTTAATTATACAGCAAGAGTAATTCTACATTTTCATGGATTAAGGAGAGACAAATTGCATTTATGCTTTAGTTTATTAAACTCTATATTTAGGAGAGTGATTTAGCTAATTTTCGGGAGTCTGCGAAGGAAAGTCGAGGTGCGTCGAGAGGAGCAGGACTGAAAGAGCACCATAAGCCTGAAAGACTGGTTAGCTATAACTACTGAAGTCCAATTGAGCCAATCTGTGCCAAAACAAACCATGACACCGAACCATAACACTGGTATATGAAATACCCTATTGTTTTATTATGTGTTAAATAGGTGCTCATGTCTTATTGCAGAATTGAATATTAAAATACTACATGTAAGTTTAAAATGGACTGTTATGTGGTTGTTTTTTTTCATTCTGAAATTGGGAGTGGAAAGATAAAGTTTGTTTAGACCCTGTTAGATTGAAGCATAATGACAAATCATATCATTTTGGGGTTTTCCATTTGATAAATATGCCAATATTAGTGCCATTACAATTCCCAGACATTCCTGACAAGAAAGGAATAATTAATTCTAATTACCAGGTGCAGGTAGTAGCCACCATACCTTTTAAGATGGTTGAGTATAAGCTACTCCCACATATACATTCTGAAATGAGTTCTGTTCTTACTGAATATAAGTTGAAAAGATTTTCCTTACAGAATATGTACTGCTGTCAGATGTGGGTTTTTTCTTTAGTGTTAATTGCACACATTGAATGTCCTTGTATGACGCCCAAACGGTCAGTGCTAATAAAAAAAACCTCTTTTTCTAAAAATGCATTTATATCTCAGCTAATTATGAACTGATTGAACTCAAATGAAAATGAATTTTAGAATTTAAAAATTAAGGGCAATGAAATTTCAATAAAAGAAGCAACAAAGTGTATTTTCATATTCCTTTAAATGCCAATAATTAAAATGAAATGATCATACATACACTAGATCAATTTTACATTGTTCATCATATTTATTTAATTCATTCAAGGTTTCAGGTAATTGCTCAATTCAATATATAACTCAAAAGAAATTCTTATGCCATAACAATTTTAGTGGCTGAAGAATAATTTCTTTCCTTGTATTTCTTAAATTACTGGTAATTATTTTGTGGAGAGATTTAGTACTAAACCAGAATGAATATCTTTCTATTACTCTTATTTATTTTGTGTATTCCTGTTACCCATGCATGTTTTAAAATATCTGAAACAATTCACCGATTAGCTCATAAATATATATATTATATAAACTTTACTCATAATTAAAACTTAGGCTGATTTGATTGATCTATTTGTGCTGTTAGTATATTGTAATACTTGGTATTACCCTATTTGAATTATGTAAAATAGTAGCTTATAATGATAATTGCTATTACTTGTTTATAATTTTATAATAATTACAATTGATTATTGTTTTACTTTTAATTTCCTTTCATTTTAAGTAGACTTTTTGAATTTAAATATTTTTAATGTTCTTGTCAAAGATACTTCTTTAAGTACCTGTAGATAATGATCCTCATTATCTATGGCTAGTATAAGACTGTAATGCATTTACAATTGTTTCATAATTCTGTGTCTTAAAACAATACAAGTTTCTTTCAAATTTTCTAATTTGTTATACAGTGCAAATGTGTTACTTATATTTTATAAAAATCCATATAATGAATCTACAGAAAATCCAAATATATGTTATGTTGTTGTTCCATGTTCTTTATTATTTTGTTTTGTTAAGAAAGATATCTGTTCCTTTGAAAAATGGCTAATATCTGTTAATACATGTATGTATAAAATATTTATTTTTCTAGTTAATCACGTTTCTTTTAATACAAGTACAGTATAAACTTGTGACTCTAGGTTGTTTTTGATAGGCTGAATCCAAATCGGGTCTCATTCATTTGTATTCAAGATGTTTTGTGTTCGAGTATTTGTTCAGTCAAGAGCTATACATTATATGGTGTAGCATATTTGACCACTGAGAAAGAAGGAATATACAGATTTGTTTTAATCAAGCATGGTCTAACACAAGATTGTTAACTGTTCCATTGGCATGCTGTAAATAACAAGGGTATTGGTCATAAGTGATGTCCATTAATTAATTTGTCTGAATAACACTGAAAGTTTTGTGAATGTGGCAAATAAGCCTATAATGTTTTTTTAAAACAAGTATGATAATACTATATGGAACAGGGACTGGGCGTGATGTCATCACCACCATCTTAGAATTGAGACCTCATAGTGTGTCAAGTTTCAATCAATGCTAAATTGTCCACGGATCAAGCATGCCAAGTTTCATGTTGGTCATATTTTAAATGTAGGAGACTTGGCCTTTTTCGAAGAGCATCATCCACATGTAGAATAACAAGATGTGTAGCGATTGGGCCCAGTTCCTGCTTAATAATAGTTTGCTCAATTTAACAGTGTTAACATTTACTAATTTAAAAATATTATGATTTTGTTTGTCTATTGAAATTTTGTCATATTATCTAGATACATTTTGTCAGAACATCTAACCTAGCCCATATATGTAGAACCAACGATTTTCACTCTTGTAATATGTAACCTTCATGTTTTTACATCGAAAAAAGACTCAAACATGGTGCATTGGTCAATATGTAATTAAGTAATATATTATCAAGACTCACAGTGCTGTACATATTTTTATACCCACTTTATATAAATTATGATTAACACTCCTGATCGTCGTATGTATTTTTTTGACAATATCTAATTTTTCACAAAGTAATCCACACTAAGATATACTCGAATTCATTATTTGAGATTTAGATAAAGAGCTGGCCGGCCTTGCTATAATAGTTCAAAAAAAGGTAATGCAAAATAAATATATTGAAAATCTCATTCAAATTACTTTATTCTAAGCAAAGATAGCACTGTTTGAAGTTTTGACAAGATATGGCATAGATTGTTTATTATTGTAACAACGGTACTGGTTATTTGAGACTTAGCCTCGCTTCGCCATTTTTAAATTAAATCATTAAATGGCCAAAACTTTCTAATCTTCTTAAAATCTGAGCCATCCCATGGCCCAGGGAGTTAACTGTGGTCTTGTCATGTTAATAAATGTTTATATAACATATGAAGCCAAAATAAACACCTGCAATAGGCAGATTTAGCTCTTGCCTAATGCATGTTTAAGAAATAAGACAAAATAAATATATAAAGTTACATGAATTTTGGATTCAATCAGATTAAACAAGAGGCCTATCAAGATATTTTACCAACACTTGGTGCTTGATTATGGTACTACCTCGGCTCTTCATTAAATCCACTAGGTAGGATGAAATGAAAATTAGTGTTTGTCTTTCAAGTCTCATATATTCTAAGAAATATTTGACTGTAAAAGATTTTTATTAGCAAAGGGAGTGATTAGAAACTTTAACACGAGTTCACTGAAAACACCATTAGAAAGTTAGCAAGCCCCTCCTAATACTAAAGTAAATAAGGCATTTTAAAGCTTTCATTAGTAATTCTAACCTTTTTGCAATTGACAAGACAAATTATTTGTTACTGTACTCACTAATAATAGACATTTCTTTTGTCTGATGGTTTCAATTTAGAATGTGGTGTGTGTGGGGAGGGAGGTATAATCACATTCTGAATTCAATAATAGGAAATTTTTATTTTAGTAAACTTATATTGGAGAATAGCTGCTTCATATCTACAATTTTTTGATAAATTTTGAGAAAAAAGAATTGAAATCTTTCTACTTCAGTAATGTTAAAGGGATATACGCAGACAGTCAATTCCATTTGACCATGATCTTTTTTATTCTCTATCAAATACATTTCCTACCTTTCATATGACAATCTGTGAAAATATGGGCTTTTTCAATTTATTCTTTGCTGAGATATCGCCATCTGAAAAGCTGTGTGGAAATGTGTAAGGTGACTTATGTAATAAAGTAAACATCATGTAACCATAATTCCTAGCAATCTTGAATTTCTAAAATTATCTTCTGATTATGTAAAGTATTCCTTACAATCACTCTGTTGATACAAAATTATTGTGAAATTAGACAGAAGTTACCTAAAACATATGGCAACTCCTCAATATTGTAAAACAATAGGAAAATTATCATGTTGAGGTTTTATGTGAGCATCATTATTTATAATTCATCTTTTATAACCATTGATATCACCCTCAAAGATATAAATTCTAATTATCATATTGGACCAAATAAGTGTCTATAGTTATGAACAGGCAGTATTCTTAAGTGGAAGGTAACATCTAGTTAAATATTTTTAATCTGTTAATTGTCATATGTTTATATTCTATATGTGAACTTACCGGTATATTATTATCACACATGGTCCTAAATCTGTTCACAATTCTTGTAAATGTTTGTGGGTCAGCTTTTAAGGTTATATTCTAAAAATTGCCTGGATTGTATAGCAGTTCACCCGGGGGGGGGGGGGGGGGGATTCTTATCTAAATTTGGAGTTTTACAGAGTTTTAACCAGAATCATTTATGGTAAATTCTGAACAAGTTTTTTTTTTGTGGGGGGGGGGGGGGTTTGAAAAAAAAAATGAAGAGGTTGGAGTATTCATTAAGATAAACTTGTTGAGATTTATCTCCAATCAAAAAGGCAGGTTATTGTCCTTGTCACCATTTTTGATTCAAACATACATGTAAATAAACTTCAGAGATAAACATATTTATTTTCTATGGAAACAAACTGTCTATAGGTCAGGGGTGTTTTAGATATTTTTGATGAACTGTATAAGATTATTCTTATTGCTCCTTTGTCTTCTATCATACCATCAAGTCTCATTTCACAAAGTTGCTGGTGGGTGCAACACAATGTTTTGAAATTGTTTGTAAAACAATGGTGGCGTGCTTATTAGAGCATGTTTTATTTGGTGATATGTAATTTGTGTAACACTATGATTTTCAATATTAATGGCTTATCTTGTTTAATAATTAAATAAAGACTATTATCACTCATAAGTCACCATATTTATCATTCCATTTAATATAGTATAGTATGTTGATTCTGTTTCTGTTTTAATTATTTTTTTTCTCTGTTGATTATTATATTTCAGTTTAATATATTTCCATTTAATAACTAATAGGGATTTAAAGGAGCTGGTCCAGATGTTTTAGAGAAAAACAAATATTGTTAATTCTGTGTGATGGGGTCTTTAAATGAACAGCTTTTAGGTCTGGTTGTCTTTCCAAGCTGTCAGATGTACTCAAAAATTAGGCTTTATACAGGTTGACAAAAATTTGGCATAATTTTTATTTTCAAACAGCTCATTATTTGGAACTGAAACTTTCTGACATGACACGTTGGCATTCAATTTGCAGATTTCAACCTTTTGTATAACCACCGAAATCTGGGATGGCTCCTTTAAGTTTATTCAAATGTAATTTGTGGTACAAATAAAACCTTTAAAGCAATAAATTGAGTTGACTAACATTTTACTGAGATGTAACCGCTGTGTACCTGTTTAATCCTTACATTGTCACAAAGAGTTCTGGGCTTGTAATCAAAGGTTTTCTTAAAGATAAGTGAAAATACTTTCACTTAACTAAGATGTTACCATAAATTGGTATTCAAAGGCTGTAATCTACATTTCTTGACTTTATGAAGTTTTAACTTATGGAATGCTCCTGCCGCCAAAAATCATGAATTTCTAACTTTGCAGGAAAGTTATGTCCCATTCAAAGCACCACTACTCTTATTAAAATTTTAGTTGTCATTGCTAGGAAAATATTTGTCGAAATATTATATTGTAACACATGAAAATATTATTACTATAAATTATGATAGTATGCATCCTTTGCAGGAACAGTGGTTTTCGTAGATTTAAAAAAAAAAATTAAATTGCAAGATTTCGATTGCATTTATCGAATAGTGGTAATATAATGACGGATATTTTAAACTTTTTAAAACGATGTATAACGATTAGAAAACAACATCTTTTGGCTTTTAAGTTAGACTAAACAAATCATTCAGTGTAGTTTATCAATCTATCATTTGAGAAATTCATAGAATGAGTTGTAAAAATAAATCATGCCCTTCTTATTGCGGTAGTAACATTTTATGCTGAAATCTATCATGGAATCGCATCACAATTGTCAAATTTAACAATTGAATTTAACGCATCAAACTTTATTAGGACAGTTGTGGAAAACTTTATTAAGCAATACAAACATGATAAATATATCCTTGAACATCTCGGTGGTAGTAACTTGAAACACTGCATCATCAAAACTGATGATGAAAAAAGTTTGAGCGCAGCTACACTTGGTGTCATTGTCTTTGTTTCAATCCCAATCCAAATACTTTTAAAATCGTCATTATGGGCTTGCTACTACCCTGTGTATTTCAGTTAATCTCACTTAACTTTAAGGTACCTCCCATAGATCACTTAAAGTTCAGTGGATTTTTCTCACTTAAACTGGCCTTTGAATACCACTAATGACTTATAGTTAAGGTAACGTAGCTTTAAGGGAAAGTTTGATACTTAACATTGCCTTTGAATACCACTTACCCATAAACAGGCATTATGCAAGAGCTAAAAATGCTTATTGCAGGTCTTTCTTTAGGCCTTAAATGTTACATAAACTATTGGACATTTATTAACATGACAAGACCATAATCAACTCTTGATGGCATCGGATGTCTTTGATACTAAGTAGATTAAAATGGTTCAGCAATGGTTAACAAGAGCAACACTACCGCTGCAATATACATCCACATTCCTGCTTTAATTGATATATTTTTTAAAATGGTTAGTGCATGCATGTTGTGTCATACGGTCATTATTAGTGTGATTTTGATTCCCCGGTTGTACGTGACAAGGAGTAGGGTCACCTGTCCAGCTTTGTGGGTTTTCTCCAGGTCCTCCGGTTTTCTACCACTGCTAAAGACCCCCTATGCACAAGCGAATTATTAAAATAAAATTGAACCATGTTAGTCCTGAAATAACCTAGTTTGTGTCGAGTGGACATTAAACCCCAATCCTCTATCTCTCTCTCATATGCCAAGTTCCATGATAATCCATTTAGAATTGCAGTCTGTATACGATAAACACAAAAATTGGGCTTGGCTCTGCCCCTGGGGGTTGGCACGTGCACCAAAATCAATAGTTACCGTCCTTAGGCTATAAGGAATACATATGCCAAGTTCCAGGACATTGCATTAGGAATTGTGGCCTGTAGGCAGCACACAAAGAAAAAATGGGTGTGGCATTCACCATCACCAAAAGGGATCATCCTAAGGGTATAAGGAATAAGTATGCAAAGTTTCAAAAGGATCTGTTAAGAATTGCAGCCTGTAACACAGATACACACAAAAATCAGGTGTGGCTGTGTCCCAGGGCATCGGGCATGCACCAAAAATAATAAGAGGTTGTACTTAGGCTTTGATGAATAAGTAAGAATAAGACGAACGATTAAGAATTGCTGCATGTAGGCAACACACAAAGAGAAAATGGGCGTGATCCTTAGGGTATAATGAATAAGTATGCAAAGTTTCAAGGAGATCCATTAATTAATGCGGCCTGTAGACGACAAATACAAACAATGGGCATGGCTCTGCCCCTGGGGGTTGGGCATGCACCAAAAACAATAGGATCATGCTTAGGGTATAAGGAATAAATATGTAAAGTTTCAAGACGATCAGTTAAGAATTGCGGCCTGTAGGTGACACACAGACACGGGCAACAGCAATGTAGTTCACATCATGAATATAGAGGTATAAAAATGGAGAAGCAAAGCTAAGCTTCAAACAACCAGTAGGTTGGTTACAATCAATGCACACATCTTGTCAAACCTTCAAAGGTTAATATATTCATTTTGCATTATCTATTTTTGAGCTATTATAGCAAGAATGGTTAGCTCTTTATCCAAATCTTACATAATGCTTCCATAACTTACAGGAACTTACGCATATATTTAAGGGAGATCTAGATTTCCTCTGAACCCTGAATATACAATTAATCTAAGATTTAGATAAAGATCTGGCCTTTATTGCTCTAATAATTCAAAAATAATAATGAAAATTGAATATGCTGAAAATTTCTTTCAAATTACTTTATTCTGAGATTGTTTATTATCGTAGTGATTGTACTTCATGTCTTGATTGTCCATCGTGCTTGCGTTCTAATCCATTTAAAATCTCGGCCATCCGATGATCTAGAGAGTTGATTGACATGCGAATAATTGTCTAAAATAAAGTTTATATAACATTTGAAGACATAGGCATATTAAGCTCTTACATAATGCATTTTTCTGAGGGAATAATAAATCAGCAACTTTATATGATTTATTTAAAGGGAATTTGGGGGGGGGGGGGGAGGAGGTGTCGGTGGTCTATCAAGTGAGATTATAATGATTGATAACAGGTGATGTCAACCAACATTATTGTTATCTTACATGTTAAATAAGGTCACGTTATATTGATTGTCATTCAAATCATTAGTCACTGGAAAAGTCAGTATTTTCAGTATAAATATTTACAAATTTTTATACTCCCACATTTTCATGTGGACATAAATTGTCGTCGCCCCTGTCGGTCGGGATGTTCGTCCACAATTTGTTTGTGGACACTCTACAGGTCACAGTTCTTATCCGATTTTGACGAAACTTGAAATATAGGTTTATTTCCAAAAGACCCTGGTCCTTTTCAATATTGGCATGTATCAGACCAATTTGATTAAAACACAGATCCTATTTCGTTTCTTATAGTTCAAAATTTCGTTTTACTTGTCTTTACTACACTAGGATCTGGAAGAGTTGTTATATAACCTGCGTTCTGGATGATGTTAGGGATCAGCCAATGAAACATTCTGTTATGGTGATTTTTGGTGTGAGGTGCACAGACCTGTGGGTAACCCACTAGAAACATCTACGCTGATTGGTAAATCAAATGTCTGATGCCACTCGTATGACCTCTGACGCGACGTTCCACTACAACCGGTCAGATCTTCATGTAGTGTAGGCCATCGAACGTATAAAAAAACGAAAAGAAATATCGATCTGTATTTTAATCAGATTGGTATCGGATTAAAACTTCATGAATTATTACCTTGGTATTACATACTTTTACACTATGAGCGTACAAAGCACAGCCATTTTTGGTCAGATTTTTATGAAATTCAAACTTCATGGATACGTAACAGTGATATATTTAAACGTTTTTTAAAACTGAATACGAATTGTGACTTTTAGCGGGTCCAGAAGCTAAAAATGTGACTTTTTTTTAAATCGGATAATAATTTTGACCACAAGCTAAAAATGCGAATTTTCGTTCAATCAGGGGCTATACTTCAGAAAGTTGCATTCCGATATGTGCAAATATCAAAAGCAACTAAGATCTTTGGGTTATAAACATGCATTTCAAGTTTCATCGAAATCGGATGAAAATTGTGACCTCTAGAGTGTACACAAGCTAAAAACGTGATTTTCCGTGAAATCAAGGGCCATAATTCATGGAGTATCGATCCGATACAGACCAATATCGAAAGGAACCAAGATCTTTTGGAGATAAATTTATATTTCAAGTTTCGTCAAAATCGGATAAAAATTTTGACCTGTAGAGTGTCTAAAAACAAATTGTGGACGGACAGACTTCCAGACGGACAGGGGCAACGACAATATACATCCACATGAAAATGATATTCGCGCATATTGGACCATAACCTCCTTGATTATGTCCCCTGATTGTTAAAAAAATTGCAAAATGCGGGCGTATCTTGCATGGCAACTGCTTGTCTATTTACACGACTAGAAGCCAGCCTACACCCCGACATGACACTTTCATCCTCTCTTAAATAGAATTTACAACATTACACAAGTATAATAATATTTGATTATTTATAACAATGCATTAAAACTGACAACAATAAGCACTGTGTGTAAGCTAAATAATTATCATATATACTCTTCAAAAAAAAAGAAACGCACAGCCCATTTTTCATCAATTTTTTATTTGAATGAGATCGTTGTTTCCATAAATCTTACTTGTTTCTAATGTCATTATGTAAGGATGGAAGAAATTCATTATTGGTTTAAATGTACTATCACTTATTGTGACCAGTCATACCTTTTGCCGAAATTTGTTTTCGCTTGATTGCACCAAGACACATGAGTTTAACAACTTCACAAGCTTTATCACATGAAACCAAATTTAAGGCCTTTAAAATCCTGGGGTTCTCGGTTTCAAAATCAGTTGCACATGTAAACACTCAACGAGCCAAGTGATGCCACATCTGAATGAAGACCAACGCAACAACGCTATTGGTCAGTTACATGCAGGTGAATCCCAGACAAATGTAGCCAGACGGCTGAATGTTTCCCAGAGTACCATTTCTCGCTTTTGGGATAGATATCGACAGTGAAGTTCAACAAGTGACCACCCAAGCTCAGGCCAAACAAGAGTGACGGTTGTTTTGAAATATGCCAACACCGTCAAATCCGACATCAATTGGTATAGACACACAGGGTATGACCACAGCAACGCAGGAGAAAAGTTTGGTTCAGTGAAGAGTCGTGGTTCCTGTTGCAACTAGGCAATGGTAGAGCGAAGGTATACTGATGACGAAATATCACTATGCGTTTTGTTTTTTTTGAAGAGTATATATTATTGTTACTTCAAATTTTTGAAGGTACCAGGCATATAAGATTAGTGTAATTCTGGAAAGCATCCTCTTCGGGTTATGGATCACACTTTAAAAGCAAAATATTCTGTGTGCAATGAAAGTTCCACAAGAGAATATTTATGACAGGGAAATACCCAAAATCAAAATATTAAATATATTTATCTTAGGCATCCTTCCTAATTCAATATGAATCACTGAAGGGATTCAAGTAATCTTAGCTATAAGTTCTCTTACTAACTTTGAAAGAGTATTAACAAATATTGAGATTTCAAGATATTTCAGATAAAGATCAACTACATTTCAGCATATTATAATATGTCAATATCTTGTATTTATCATCCTCTTTATTTAATCAAATAGGCCTACAGTAATCCTGTCAATAATCTTGAAACCCCATTTTTAAGATGTATATCTTCGTGAATGAAACTTTTACTGTGGAATTTACAACGTTAATACAGAAACTTGATTTCTTGATTCGGACGGAACAAAATGGTAACTTGGCGGAGATAATTACCTCAATCTATGGTTTCAGTTGTCAGACATCGTCTAATGTTTACTGACATGCTCTATCACGTCTTTGATTAATTTGTTAGTTAATACATTGTTTCACTGATTAACCTGATTAACCCTAGCATTTAATAATAAAAAAAGAAATCAGAAAAAAAAAGAATTGTAGTTTCAAAATTGACAGTGAAATGTTGTCTTCATTTAAATGACAATTATTATTTAATTTGAGAAGTTGTGCTAATAACTTGACTTTGATTATTGGATATATTTAAGAACAAATTCACATTGATTTTATCATAAGCAAATTATAGTGCTCACATAAATGATCGAAAAGTTTTTCAAGTCCATTCAAACTGGTTTGTTTACTATTCATTATTTGATGTACATTTATTCATATTACTGTGACTATATAACATTTATACACATAGTTCAGTACAGGTAAACAACCCGTGAAAAATTAAATATTCATAAAATATTCATAATAATACATAAAATATCATTGATTGCGTTAATTAACCATATTTGTATGGTGTTTATGAACATGAACACTGAACACATAATAATAATACACACAAAATATACAAATGCATGATTATGATATAAACTCTATTAAGCTATATGCCCTACACATTAATATACAAAATAGCACCCACACACAACTAATAAAACTACCGGTATTAATTTATTTTTATAGTAAACTTAAAATAAATCGACTTTTAAAATTTGATAATCAAATCTATTTACATGTAAGTATGAGATAAACATTGAAATCCATATGTATTTTTAATACATAAGCTCTGTTAAAAAAGACGAATTAAAAATTTATATTCAGTAAAGGCCCAACATTCCATAATGAATGGCAAATGGCCATGTAAAAACTAATTTACTTTTATCAATGGTATAGATGGTAGATAACCTATGTTTTGGGTTTTAATATAATTATCACCAAATAATATATTCTATAGTAGATATCGCCTGTGTGATAAATTTCATAATCTACTGCGATACCTCCTTAGAAGATATCGCTTTACATGAATTTGTTTGGTCAATCAAAAGGACCTACTTTATTTTTTTTTATTAAAAGTAACTTCTTTCTTATTAAAAATGAACTATTTTTATTTAATTAGCCTTGATGGAAACACTGGGTCAATATAAAGGACTTTGCAATGGTTGAATTGCTGTCTAACAATGATGTATCACTACGCCGTAATGTAATCAGGTTCAGTAAAAGTGAAATCTATACTTATAGCAAAGAATTATATAAAGAATCTTGTACAAGTCTTTTTTGATATCAAAAAAGATGAGTTTGAGATTTTATTTGTCACCCAATCCTTTCTTACATGCACAAATAAATAAATATAATTCTTTACTATAGATTTCACTTTTACTGAATCTGATTACATTACGGCGTATTTTATATACTACTGCTTGACCATTATATTCTAAATGCCTCCTGTAGAATATGGTCGAGCAGTAGTATATCAAATATAAATAAAATTTGGGACTGCTGCATTAAAACATGGACTTCTAACCATTATGCCCTTATAGTCTTGTAAACAAAATATAAAGACAGATTGTCAGGCAACAAAACATATGCCCACAGCAGCTTAGTTATCCAAGCAGTCCATGTGACATGGGTTGTCACATATTTTTTCTTTTGTCAAATTTAATGTCAACTGTCTACAAGATTTTTCAAAGTGATTAAGTGCCATAACTCTAGAAGAAACTATTATAAATATACCCCTTCGTTTCATTACAATAAAGACTGTATTAATTTAAAGTCCATCGGGTGAAACCTTCAATGTGATTTAGGGACATAACTTTGACAGTAATAGGCTTCTTCGTCTCATGACCATAAATACTGTGTATAAATATAAAGCCAATTGGACATTAACTTTAATCTCTAGAGCGTTCACAATCAATTGTAGACACCAGATGGACGGAACGGATGGACAGATGGGGGGGTGACGATAATATATGACCACAGGCACATTCCAATGTGGGTGTATAAAAAAGTGGTACCGGTATATAAGAATGAGCAATTAGATTACTTAAATTTAAATCACAACAAAAAACCCCCCCCAAAACATAACAAAATCTTAAATTTCATTAATATTTGTAACATTGAAATATGAATAACAAAACAAAAACTTAAATTTCATTAATATTTGTAACATTAGAATAATAACGACTATATACATGCATACATATCTACATACCAGATTATACATGTATGGCAAGTAATCACAGATTTCTTCATTTTCCTTCACCAACTCTTGCTAAATGAGACGCACATGACAAGCCCTTATTTTAGGTGTGACACAATAATTTCCAATTGCTGTTTTCTGAAATTTGTGCAGAACAACTTTAAAGCTAAATTTGGGTTGCATACTTTTTAGACCATAAGGCCTGTTATCTATGTAAGTCATGGGTTGAAGCCCGGATTTGCACATGACAAGGAGTGTGTTGGTTTTGTCTGGGTACTTTAACATCCTCCCACTACTAAAGACCCTGCATACGTTAGTCCTGAAATGACCTGGTTGAGAGTACATTAAACCATATTTCTCTCTCATTTTAGCCTGTATGTCTAATTTAACCAGAGCTTATCACATATATAGTTCAGGAAATATGAGACATCGTTTTAATAAAGGAATATTTGTATTCTCTCCAGGGAACAAAATAACCGGGTTCGCATCACACTTTGAAATCCATTTCCGATGTTACTGCGAGTCAATGGAAAAATTGATTAGCAAAATTTTACTTAGGAATCTATAAAGTTAGGTATCATTTTTATCAGATATAGTACCTTATATTTCAACATTTAGTGCCTCAAAAATCAATTGCCAATAAAAAAAACCTTTCACGGTTACTCTAAAATGTGAACCTATCCTTTCTTTTCTACATTTTACAACACATCATTCATTTTAGAAGTCTCTCTGTTTTTGTTGCGCTTATCCAGACATAATAAATACATGGAAATATTGGTCATGCATCTGGAAAACGGGATTACTATGCCGCGTGTCTTCACTCTTCACTCTATTGCTTAATCTGATCGTAATATTCATGATTTTTGATGTTAGATAACTTTTACAATGATTAGAACAATGTTCCAAGTTTTCCGCAATTAGTCGGAAGCTGATGATGTGACATCGCGTGCTTCCATCGGTCTCATATTCACGGCAATTTCTGCACGATAAAACATAATTAAACAGAATTGTGAATGTTTAGAATAGGATGAATGAATAGCACTTTATTTACATGCATTTTTAATTAACTAGGTGTAAATTTAAACTCATATAATTACAGCAAGGTAATGTAACATCAAAATGAAATATTATGTCGTCTTCAGTTGGAATTCGTTTAGCATCCGTAAAGGATCGTAAATGATTGGTGTTGAAAATACCATCCACAATACAATTCATGTCGTGTGAGATCAGTAACTTGCAAGTTATGCACAAAATATGAATATAATAAAAAAAAAAATGACAGTAACTGTCAAAATTTAATAATCATAGCTACCGTCCTGTAAATTGGACTATTATGGCAAATACAAAGTAAACTTGAGTATTCATGATACATTGTAACTGCACCTCAACTGTCCAGAACTGCTAATCAATGGTTGATTTGATTAGCAAGAATGATTAAAATTGTTTTGCACTGCTAACCAATTGTCAACAGTTATTTTGTTCCCCGATTCTATCTACATTCTAATATCTAACAAGAAACTAATGAAATCAGTATTCTGCCCTTTCTTGTTGAAATTTCCTGGAAGCATGAACAAATAGATCTTGAATATCATTTAAAGATGCTCTTTGGTTAACTTTGCTCTGAAAAAAATATATAATCATAAATACATGATACAAGAAAATTTTGGTACACATATAACGAATGAAGTACCATAATATATTTTATTTTCCTAACGAATGAAAAAAATCCACTTGATATAGAATCATATAAATGATGTCTGTACTTACCACCCAGCACTTGTCTAAAATATGCTGATAGTTTCTGAAGATTCTTGGCAGTGAAGGCATTTTAGAATTAAATATCTAAAATAAAAAAGCAAAGATGTAAAAGTTTAATGGTGATAAGACTATATTACATCACCATGCAATTACAATTGCTAATAATGCATTAGCTGAAGTTTTCTGTGGTTGTTAAAAAAAACAACTAATTTTCGATTTGACATGGTTTGACTTATTTACTGGTTCAATGTTTTCTTCAATTACTGAATACAACAAGCCTTTAAGAGATGATGAAAGAATAATGTTTGAATCAATGATCACTAATTACATTGGTTATGTTCAAATTGTATGCAATATCTGTGATAAATCTACCATCTATCACACAGATTAGATATAAATGTATTAAATTTCAATTATTTTAGGTTTTCAAGCAGTTTAACCTACATCCTAATAGTAAGTACAGAAGAACTACCTTACAATCATGTAGAAACCCAGAAGAGAGAGAGACACACACATAACACACACAACACAAAATAGGCTAAAAAAAATAGGTAGCCAGGCAACGAAACATTCACCCACATCAACTTTTTTATCCGAGCAATCCATAAAGGTTGTAACATTTTTATTCTTTTATTGGTAACAGAAATACAAACACTAAAAGCTAATTAAGAGTAACAAAACATGAAATAATTATCAGAGATGGCACAACATAAAGAAAGAATGTACTAGTAATCAGAAATGAAATGCAATGAGGTTTAACATCCTAATTTTCTGACTAGTAATCAGATTATAACTTAGTTGTTTGATTTGAAAATCAAAAGATCCCAAAAATGCAAAACAGGAATATATTAAGCATTTCTGGTGGGAATGACAATGCCCCTTTAAGTTTTAAATACATAACCAAAGTGTTAAATGAGATTAGCAATTCAGCATCTATGATTATTAATCGTAATCAAACATAAACTACTTACTTTCTCCCACACTTCTTCTGGTTTGTCATGTCTTAATTCATTAAACACTGGATATGTAGTACACAACTCATATAACAAACACCCACAACCCCAAATATCCGATTTCTCTGTTATATTTGGCACAGACTCCATCATCTATAACAAATAATTCAATAATATAGACTAATTGAAAGGGGTAACACTAGGCAGGCATTAACACAGTCTAACACGTGCACTGTCAGCAATCCCGGTTATTCAGTTTCTCCAGTTTCTTCAAACAGCTCAAACAAGACCCTGGTTATCCTGCCAATCATACATATAGCAATTAACAAAGATTCCAAATTTTGTAGATTAATAGTATTTGGCCATCCAAAAATTGCCGTATGTTAAACTGGTGTTGAAAAATAACGCAATTACTCGTAATAACATTGGTGTACAGGGCACATAATGTGACCTGTGCTGGCTAAATGAGTCGGAATGTGCAAATTCTAATACTGAACTACAGACATAACAAGTGAAAATATAGATTTTGGTTGAAATTGAGATTTTCACAAAAATGAGTCTATTACCGGTAATATACTATCTATCAACCTAAAAGATAAAATAGCAATAAAAAATTTTGAAAGAACTTTATTTCGACTTTTGGTGAGAGTACCGTATTCATAAATCTTTCTTTTTTCTTAAAATTCTCAGCGAATTAGTTATTTTTCTTCGCTTGTTGTGGGACAATCAGATAATCCCCTTGCGTAATACTTGGCATTGTTGTGAAGCTTTACATCTCTAGTTTATAAATATGACCGAAGTATTACTGATGATATCATTTTCTTCAAGTACAAATGAGTTTAAAAACGTAAACAACCTTAGCTGGTTTCAAGTCAGCGCAGTGTAACTTATTCGCTGATTGTCCCAGACATCCCACGTTGCATATCATAAATTAATCAACTAGGTTAAACCTGAAACTTGTCATTGAAAAATACTAATCAATTGTCCTGGATTAATGAGTCATTGATTGATAACATTAGAACAACGAACGAGTCGAAAAGCGACGTATCTCGAGTAAGAAATTTCTCTGCCATTTGTTTCACTATACCAAAAAGCCCTAAAGTAAACGGCATCTCTTATGGTACCTGAAAATAACATGTACACGCAAAACCTTAGTTTAGTTCAGTTGTGACGAAGATGGCAGAACAAATCAATGTTTCACAGAGAATTTCGAAAGTCTTCTAATATCTCTGTGAAATATGACTACCTTCAGCACGTTACGTCTCATCACACGGCGTCAATCAATGGCTCAATGGTGCATGCATTGTCTACATAAGACCTTACTGGTTCAGGCGGAATGGAGCCTTTTACTCATTTTAATACCCATTTACACTAAATAGGAAATAGTTTTTAATAACAAATACATTAAACGTCTTTATTTATTTTTCTAATGCATAAAAAAAATGTTTTAGAATTTAATTTGTCGGAGGAAAAAGTTAATATTTGTGGCTCATTAAGTCGCATCGATGTCATCCTTATCAGTGATTGTCGCGGCCTAGCGAAAATTCACTGATGATCAGTGCGAGAAAAAATGTATACTTGTAGCGGCTTAACTGATGGTCAAGAAATTATATGTGATTACCCAATAAACTAAACTTAATTACCCAATAAACAATTTTAATCTCTTGATCACTAAAGGTTCTAATTAATTGATGAGATTAACAGAAATTATTCTCATAAAAGTTATAATATACAAAACATGGATTACTAAAGTTTATAATGTCCATTTCTTGAGTACCAAATCCATCCATAAGCATGTTCAAAGTGCTTTTAAGAGCAATAAACTATATACATGTCTGTTCAAAAATTTGGTCAACATAAGATTGTTTGAACAAGTGAGTTTTTAATTGGGATTTGAAACTTGTAAGAGTTTTGCTGTCGTGAATATTTTCAGGTAAATTGTTCCACAATTTTGGTGCAGCAATTCTAAAGCTTTAATTTTGATGATGGAATGCACAAAATGTTATGATACTGGGATCTCAAAGTACAACTTAACTGGTATACAGTTAGTAGTTTTGAAAGATACGAGGGTGCTGTACCCTGTTGACACTGGTACGTCAAACATAGGATTTTGAAGTCTATACTGCATGAATTGGAAGCCCATGTAGTATTCTCATTTGTTCTAAATCATAACACTGTCATAGGAAATGACTTTATTGAATGACAAAATAGCAAATAAATTGCCTGGTTGCTATGTGATTTTGTTTTGGAACATAGCAACATCTTTAACTTGCTTTTTTCTCAAAACTTACTTTCCTGACTTGGGCAACTTCAGACTAACACAGCTCAGTCAATTTTTGCCCGAATCAAACCAACCATACATTATTTTGAAGGCATTGAACAGGAGAATGTGAAAACAACAAAACTCAATTTTTAAAATTTCCTCATTGTGACTCATTATGCCAGCATGGGTCACATAATATTTCATTTTGTTCGATATATGACATTGATGCTACATGATACATAATGTTCAATTAAATTAAAGACATTAGATATATTCTGACTTGGATATATTGTTGGTCTACACAACATTGTTGCACCAATCTTATTTAAACCATTTTTTTCTAGTTTATTTTATTAATGTCAACATACCTCTGGTGGACAGATTGTTAACGGAAGAGATCTCTTGACTTCATCATATTCTGCTTGTCTTAATTTTGTTAATACAGAACATGATAAATCACAAATTTGTAGACGATTGTTATCACCAATTAGGATATTCTTACCTATTTGAAAAAAGATAACAAACTTTCATTAAACATACATTATTTAATTGGAAGATAGGTTGCCAGGCAATGAAACATACATCCGCAGCAGCTAAATCGTTCGCACAGTCAACAAGAGTTGTCACATATTTTTACTGTTGTCGGTAATGAAACATTTATAATATACTAAAATCTGATTAAGAGTAACAACTCATTATGTAATTATCAGAAAATCATTTAGTGTACAAAACATTTAATATCATGGATTTAGCTGTTCAGGTTATCAAAAATCATTGAAAATCAATATCAAGACCTTAAACTCTGTGTATCAATCTAAAGTCAATCGAAACGATTATAAATAGGCATAAACAAGGTCTATAAATATAAAATCATGACCTGATGACCTTAAACACTGTGTATAAATCTAAAGTCAATTGGATATCAACTTTAGCCTCTAGAGCATCCACAAGATTTTTCAAAGTGATCAAGGGCCATAACTCTGGCAGTAATTATCGGAAATCGGTGAAAAACAACAGGCCTCTTCATCTCCTGACCTTAAACACTGTGTATAAATTTAAAGTCAATCAGATATTAACTTTAGCCTTGAGAGCGTCCACAAGATTTTTTAAAGTGATCAACGGCCATAACTCTGATAGTAATTGTCAGAAATTGGTAAAAATCAATAGGCGTCTTTATCTCATGACCGTAAACACCGTGTATAAATTTAAAGTCAATCGGATATTAACTGTAGCCTTGAGAGCATCCACACGATTTTTCAAAGTGATTAAGGAGCATAACTCTGGCAGTAATGATTGGAAATCGGTGGAAATCAATAGGGTTTATTGTCTCATGACCTTGAACACTGTGTATAAATCTAAAGTCAATCGGATATTAACTTTAGGCTTGAGAGCGTCCACAATATTGTGGACGCCGGACTGACGGACGAACAAGGTGAAGACGATATACAACCACATTTCAATGTGGGCGTATAAAATTGGAGAAGCGAGGCTAAGTTTGCGGTTACAATAATAAACAAACCGTGCACACATCTTGTCAAAATTATAAACAGCGATAACGTCACTCAGAATAAAGTAATTTCGAATTAAATTTTCAATATACAGTGGAATCTGTCACTTCCAACATCGGACGGGATAGTAAAATACGCTTGATTACAAAGCATGACAGAATACTCAATACTGGAAGTATTATTGTACATCTCTTTGAATACTGGAAAGTATAATCTTCTTTGTTTGTAGGCCTATATCGATGTTGTATTTAGTGGCATAAATTTAATAATTACATTATTATACGGTATCACAGATATCAGATGGTGCATCATCCATAAATAGGTCTCTGTCCCCCCCCCCCACCCCCCCACGATTTTGATCGCCAGGACAGATTTTCAGGTTTATATCCACATGAATGTCCAGTTCTGAAGGCTATCTAACCACTGCCTTGGATCTCGCAACAGTTACTGATCTTAACGATATCGTCCTCCTTAATTGACCAATCGCAGCTGTCAATCAAAATAATAAATCAACCAATCAAAAAACATCTCCCTTCTGCGCAAGCTAGCTATATTTCATGATGTACGAATATAAGCAGGTAAATTTGTTAACTTCTACACAAAAGTACCTGGGAAAATGGAAATGGCGATAACTTAAAGTAGCCAAGTCTCTAACTCAATATCATCCTAAGTCAACTTGAATCAACATTGATGTTGTGATCTTACCGGGAAAAGGTGGGCTTCTGATACCCAATATTTAAGACGAAATAAACATTTTACAATTGGTACAGGAATCGTGTAGCATAATGCTTTCAGCGCCATATGTAACAAGGGACTCGAAGAACAAGGCTAGACATATTCCACAAGTCATGTGAAATGGTGACGTCATATTCCTATCTGGTGAGCATGCGCAATAAATACTATCGGGGGAGACTGGACTAACCAGATGCTCGAGATTGCCATTCGATTGAAACTCCTGTCGTATAGTAAAAACAGAAACGATTGCATGTAAATCAGTTCATATACATTCATATTACATTATAATATGCGACATTATGTGTTGCGACCCATTTGTGTCAATTTCTAGGTCCAAAATATTAGCGATTTAGCTCCTTTAAAGTCCTTTGACACAGATCATAATTTCTGTATTTAAAATCATTCATTTTCTGCAGTCCATTAATATTTTTCTTTGTGTGTAACTCATGTTTTATCACACAATGATACTCTTCAACAATGAGACGGAATGCACATGCAGAATTATTCAATGGAACATGTTTTATCACACAATGATACTCTTCAACAATAAGGCGGAATGCACATGCGGAATTATTCAATGGTTCCGAGTTCAACACCTACACTTTTGCCACTAACTTTAAAGGCTTTGATGTTGAAACCACTTGTGCACGGTATTAAATTAAGGTAATCAACAAAGATTGACATGAGTATTAATCTCACCGATTATTGATTGCTTGTCAATCTTTTGTAGGTTTAGATCCACTGATTAAGGGCCAGATTATACGATATTAATTCAATGCAAATCTTGTGACAGGACTATTATTACCCAATAATAAGGAAATAAATCGGGACATGAAAATGATGACGGATTTTACAGAAGGCAGTAGTAATCAGAAGCCAGAGTCCAAGGTATTTTGCATCATCTATTTTTGAACTACTATAGCAAGAATGGACGGCTCTTTAGGCCGCGGTTAATTAATTGTCAGTTTCTCATGACCTGAGTTTGTGAAACATACATGCTACATGTGGTAATTATTAATTATTGAGATGAAATTTAATTTTTTTTAGTTTAATGATGTTTCTATTTCAGCAATAACTAATGTCAGTTACTTGGTCGTTGGAAACCCAACCCAACGGTAACCAATGTCCGCGATTTATTCACATTTATTAAATATTTATAGATTAATATATCTGTTGCACAATATCCGGGTACATCGGAAGACTTAATCATAATAAATCAGTTTAAATTATTAGTGATATGCTTCTAAGTTAACGGTTTGTTAATTCATTCATTCTTGGCATTTCATTTCTTTATCCTTCCCTACTTTGACAGGTTACAAATGACCTGTTCCAAACTGGTTAATGATTTGTTCTGACATAAATAATTAAAAGCATACACTTGGATTTTTAAATACAAAATAAGTTAGATTATTTAACAGTCAGTCAAAGAGTTTACTACACACATGGTCGATTCAATAGCCGTGAGGGAAGATAATACCAATGCCATGGCAATAGCCTGTATGTTAATTGTCATCAACTTTGAACCCATCATCGGCACGTGGCATCATGATAATATAAATACTTTTATTATTTTGTCTATCTTAATTAAACTGTTTACATTTATTTATATCTCTGTGTCCTTTTGAGACTGTTTATATAGGGTTGTTAATAAAATACCGTGAAGGGCATGAAGCTGTGTCAACCAGCCGGTATCTCATGATCGAGGCTATCTCATAGTTCTGGGACGGTTGCTAGTCAGTAAATAAAATAATTTAGCAGGAATTAAAAGACATTTATATCTTTCTGTTAATTCTATTACAAATGACAAGTGCCTTATAGAGTATATATGTGGTCTTTGGTGAATGTTGTAGCTACCATTCCTTGGTATGGATGACAGATATGATACACTTTATCACTTCCGTTTTGCGGATGGACTCACATTCACATTCTAGCCTACTTTTAAATACTTTACTTATCACCTACGGTGTCATGTTCATAGATAAATAGTGGATTTTAATGCGTCAATTCATTGTTCATATTTAAAGGCAAACAAATATAGTTTTAAAGGACAAATTTTGGACCTCACTAAATTTGACGAAATAATTATGGAAGTGCGTAATTATTACGGATGAAAACGGACATGTCATGAGAAAGAAACAGTTAATAAACCCAGGCCTTATCTAAAGCTTACATGATGCATCTTTAATTAAAGTGATTGATACTTTATGCATGTAGACAATAGATGAATTCATAACTTCATAAATCTTGTAAGACAGTTAAATGGCTGTATATTTTTGTCGGAGACACTCAGGTAGTGGATATTATAAACAGAATTAAATAAACATGACCCTGAGAAACAACATACCAGACATGAATTAACTTACTTGCCCACTTCAGAAAGATAATATCATATTTATGTAAATGTAAAACACCAGCAATAACTTGACACATCCATGATATAATTTCTCTGTATTCAGCTTTAGACTCAATTAGTATTTCCTTGAGAGAACCACCTAAAATTAAAACAAGCCAACAGTGAGGCTGATGTCCCCCAACGAAATCTCAAACAAAATAGACGGCACATATTAATTAATCGCACATTTATTTTTTTTCAAAAGTATCAAACAATCAAGCTGGTTATCAACTATACACTAAGTTTCATCACTCTCTATCAGATAGAATCAAAGTTATCTTACGCCAAGTGTGAACATTATACCTCAATTAGAAGGAGAGTCACTGTGTTCCAAAGTCTCGACCATTCAAATTGCTCTGCTTACCCTGGGCAGACAATCCTCAGTATCGAACTTAGTCAAGTTTTATCACTCTCACTTAATTAGAACTAAAGTTATTGTGTTCCAAAGCATCAACTAATCAAATTTGCTTATCTCTGCATATCCTAAGCAGAAAATGCTCATCAATGCATTGACCTAATAAACACCCACACCAAGTTTGAACATTCTAGCTCAATTAGAAGGAGAGTTATTGTGTCCAAAAAAGTGTGACGGACAGACAGACAGATAGAGGGACAAACCCATTTTAATAGTCCCCTGCTTTCTTTGAAAGGCGGGGGACAATTAGGTTAATATTTGAAATTACATCTACATTTCTATTATTTATGGAGAAAGGGTAATGATAAATTCAAGTATTTTACTTCCTACTTCTATTAAACCTATATATATATATAAAGTTATATAAAATTCAAACAGGCCCTGATTAAACCTTTCAGATATGTGTAGTTCATTTCAATCAAAGATGCATTAGCCCAGAATTTGTCTTTATAAATCATGAAGATAAGTTTTCATATTTAAAACCAATGACTGCAATGCACTTGGATTTTCAGAAAATAATCCAAATACTGAAGAAACTACTCACTGTGCTTGAACTCATTGCATATCAACAGAGAATTCCCATGCTCGACAACCCAATGATGCTGTACAATATATGGTGAATTACATTCTCTTAATTTCATGTATACCCCCAACTGTTGATCATAGTCATTTAGACTGGTCTGCAAATTATAAAGGTAGTTTTACATGGATATTAAGTTTCATGATGACATCAGAGCTGGTGTCTTAATTTACTAATTAAATTTGGAATGATTAGAATTTCAGATTGTGTATATTTGAAATCATACTACTGTATTATTAAATATAAGCAAATGGCAACTGAAGAACAGACCTATCAAACTTATCCATATTGTCATTGTTATAACATAATTTCTAACCTGTTTTAGTGCAACATGCAGCTTTTGCATACGCATAGCTCACATACGGCCAGTCACAATGTGTGTTAGGTGGAGATTGTTGTGGTTCAACAATGAATCATATGCATACCTCATCCAGATTACAGAAAATTCCCTATTATCATGCCTTCTAGTGATCTTCACATTATTTTCAATTTCCTGGGATTAACCCACATCAATTAATATTCAAATTTAAAAAAGAGCAGTGACATTAATATTCTACCTTCTTTATTATCCAATTATTCCCTGTGGTTTCATGTAGTTCTTTAGCCAACAATAAGTTTGTTTTTTTATTGATGTGCATTAAATAATACCAGTCTTCTCCTTCCTTTATCATTGATTTATTTCTGTAACGCTTTTGGCAATCTCGACTAATCTATAGAAAAATATAATATATATATATATCAATGATGATGACAAACTGGATATTCCAGCAAACATGGTCCAAAATAAATCTGTCCAGAATATTACAATTTGGTTAAAGATCGGTTCCCAGAAAAGTATTTATCGGGTGGTTATTTCCAATAAAGGTATGGCAATTTTGGTATATATGGAAAGTAGAGATATCCAATCTTACTAGAAAAATACTGGATTCCCCGAAAAACACTCATGGAGCAAATACAGGACAAAAATGTAAGGGTTCCCTTAATCGACAGCCCAATGATTGGGAATTTCTGCACGCGTGATGTCAAAGGTCACAAGCGAACATTGAGCGCTTGATGTACAAGTTGATAAACTTTATGAAGAGTTAGACATACAACACTTTCTGAGACACAAATGACAGAAAAAGATGCAGGTAGTGGATAATCAGAAATTTAATTAGGTTCGATATTTATAATAAATAGTAAGCGATTAAAGACAACATCGTCTTATGTATGCAGTGAATTCTCCTCTGACTTCCAAGAGAGGTAAGTCATGTGACGTAAACATGACCTGGTTTGATCAAATTTTTATAGCAGGGCATTCCTTCGCAATTACAATTTTTGAGAAGGATTTGAATCAAAATTATGACAAATTAATTAGTTTGAATATTAGGCTGTATTCTCGGGGTGAAAATCTTGTCACCTTCGCTCCCGCTAAACCGGTCTACAAATCGGACTATCAATAATCGTGCAATCAATATGTCAACAAAGTTCTCCAATAAAATCTGCCAATTTAATAGTTCAAGCTCGAAATAGGCTATAAATCGATGACTTATTTCTTTATAGTGCGGAGCCATATTTGCGTAGATGTGAGTTGGATCCTGCGCATCTATCTTGTTGAAGGTTTGGTGAAACCGTGTTTAAAATATTATGTTATGAGTGAATTGCTATTTTTGTCGAATGATTAATATACTAATAGTAAGTTGTTAAATAATGTTTGGTAAAATATATTATGACCACATCACAGTAATACTAATACTAATAGTCTGTATGTATGTCGTGACAGTTTAGTTTCGGTTGGACTGAATGTAGACGCTGCCTTATCACTGAGTCACTCTCTTTCTTTCTCGCATCATTTAACTGTTTTGTTCTTAAAACATCTATAAAACGTTGGATGAAATCCAAAACCACTGCCGACTGTATCTTCAATATAATATCCTTCGTAATAAAATATCCATTTGTATCGAAAAATGCTGCAATGGATTGGTCATTTCCATCCAATTGAAACCAGTCTATAGCTACCTCACGACATTTATCTCACCTTGTGTTTGTAAAGGGTTCTGCACTTCCCTTATTAACACTGTCTAAGTGAACAATACAAGTTAATTGAGCCTTGTCGCCATTTAGTGTAGCTACTACATGTATAACGGCAATGTGTTCCTCGTGAAGCACGCCATTTTGTGTTTACCAACAACACACGCGAATGTAGACAATAACGTGATTGGTCGATTGTGGAAAAAACGATCACGTGACGCGGCGAACAACGCTGAATTCTGTCCAGTGACCTCGCGCACTATGAATTTTACTATCAATAAATAGTCCGAATTTTAAAGAAGAATATCACCGAAGAACTATGGAATTTTTTGGGGAACATTACAACAAACGAATATCTCTATATGAACTATACACTGACAAAATTTCTTCTAGACCGGATTTGTAGGAACGAAAATATTTTTGCAACGACAATTTGTGCCCATGGAATGCGGCCTATATGTTTTTAGTCCATATATACCATTAAATCACCCAGTTTGTACGCGGGAATGTATCTTTAAATATAACATAAATCATTTTGTCTAAAAAAATATTTTTTTGGGTGCAGAATGCTCTCATACATCTAAAATGTTACTACTAACTTCTTATCTTTGAACTCTGAATTTTATTAATACAAATTTAAATAGTATATATTGATAATTAAATAAATAATGATAACAATTCCCCTCTTAGTATGATCCCTCATCCCCAGCTTTGCAACACTGGAAAATCCACCAAAAACAATACTAGAAAGAATACAAATACATCCTATAACCTACTATATTTTTTATTTTACACTCTCATCATACTAAATCTATTTAATGGTAAGCACAAATTATTATGATATTATCACCACCGTTATGGTTAGGTATAAACTAAAAAGAAAGTATTACCGTAGGTAAGGCATCCAAATCGTGTCATGTTTGAAATAACAATTTAGTGATCAGAAATTATTTTGAGACATTATGTCAAATATTAAGACAGGCTGTTTAAAAACGACTATAGAACAAAACTGTCGATTTTATTGGATTTTATAGGTGAATCAAAATTCAATATACTTTTAGTAAGACAAATATTTTTGTTACATGTGGTGTTTTTAGTTAAAATTTTGATATTTCAATGCTGCTATTTTATTTCATTTTGTCAACCAATTCATGTTGTTTCTGTGAGACTCACATATTCGCGACCTTTCTCCACAGAAGGAGTTTTCTCATGGAAAATGGTCAAAGGCCAATGCGATTTTTACTATCACAAAGGGAGGTAATCCATTTCCTTTGTTTCATAAACCATCCTCAAGATTCGCTGAACTTGACCAGAAACTTCTAATTGACCAGAAGCATTGTGCAACGTTTGCAATACTACAACTAATATAGCTTCTGTAAAATTGGAAAAGCATAATAGAATTGGCAAAGCTGATGATTCTAGTAATGTGACATCTTGTGTATAAAGTGTTAAAGACTTGTGTATAAAGTGTTAAAGACTTGTTTGTGTATATAAATAAAGTGCTAAAAACTTGTGAATATAGTATTAATGATGAATAAATATGATGTTATTTGATGATTAAAAAAAAAAATCTCCTGTTTTTTCATACCTGGGGGTTGACATGTCTGTTTCTATCATGAAACTCTGTCATGCCTTGGGGGGAAGGGTTGGATGGCCGAATGGTTAGCATGTGCGTGCTGTATCATAAGGCCTGTCATTGAGTCAACTGGCGTGGTTTCGAATCCCCGGTTGTACGCGACAAGTCGCCTGTCCAACCTCATGGGTTTTCTCTGGGTCCTCCGGTTTCCTCCCACTGCTCAAGACCCCTACGCGCAAAGAGAATTCTTGAAATAAATTAAACCATATGTTAGTTTGTGTTGAGTGGATGTTAAACTCTCTCTCTCATGCTGGGGTGGGGTGGGGTGGGGTGGGGTACTTTCCTATGAAGAAATGGTGTTTACAATGTAAGACAAAGACAGATCTTTTTACAAGAACGAGAGCAACACTTTTGCTGCAATATACGTCCACATTCCTGCTTTGATTCATATGGTACTTTTTAAAATAAATAGTTGCTATTCTTACAGTATAAGGAATAAATATGCCAAGTTCCAAGATTATCCATTCAGATTCAGAATTCCAGCCTGTAGAAAACCGCATAGACATGGAAAATATAAATAGGTACAATCCTATGATGGCTCATATGGAATTGGATCCAAATAATTGCAACCTGTACATTATTTACAGACAAAATATTAACAAAAAGTGTGTGTGGCACCGCCCAAGGGGGACAGACCATGTACCAAAATCAATAGCTGCCGTCTTTGGGGTATAAGAATACTAAGTTCCAAGATAATCCATTCAGAATTGTGGCCTTCAGGCGCTAAACACAAAAAAATGGGCTTGGCTCTCCCCCTGGGGTCTGGAAATGCACCAAAATCAATAGTTGCTGCCCTTAGGCTATAAGGAATAAATATGACAAGTTTGAAGATGATCCATTCAGAATTGCGGCCACAAGACAAAAATTGGACGTGGCTCTGCCCCTATCAGTTGGGACATGCACCAAAATCAATAGTTGCAGTCCTTAGGCTATAAGGAATACTTATATCAAGTTCCAAGATGATCCATTGTGGCCTGTAGGCAACACACAGACACACAAAGAAAAATGGGTGTGGTTCGGATCATCCTTAGGGTATAAGGAATAGGTATGCAAAGTTTCAAAAGGATCTGTAAAGAATTGCGGCCTATAGGCGACCCACACAAAAATTGGGCGTGGCTCTGTCCCAGGGGGTCGGGCATGCACTAAAAATAATAGAGGTCATAGGTGACCCACACACATACATACACACAGACAGGGGCGACGGCATAATACGTCCACATTATGAATGTGGACGTTAAAAAGCAAAAGCCTGTTAACCCTTTCAATGCTAGACGTAAATCCACTGCCTGTGCTAGACCCTTTTTTGAGGACAAAAGGGGGGTTGGAACTGAATGCCAAACAGTACTTATGGAAGCTTTTATGAAAAATCTTTTTGTCTGTTGGGATGGGCATGAGGTTGGGCTAAGAGGAAAAAAATAGAATTTTGGAAATTTGCATAATAATGTAGTCACGTGACGTCATGGCGGCCATTTTGGATTTCTCATTTCTCACTAAAGCTGACACGAAAATAAATTTTTCTCCATGAAATACTTATGAGATAGCAGCCATGAGCAATACCACCACGAACATGCGCATCACGTCACCCGCTGCCATGACCACGTGCGGATTGCAATACCTCGTTTTCACTTTCACTTTCATCCCGAAGTCCCATATCATTATCAATATACATGTAGTCAGTCAATAGATCTACACGTTCGGGACTCAGGAATTGCCTATGTCTTTTACGATCCAGCAGGCTAGCATTATTATCAACATCAGAATTATTGTCAGAATCTACTGCAGACACAGGGCTATCGTGTTCACATTGGGCTTGTTCATCATGCACGGGAGACATAGCCATGGGCGGAACGTCATGCAACAAATCACACACTTCATAATACCAATCACTGTCCTGACTACTATCATTATCAAGTATTAACTGGAAACGAATTATGTGTATCACCCGCCTCGAAATTGTCCACGTGTTGGTCAGCAAGACGTCATTCACGACTTCGTCGAGAGTGCATCGTCTACGTTGTTACTATGCACTCCGCCATTTTACGGTTTGCCGCTTTGAAACACGTGGAAATATGTTCTAGTGTATAGAAAATACAATAGATGGCACTTGCAGTTGCGGTACTAATTTTAGCGAGGGCTTTACTGAGTACACGGTAATACCGGGTACGCGTATTTTAACGACATTTTATAATACCCGGTACTACCGGGTAGACGCAATGAAAGGGTTAAAACAGATATATACAAGGAATTAGTTATAAAGTTCTACACAACTAATTTGCAGCTATCATCAGAACCGACCAATTAAATTCTGGGCTATAATCTAATAGTCTACCTTCACACATTCCTTGTAAGAGGATTTACTATCTAATAAAGAGCTTTCTCTATTTCTTATTTCAGTTATTGCCTTACTGATACTCCAATCTTCACTGCAAAGTATAAACAAATAATCAATCTTAAAAATTGGATATGGCTTGCTAAAACTGCTATTAAAAGATACGTAGTAATTAATATAGCAGACATAGGCCAATGAATACACTGATAATGACAGTTCCACAATTCTCCAATCTTATCTTTACTTTTGCCACTAACTTGAAATTAGGAACGTTTTTTAAAAACCAGCGGCTGCCAGGCAGGTTACGCCCACATTTTCGAGAGATGGATAGAGAACAAGCTAAAAAGAAAGTGATTTTTCCTACAATCAAGGGCCATAATTCAGGAAATTACAATTCGATATGCGCAAATATCGAAAGGAACTGAGATCTTTGTGTTATAAACTTACATTTCAAGTTTCAACAAAATCGGATAAAAATTGTGACCTCTATAGGGTCCACAACCTTGATATACCATTTTGGGCCGATTTTCACGAAATTCGAACTCAGCCATCCTTAGGGTGTAACGGTGATATAATAATAAGTTTTTTAAATCGGAATAAAATTATGACCTCTATAGGGTCCACAAGCTAAAAACGTGATTTTTCGTACAATCAGGGGCCATAATTCAGGAAGTTACAGTCCGATATGCGCGAATATCGAAAGGAACCGAGATCTTTGGGTTATAAACTTACATTTCAAGTTTCAACAAAATCGGATAAAAATTGTGACCTCTATAGGGTCCACAACCTTGATATACCATATTTTTACGCTATTTCAGAACGAACGGTGGCCATTTTGTCTGTCGATTTTGGGCCAATTTTCACGAAATTCGAACCCAGCCGTTCTTATGGTGTAACGGTGATATAATAATACGTTTTTTTAAATCGGATAAAAATTATGACCTCTATAGGCTCCACAAGCTAAAAACTCGATTTTTCGTACAATCAGGGGCCATAATTCAGGAAGTTACAGTCCCATATGCGCGAATATCGAAAGGGACCGAGATCTTTGGATTATCAACTTACATTTCAAGTTTCAACAAAATCAGATAAAAATTGTGACCTCTATAGTGTCCACAAGCTAAAAACGTGATTTTTCGTACAAACAGGGGCCATAATCCATGAAGTTTCGATCCGATACATGCCAATATCGAAAGGAACCGAGATCTTTTGGAGATAAACCTATATTTCAAGTTTCGTCAAAATCGGAAAAGAATTGTGACCTACGTCCGGACGGACAGGGGCGACGACAATATACGTCCACATGAAAATGTGGGCGTATAAAAATATGCTTAACTTACATGGAACAAAGTATTTCACACCATGGCATTTTACATTTGATTTCATTGCATCTTTCACTATGACATCTTAGAGCAAACAAAATCTTCTGATGATTGGGATCAAGTGTTGTTCTGTATTCACAAAGCACTTTCTTGAGACCATCTAATAAATTTTTCATCTGAAAACAGAAAATATATCATCAGACCTGTTAAGAGTGTATCCACGAGAGGACCAGGCAAAAATTGCACAATGGGCTAAGATGGAGGGTCAGAAGTTTTTGATCAAACTTATGGTATGACACCCCCTATGGGTAAAATTTTGGTTTTCACATGGGTATTTATCACCCTTTTTAAGCACAGATTGCATTCTATAGCGCAATAGCAACCTTCTAATTTTGACCCTGTCTAATAAAGCGGGTGGTCAACATCCACCCCAGCACTAATTTGAAAAAAAAAAGAATCGGTCCATATTAACTTTTTGTGGACTTGTTTTAGGGTACCATATTCACATAGAGAAATAAAATTTTTGACTTTTATATGTTTTCATCATATCCATAGCCATCATTTGAACCATGTGATAATGTATATAAGTGTATATTTGCATTTATTGTATATTTTGTATTGTCGTATTGTCCCTCAACATATTTGTTGTATTGTCTCTTTAAGGTTTCATTTTCCAACATGTCACCGAAAATGGCAACAAAATGTTCAATTTCAGAGCATGTTTCCACTATTCAATTTGGGACACATCCACTGATTTCTACAATTCTACAATACAGAAATGTGGAAGCTTAAATTTTAACGGCACCGCAGCCTTGCGTCGAAGTGGGCGACGTTGAACAGTGTAGCATGGTAGTTACGGTTCTCGAGCGCCGTCAGCTACACCTTCAGGGCCGGATTTAGAATAAGAGAGGTCCTAGGTAATCCCCTGAACAGGGCCCACGACATGGACCTTGGGACAAGCAACTTGGTGAGGGGGTGGGTCAGGGGCAATCATGCGGTTGGTGGTTTGAATCTGACTTTTAGGTGAATTTTTCATTTTTGTTTGGATTATTTTATTTAAAATAATGTCTATTTGAGAGTAATGGATATGTTTTGTTAAGATCATTTCATTGGGCATGTCGATACTCCATTGGAAGCTCGTGGACAACTGCGGAAGCCAATTCCCGCCTGCACCAGATGGACCCTAAACGATTACAGGCCTTTTGAAGTATTTTTTCAAGAAATTTTTATAAAACAGATACTAATGTATTTAGGGCTGGTGGCAAACACCATATGAATGAAAAGAAAAAAAATTGTTAGGTTTTTTTTTTATCTACTGTTAATTATCTCAAAAATAGGGAAATTACAGGTTAATTTCATGGGTTATTTATTGTTTCCATTTTCCCTTTATATAGTCATCGAAGATCGGAGCAAAAAATAGGTCTGGAGCAGTGCTGTATCACCGGAGCAACTGCTTCTGTTAAATGGTGAACAGAGAGACAGTTAAAGAGCTGCCGTTATAAAATGCTTATCTGCATATACTCTAAGGCTCCCTACCCATTTGACTGTGTCGTTTAAAATGATATAAACAAGTGGGAATTATTTGGATAACCGGACTATTAGATAGCATAATTTGTAAGTCGTCTAGACATGCATGATTAGTTTACAATCAGACTTAATATTCAACTGCTATTTGGCAATTGTGCTGTCCGATTTGATGATCATGACGTGATAAAAATACCTTGTTATCTTCACCAAGTTTTGGAGTTGCCATATATATCACGTATATTGGTGCGATAAGATGGTCAGGTCTCTAATCTGAGGAACCGATCAACTCTATCGGTAAAGGTTTCCTGTTACTAATTGTGGGATAGGGAATAGGATATGATGACCTGTCACGTACTTCTTCCGTTGGTTTGCAAAAAATATCTGAGGTAATAACACTAGGGTTTTCAGTGATATTATGAAGCTTAAACACCAATCCTTGCATTGAGAATTAGTAGGCGACAGTCACCATACCTATAAGATTAATGGCGATGTGCCAAATACGTCGACAAGAATTGATAAATCAAGGTCCTGCAATTAATGTGCACAAGAGAGAAATAGCAAGGCCTGCTAAAGAACCTATCACAGTTCTTTCCTCTGGATTTTCCGGCACCGTCTCCCCTTGTAAGAGGGGCAGGATGAGGTCCAGTGTATAAATTGACAGTTGGAATTTGAAATAAAGAGTAGGCTGTAGCACTACTGTCCAGGCAAAATTTCTCCCATAGCGCACTGTGTGGCATAAGCCTGTCTTCGTTAGCCAAATCGATGCAAAAAAGTAGGATATTAAACCCCATTTCATTTCATTTTGATTAACTAGACTCTTGTTCAAATCTGTAGCCAAAACAAAATAATACATACATCATTATAATGTTCCTACACATTTTGTGATTACAAAAGTATTACATATAATTACCATATTACAGCTGATATCTTTGCATCTTGTATCAGTACATCGACAGGCTCTTTCTATACTATCCACACATTTACTATCATATTCAAAGGCATTAGTACCATAACCAAACATATCAGCTGTCTGTGGCTGTAATAATTAAAGAAACTGTCAAAATAAATCTTAGGAAATCAAATGATTTAAGTTTAGTGTAAACATATTTTATTGCATGAATAAAAATAATTTTTGATACAATTGGATATGACAAAAGTTCTTAAAACTTACAAACGTCCTTCCCATATTCAGAACTTATATAAATACAATAGTGCAGTTTACTTGGAGAATTGTCAGATGTAACACATATAGATCTAATATACATAATAAATAACAGACAAATAAACAAACAAACAGTAATGAACAAGGTGCAAATGAACACAGCTTACAAACAACATTTACGTCTCCGTGGAATACTCTTAAAAACCTTTAAACTAGTCCTGCACAACTAACAGAAGCTTCCTGGTACATTTTCCCATAAGTCTCGAAATACCACAATAACCTCAAGACCTTGGATAGTCATGTCTACATACTTCCATAAGTTAGCATGCTATTACCAGGTCACATGTATAATTCAATAGTGAAATTTTGAGACTAAATAAGCTAATTATTATTTCTATGGCTAGCCTACATATACAATGCAAGAGGGCCGTTCCACCTACTCTTCTTTGAATTCCAACAACCATGGGATTGTTTGTGTGCACTGCCCATTTGTTTATTTTTCAATCAATTTGGAGAACTAGACACACCTTCCTTGTTAGTTCCTAAGATGTCACACCCCTAAGTTCTGAGAACCAACCATGAAAAAAATCCTCGCCTCATGCTGGGATTCTTCTAAAGAGTGAAATAATTTTGTTAAAAGTTATGATCAGATGTTTTATTCAAGTTAATTTGTTTATAAAACCCATTGATTCAACTATAATAACAAATAGGATTCAACATCTATTTGGAGTATGGTACATACTTCATATGACTGTGAACATCTTGTTGGCATATAATTAAATATTCCGCATCTACTACATGTATCAGTACCACTACCTGAAAAATATGAAAATGTATTTAAAACAGAGATTTGGAAACTTGATTGGCCTATTTCAACAACTCTTTTACATTTTTAAACAGTCAATATACAGGAGAATAATAGTTATTATCAAAAATCGTTGAAAATTAGTAGGTTAATTATTGCAGCCCATAAAGCAGTAGTGGGCAAACTACGGCCTGCATTGCCTTGTCATCCGGCCCGCCAGACTTTTCCACTACATCTGAAAATTTATGAGTAATTTTATCTCTAAATGAAATAAAAAATCAAAATTACTTTTTGGGCCCGCATTGCCTTGTCATCCGGCCTGTCAGACCTTTCCACTACATTTCATAAACCTTGTCTGGCTCTCGCTTTCAAAATTTTGTGATTGGCCCTTCACCTAAAAAGTTTGCCCACCACTGCCATAATATGAATAAAATTAAGTAACAAAGCTGCATAACTCTGGCAACATTGAACAATAGGCATCTTCCTTTCATTGAGATAAACGACTCATTACAATTTTAACAAGCCAACAGTGAGGCTGATGTCCCCCGCCGAAATCCCAAAATAAATAGATGACACATATTAATTAATTGTACATTTACTTTTTTCAAAAGCATCAAGCAATCAAACTATACACTAAGTTGACTAAGTTTCATCACTCTCTATCAAATAGAATCAAGATTATCTTGTCCCAAAGCATCAACAAATATGAAATTGATTAGCTCTGCTAGCTCAGCTTAGCTTTAGCTCGAAATGTTAATCATTGAACTCAGTCAAGACATTCACCTAATGAACATTTACATCAAGTTCAAATATTCTACCTCAATTAAAAGCAGAGTTGTCATGTTCCAAAGTCTTGACCAATCAAATTGCTTATCGCTCCTTAGCCTAAGCAGAAAATTCGCACCATCGAACTTAGTCAAGGTAATGATATAATGAATCAATATTGGGAGTTTTATGGCTCTAACTTCATTATAACCAAAATTATCATGCCCCAAAGCATCAACCAATTAGATTGCTTATCTCTGCTTACCGTAAGCAGACAATGTTCATCATCGAACTCCATAAAGGCATTCACCTAATAAATGCCTACACCAAGTTTAAAAATTCTAACTCAATTAGAAAGACGGTTATTGTGTTCCAAAGTCTCTACCAATCAAATTGCTTATCGCTCTGCTTACCCTCCGCAGAAAATGTTCATTATCGAATTTAGTCAAGGCATTGATGTAAATAAAGCTATACACCAAGTGTCCTCACTCTCACTTAATTAGAACTAAAGTTATCGTGTCCCAAAGCATCAACAAATCAAATTGCTTATCTCTGCTTACCCTCAGCAGAAAATGCTCATCTTCGCACTCCATCAAGGCATTCACCTAATAAACACGTACACCAAGTTTGAACATTCTAGCTCAATTAGAAGGACAGTTATTGCGTTCCAAAGTCTCGGCCAATCAAATTGCTTATCGCTCTGCTTACCCTGAGCAGAAAATGCTCATTATCGAACTTAGTCAAGGTATTGATGTAATGAAACTATACACCAAGTTCATGACTCTCACTTAATTAGAACTAAAGTTATCATGTCCCAAAGCATCAATCAATCAAATTGCTTATCTCTGCTTACCCTAAGCAGAATATGCTCAGCTTCGAACTCCATCACGGTATTGACCTAATAAACACCTACACCAAGTATGAACATTCTAGCTCAATTAGAAAGAGAGTTATTGTGTCCCAAAAAGTGTGACGGATGGACGGGCGGACGTCCGGACGGACGGACGGACGGACAGACGGACGAACCCATTTTAATAGTACCCTGCTTTCTTTCTTCGAAAGGCGGGGGACAAAAAGATATATGCATGTTGTAGTCTCTAATTCTACTAATGAGAAATGTAAATGACAGAGGGACGGATGTACATCTGTAGATTTCATAAAAAGGGGCATAACTATGGAAGATATCAAAAATCAATATACTACCTCTTTTAAATGTGCTAAACAATTCATAAAATTCCAGAATGATCAGATAAATCAATTTCATTGTAACTGCAGTCTATAATGTTATATTAAGTTTTCGTACCATAAGTTGGCTGAGAAAGTTCCTCCAGATTTTCCGGCATGGTTTCCTCTTGTCAGTTATGCAGGATGGAGGACCTGACAAGGACAGCCGAATAGTCATTCGGATGGGACGAAAAACCGAGGTCCAGTGAACACATTGACGTGAAGGTAAAAGATCCCTTGACTGTTGGAATTCGATATAAGAGTAGGCCGTAGTGCCGCTGTCCAGGCAAAATTTTCCTCATAGCACACTGTATGGCATATACCAGTATTAATTAGCCCAGTTTGGAACAGAACAGTAGGATGTTAAACCCCATTTGATTTCATTTCATTTCGTACCAAAAGGACTCCAACTTAATCAAGTAATCTGGAGGTAATTGATGAAAAAGGTTGATAACAATGGACTTCTTCACTTCAATGAGATAAATAACCATATATCAATTTAATAAAGATTATTGTAGTTTCTATTTTGTTGTCAAGAAATGTGAATGACTGACAGATGGAAGAAGTGGGTGTATAAAAAGAATTACCTGGCTTCAAGTCATTGTACCTTGGTGAAGGAGTGGTCATATCCGGAAAGATGAAATCACATGGATTCTTGTTCGAATTCAACATTTCACTCTCAAAATGAAACTTGTAAAGTTCATTTTTTAAAAACCTCTCCTCTTTTTGTAAAGGAATACGAGTGAATGTCTGAGGACTAGGTTGGGTTTTCTTTTTACACATTTCTTCCTCTAACTGTTCATTGCAAAACTGTGAAAGGGGAGATATTGTATTTAAATCAGAAATGGAGGCCGGATTCTTTCTGTCACCGTACTGAAGTAACTTGTTTGCAATGTCTAAATTTAAACAAATACTGCCATTACTATTCTGTTGTAGAATGCTTATCATTGGAATCTTGCTGTCCCATCCTTCTTCTGTTGAGTTTCCTTTTGCACATTTCTCTTCAATTTGTTGTCCTTTTAATTTCGGACAATCATTTTCATCATCTGACTTTTGCTCAAGAGAATGTGGCATATCTGTACTAAGAGAAGTATTACTGCAAGTGCTAACACTCTGCTCTGAGCCTGTTCCATAACCACTTGATGGTCCTCTTACATATGATTTCCGAGCTTGGATCCCTTGATCTGATAAACAAACTTCAGTTTTATTCTTGAAAGTTACAGACTTAGATCTACTAAATACAACAGGTCCTTCAATGTACATTTTCTTTCTCTTAAGGCAAGAAGCTTTGTCCATGCTTTCACTAGATTCTGAAAAAAATGTCTGCCGCTCCTTTCTCTTAACAACATCTGGTGATTCTGAAAAGTCTTTAAAGATTGGACTACTGCTGGTGACAACGTCAGGTAGACTTAAACTACGCTGATACTGTAATCTTTTCCTAGGAGAAACATTTACAGCATTTGTATCAAATTCAAATACGCTTGAATCTATGTCATTTTCATCAACCTCTGAAATTTCTCTGGATCTCACCAACAATTTTCGTTTTGTCTTAACCATGTCCACGGATTCATCTGTGTCACTTTTAATTCTTTTTTTATATAGTTTTTTCGACTCATTTTCAATGGATTTTATTGGACAACTACAACATCTCTTACTCACAGTACTGTTAGAAAGTCTTCTTAACTCTACAAAACATTTTTCAGGTGCTTCACCCATTGCTGAATTATATGTCTGTATTGGGACTAACGGAGAATCAAAATCATCTGAAAATAAAATTTTTTTTTATCAAAATATGTTATTTTTCTTTTGCAGCAAAATAGTTAAAACCTCATTCGAGTTGTCTAGCCCCTTTTTATGGCTATTTTGCTACTACATGTACATGTATGTATGTAACAGTCATAGGGGCTTTTTTGGCTTTTTTGTACAATTCAAAGCTTTTTGATAGTTTTCTTACTGATTGATATCCAATGCAAGTTGGGAAAGAAAATAAAAAAAACTTTTAGAAAGAGGAGTTGACTGTGTTCTAGAATCTGTTCACCACTCAATTCATAATCCTGGTAGTGGACATGTGAGCTACCCCAGGTATTCTAGTAGAAAAAGTGTCTGACAGATTCTGTAATCATTCCAAAATATCTAAAGACATACTAAGTTAGACATTTTGGACCATCTTAAAATATGTCATCATATACATATGTGCATTTACATATTCTGGGATTTAGCAGTTGTATCCCATTAATTGTTTGAGATCTGTTATCTGGTACATTGTATATTGTGGCATAATGTATGCCTCTGGGGTGTTCAACGATCTATATTATATTTAATGGCCCATACCACACTGATCAGCAGTGAATATTGACTAGTCCGCTACAGTCACTGATAGGGATGACATCGACGCGACCTAATAAGGAGCCCCAAATATTAACTTTTTTCCTTCTGCAAATTAAAATCTAGAACATTTCTTTTTTTTAAGCATTAGAAAAACAAATAATGGTGTTTCAAGTCTATGGAGGTAAAATACATTTCCTATTTAGTGTAAATGGGTATGTAAAATGTGTAAAAGGCACCATCCTTCCCTGACTTTAGTTAGCGTGTTACCAGTAATGTAAACAATGCACGCACGACGCACCATTAAGCCGATGATTGATCCGTGTTATGTGATATCACATGATAAAAGCAGTCAATCTTTCACAGAGCTATTAGTCTTCGCAATACCTCTGTGAAACAGATTGGACCCACACCCACACAATGTAGCTAGTATAGCCTATTCCCCAGGAACTGACTTAAAAATAGCTATGAGTCAGACAAGCCTTTACAAACATTCAACTATGCATTTAACCAATAGTCCCATTACGAATCTTAACATACCAGACTCTGAACTTTCATAGATCTAAACAATTTCTTTTTATTTTGGCCGGGCATACCAAACTGTACCGAGACACGCACACTCACTGACTTGAATGATGATGATAATGAATGATAATGCACATGACATTCTTACTAATACTATTACTTCCTTGTTCTAAATTCTGCGATATTTCATAACTAAAACAAATAAAGCGTAAAATATATGTACCAGCAATGATTTTGTCTGTTTATCATTGTAAGCGGAATAAGTTGACAAATGACACACATTTTGTCACCACTTCTATAAAGTATAAACATCAGAGCCTCAACTGCTTCATTTTTCGAGGAATATTCTTGGAAGTAGTCTCGAACCCTTCGGTTTTGTTGCGGTGAATGGAGGTCACGTGATATTATTATCGTTATAATTTTACACGAGTAACTCGGTTTTATTTGATAACTTACGGCAGCTGACAAATTGTTTCATTTATGAAATGAAATGGGGTTTAACGTCCTACTGTTCTGCTCCTAAACTGGGCTAATGAAGACGGGCATACGCCATACAGTGTGCTATGAGGGAAATTTTGCCCGGGCAGCGGCACTATCGCCTACTCCCATATCGAATTCCAACTGCCAAGGGATCTTTTACGTGTATTCCAATGTATACACGGGACCTCGGTTTTTCGTCTCATCCGAAGGACTAGACAGCTGTCCTTGTCAGGCCCCCCGTTCTGCACCATTTAATGTTAAGCCGCACCGATGTCATTTCTCTCATTGATCCTAGGGACTATTCACTGCTGAGAGATAGATCTATTTGATAAGGCCAACTTCAAGTTTGATCAATGGTCGTGAGATTTAAACAGGGCTAGCGCTAATCCAAACCCTAATCGTAACCCTGGACCTAGCCCTAACGCTTACCCTAACCCTAACCCTAACCAACGTGTCCTAACCTTATTTCCGTCGAGAAATGTAAAGTGAATTACTCGGATAGATTCAATGACGTGTAAATATTTTAACCAATCATATTACGTCTTTCAAAATCCTGTACTTCCGGTCTCGTATTTTTGTTTACAATTTTACTAAAAAGTGTATTAAAATACATATTTTTATGTCCATATTGCCGGTGTATATTTATAAAAAAATAATTCGTAAGTATCCCTAGCATGATATGTCTTTTATAAATGTTGGGCACAGAGTGTTTGCGAGTTTGTTCTTCTGTTATTAGTCCATTTTCCCATCAACAAACCAAACAAGATGGCGGTAAATTTAAAAGAATGTCACGCTTGACCTTTGACGGGTACATATTAAGTTATCATGATCTGATTAGTAGTGCTGCTTTGACCATTAAATATATATGACGTCAATGATTAAATGGGTGCCAAATGAAATGCCATGACAGTCATTATACCTGGTCATGCGTCACAGACTCATTTCATTTCATTTCTTTTAAAGGGACAATAACACTCTTGCTGACTTGAAAGCTCCAGAAAATAAATAATATCTCTATCTAAGTACTAGATGTTTAAGTGTCCTACCTGTTGTGTAAATTATCCATTACATCCTATTTTACTTGTTCAGAGGGTTCGAAAATATTTTTAAATCGAAGATTCATTTGAAAAGGTTTACGTTAGACGTTTCAAACCATTATGTTGAATTTTTCAATTTTTTTAAATAAGGTGTGTTAAGATGAAATTTGTATCATCAATTAATTGAAATATTCTAAAATAGTACAAATTGTTGACCAGAATAAAGATTGGGACATATTATTCAGTTACAACAAGAGTGCGGTATTGAGCCTTTAAAGGAAAGGGACAATATTAAGCTTGAACACTCTTGCTGCCGAATGCTGGCTTGACAGCTCCAGTAAATAAATATTAGCCTTATTCTAAGTATTAGAAGTGTCCTACCTGTTGTGTAAATTATCCATTACATCCTATTTTACTTGTCCAGAGGGTTCAAAAATATTTTTAAATCCAAGTCACATTTGAAAACTAAAGGGTTACGTTCTAAAAAGGCTTTTCAAATCATTTAGTTGAATTTTTCCAATTTTTTAAATTAGGTGTGTTAAGATGAAATTTGTATCATCAATTAATTGGAATATTGTAAAATAGTGCAATTTGTTGACCAGAATAAAGATTGGGAGATATTATTCAGTTACAACAAGAGTGATATTGAGCCTTTGAGTTTTTTAACTTCTTATTATCAATGATATAATATCATATATTATATGATAGGCTAGCTAAACCTTCTTTTCTTTTACTGACTTTATTTAGACCACAGAAGGAGCGGTCTTTGAACGGACAATGTCCCCTCACAATTTGCAAAGACATATATTACAATATTACACCCTAAGGATAGTTGAGTTCGAATTTCGTAAATATCGGACCAAAACTGACAGACAAAATGACCGCCTCTCATACTCAAATAGTGTAAAATTAAAAAATATGGTATATCAATGTTGTGGACCCTCTAGACGTCACAATTTTCTTTTGATTTTTATGAAACTTGAAATGTAAGTTAATATAGTAATAACCCAAAGATCTTGGTTCCTTTCGATATTCGGCATAGTAACTTCCTGAATTATGGCCCGTGATTGTATGAAAAATCACGTTTTTAGCTTGTGGTCCTTGTAGAAGTCACAATTTTTATCTGATTTAAAAAAAATGTGTCAATATATCACCATTACACACTAAGATCAACAAGAGTGATATTGAGCCTTTGAGTTTTTTAACTTCTTATTATCAATGATATAATATCATATTTATATGATAGGCTAGCTAAACCTTCTTTTCTTTTACTGACTTTATTTAGACCACAGAAGGAGCGGTCTTTGAACGGACAATGTCCCCTCACAATTTGCAAAGACATATATTACAATATTACACCCTAAGGATAGTTGAGTTTGAATTTCGTAAATATCGGACCAAAACTGACAGACAAAATGACCGCCCCTCATACTCAAATAGTGTAAAATTAAAAAATATGGTATATCAATGTTGTGGACCCTCTAGACGTCACAATTTTCTTTTGATTTTTATGAAACTTGAAATGTAAGTTAATATAGTAATAACCCAAAGATCTTGGTTCCTTTCGATATTCGGCATAGTAACTTCCTGAATTATGGCCCGTGATTGTACGAAAAATCACGTTTTTAGCTTGTGGTCCTTGTAGAAGTCACAATTTTTATCTGATTTAAAAAAAATGTGTGAATATATCACCATTACACACTAAGATCATGGATCCTTTTGATAATCGCGATACCCGAACTTAACTTCCTGGATTATGGCCCCTGATTGTTCGAAAAATGGCATTTTTAGCTTGCAGATTCTCTAGAGATCACAATTTTTTTTCCGATTTTAAAAAACGTTTAAAAACCATAATGAAGGTTGAATTCGAATTTCGGGAAAATCGAAATGAAACTGCCCAACAAAATGAACGCTCTTTGTACGCAAATTGTGTAAAAGTATTCAATAAATTTTGTCCGATTCTGATGAAACTTAAATCATATCTTTATATCCCAAAGATCTCAGTCCCTTTTGATATTTGCACATTTCAGACCATAACTTTCTGGATTATTGCCCCTGATTGTACAAAAAATTCCGTTTGTTTTTAGCTTGTTCTCTATCCATCTCTTGCAAAATGTGGGCGTATCCTGCCTGGCAGCCGCTGGTTAGCTTGTTAACTATTATTATAGTGAGAACTGCCAGCTCTTTATCTAATCACCCATAATGTATCTTTAAGAAATGACCAGTTCTTTAAGGTAGATTGAAAAGGTTCTGTTTTTGTTTGTTTTCCAAACCATCAAAGTGTCAGACAAACAGTTTTTTTAAAGCTGTAATGAGTTTATCATACTTGTAGGGATTTTGCAAAATTCCTTAAAATGTACTCTTAATTAATAGTACAAGTGCAAGATGACTGCACCATACATAAAACAATCCCACATAGGACAAAACTGCAGTCAAGATATACACAATTGAATTAGGTTATTATTTGTAATAAACAACAAATGTATCAGATCAAATGAATGAATAGTGGGCCAGTGCTATGATTTTCAATGATTTTTATGATTATGTGCATCGATAGTTAATTTGGATAAGCCTTTGATATCACATTTTAATTATACTCTTGGGAGAAGGGATATTGCATGAACTTATAAATCTAATAGATTTTTATATTTTAATTTTCAGATGAATGATTTACAGAGTGATGATTAAAAATGTCGTCTTTAGCAGCCTTAAAAGCTAAATTAGAAAAGAGAAAGAAAAGGAAGAGTGAAGATCAAGGTGGAGAAACTGAAGATGGTCTGAAGACTGAAGCACTTACAGATACACTAGATTTTACAAGTAGGCCTACTTACAAATATAAGCTAATGGACAATTCTAAAAATTATGAAACTTATTCCTTAAAGTTAAAGAGCAGTTTGTTTATTCAAATGTTGTGAGTAGTATCCTTTTAAAACAAGATAAGGGGAAGGTAAATAGTGGCCAAAGTTCCCTATTATTTTTCCGCACTTTTTTCATTACAATAAGGATATTTTCTATAGTTCAGTCATTTATATTCCACTTTAAAACTATATGGGTTGTCTTGGTTATCTCATTGAAATGATGAGATCTATTGATTTTTGAACAACATTTTTCAGTAATCACTTTTTAAATTTCTTCATTGTCGGATATAAAAGATTTGCTTAGGATGTCCATATAGGTAGACAATTGCCAACAAAACAATTAGAAACACTTAAATTTAAAATTTAGGTGTTTTTATAGATAACTAGTTTTCAAAATCTTGAAAAGCAATTTTTAAAACAAAATAGCTAGGCATATCAGTAGAAGAATATATTATATAGTTATTTTTAATTAAAAATGTCAAAAAAATGTGTCAAAAGACATTTTTATACGCCCACATTTTCATGTGTCCAGACATATATTGTCGTGGCCCCTGTCCGTCTGTCCGTTCACATTTGTTTGTGGACACTCTACATGTCACAATTTTTATCCAATTTTGACGAAACTTGAAATATATGTCTATCTCCCAAAGATCTCGGTTCTTCTTGATATTGGCATGTATCAGACCATAACTTCATGGATTATGGCCCCTGATTGTACGAAAAATCACGTTTTTAGCTTGTGGACACTGTAGAGATCACAATTTTCATCTGATTTTATTGAAACTTTAAATGCATGTTTATAAGCCAAAGATCTTGGTTCCTTTCAATATTCGGGTATATCAGATCGTAACTTCCTGAATTATGGCCCTTGATTGTACGAAAAATCACTTTTCTAGCTTGTGGTCCCACTAGAGGTCACAATTATTATCCGATCATTTAAAAAAAAAAACGTTTGAATATATGACGTTTACGCCGTAATAATGGTTGAGTTCGCATTCCGTGAAAATTGGACAAAAACTGCTGGACAAAATGGCTGCCATAGGTATAGTGTAAAAATATGGTATATTAAGGTTGTGGACCCTCTAGAGGCCACAATTTTTATCCGATTTTGATGAAACGTTAAATTTATGTTAATATCACAAAGATCTTGGTTCCTTTCGATAATCGCGTATATCCAAACATAACTTCCTGGATTATGGCCCCTGATTTAAAAAAATTGCATTTTTAGCTTGTGGACCCGCTAAAAGTCACAATTTGTATTCAATTTTAAAAAACATTTAAATATGTCACCGTTACACATCAATGAAGGTTGAGTTCAAATTTCGTAAAAATCTGACCGAATTGTGTAAAAGTATGTAATACGAAGGTTGTGGACCTCTAGAGATCACAATTTTTATCCAATTTTGATGAAATTTAATTATGTTATGTCCCAAAGATCTCAGTCCCTTTCCATAATTGTGCACTTCAGACCACAACTTTCTGGATTAAAGGTCACCGGAAAAGCATCAACTTTTTTTTAAATAATGCAAGTAATTATGACAACATAACCTTTCCATAAGTATAACCCGAACCCCAATGTCAATATTACCTGCAACAGGGAAATTTCAACATTAGTAATTTCCGCCGTTCTCCGTGGGTAGTCGGAACTTTCCGTCAATAAGCAATCTGTGACGTCATTTTAGTCCTTCTGCACATAGAAATATAGACCAGAATATGAGCAGAGGGTCTAAAATGACGTCACAGATTGTTTATTTATGGAAAGTTACGACTACCCACGGAGAATGGTGGAAATTACTAATGTTCAAATTTACCTGTTGCAGATAATATTGACGTTCGGGTTCGTGTTATAATTATGGAAAGGATAATTGGCATAATTACTTGCATTATTTAAAAAATTTATGAACCTTTTCCGGTGACCTTTAAGGCCTCTGATTGTACGAAAAATCGCTTTTGTTTTTAGCTTGTTCTTTATCTATCTCTTGCAAAATGTGGGCATATCTTGCCTGGCAACAGCTGGTTATTTTTTTGGCAGAAAATAAATTATTGTACAAAATTTAAATGAAAATCTTGTTGGAGCAAAATGGAACCCAGGGTATGCATTTAGTGGCCATACATTTTGAAATTTATTAATTACCCAGCAATTTCTGATAATTACTGTCAAAGTCTTCACCATTATTGTTAAATCCCAAAATTTTTGTTGAGTGTGAACGCTCTTTGTGTCTTAGAGACATGAAGTCCAATACATTACTTCCCGGTATGTTTATGAGGTGAAGAAGCCTGTTGATTTCCAATAACTTGAACAGATAAAGTTAAAATTTGAATACTAGGCCCACAAGTTCAGTATAAATATTTATTGTTGGCATAAGGAACAATTGAAGCCAATTACATTTTAATTATTTCTGATAATTGGTCTACTTCTAAAGTGTCTTGTAAATGCTCCCATTAATTATGGTCTGCAAAAGAAATGAAATGGGGTTTAAGGTCTTACTTTTCTGCACAATCCGGAAATAAGCCCCTAACATGCAGTGTTACTGTGTGGACAGCAGCATTCTATTTACCAAAAAAATAAATATTCAACAATGTTAGTGGACTTGTGGACAACTTAGTTGCTGCAGACAACACATTTGCTATGGACAAACGTTTCATTGACTGGCATTCTGTTAATTTTTATTCTAATCAAATTTATTAGCATAGAAAATTGAATGTGTTGACCAGCGCTTACAAATACTATTAGATGGGTCAACCACAGACATTTTTATTTGATTTTGTATCCTGTTATGACTTTCCTTTTGGTGAATGAACTCCTCATTTTCTTTTGGTGATTTATTGCTAAAATTTCTGAGAAATCATGCCAGATCCTAATGCCAGGACTTTATTATTGACATTGATAACATACTTTGTCATTGATTGCAATAATTGAATGGTTTTCAAGGGCCAAACTAGTGTAGTCATTGGAGCTGGTCGTTACGCTTGAGGTGTATGCAACACAGGCCGTGGATGGTGCATAAAAGTAGGATGTTAAACCCCATTTCATTTCAGAACACAAGGGAACCCATTATGAAAAGACATTATTTAATACTAATAGGCCTGTAACCAGGATAATACAAGTACATGTATGTATATTTATAGGTCATGTTACATGGGAAAAAAAACTTGCAGAAGAAGGTCATAATCCAGCAATATGGCTTCAGTATGTAGAAGATCTGAAAGTTAAAGTTTCCTTTTCTGATGATTTCACGAAATACAATAAGCTGTGTATAGCTTATGATAGAGCTTATAAAGTAAGTTGTGAGATATCAGTAAATGTTATTTCTTAACACTGCACATCTGACTGATAGGAAGTAAAACTACCTGTCTGTCTCTTGCCACAGGTGAATGAAAATTTATTAATTAATGTTCAGTAAATTGACTTCAGACCACAATACTCATATATGACATCACATATTTAATTATGCCTTTCCAAAATGGTTATGATGTAGTAATTAACTACAAATTAAACTATTGCAAAGAAGTTATAATCAAATGTTGTGTGCACTGTTACACAGAATTCTGTTTGACACTCATTCATAAGGTTCGGTTAACACATGTATACATTACAACTTCACACCATCTACACTTATTTTCATCTGTTTAGCATTGTGAAGTATCTATATCTATAGCTCTGTTTATATTGCCATTTCATTTCATTTCTGAACATTATTTATTAATTGAAAGGGCTTTATTTAAATATTCTAAAACTGAACTAACCTGATACATTCATGAATAAAGTTGAAAAAACTAACTGATTTATCATTATGTGTATAAAACTTGATTACTTTTATATGTTGTCTTTTGATATTTGATCCAAAGATATAATTTCATACTGTCGTCATATATGTCAATAGTATCTATAATTTGCAGGCCATCCCATTTGATAAGAATAAGGAAAATGGTGCATATGCCAGATTATTGTTGAATTATGCTGATTTAAAAAGGTAAGATTGTAAACTAATGGAATATTTTCTAAAGCTTACTAAATCAATAACCTTATAATAGAGAAATAACTGTTTTCACTATTTATCAAGTAGGTCGTGATTATTGTTGAATGGAAAAAATTCCACTGCACTTTTTTGATTTTATCTGTATTTTTTCTTTTTTCTTATATAGCCAGTATAATATTGACGGAGCAGAGGCCATATTTGATCACGCTTTGTGTGTGGTTCGTAAATTCGCAGTAGTACATATTGCATCTGCTGAATTGCAGCTTAAACAAGGTAATAATATATTTATATAACAAAATTGAATAAATTTCATTATAAATATTATAATGTCAACATCTGAACCCTACTTGATTGATTAGTACAGCCTCGTGTAGGAATATCAGATTGTTGATAGTTTGTATTACTCACGCTTTGATAGTACCTGATGTATCTGTATTCAAAGAAATTCTTTACAACATTAGTTGTATTCACCACCATGTTGAAGAATTATATTGACGAAATCAGACCATGTAACTATTTTGGCGATTGCTTAGAATGTCTTGCTGTAATCATCGGAAAAATAGACAGTAGGAAGTTCACTATAGCACATTTGTCTGATTAAGCATTGGTCTGTTTTCGATTAAATGAAAGTCATAAAACCTTGTATGGTGGAGAAAGACTGACTGAAAACTTCATATTTCTGTAATAGGAACTTGTTTCAAAATAACACAAAAACAAGTCTGATAAAGTAAATGGATAGCATGATTACTTAGGTAGCGGATTATCCTCGAGACTGTAACGATGAACGTATTTTTGGATTCAAGTTTATTGAATATGGACCATTAAATACTAAAATTGTGTGCTGGTGTCCAGGAAAAACTAGTTTGGTTGGGTAATATCAGATATAATCAAATGCTGATTTTACTATTCAAATATTCTAAGTAAATATTCATATATTTAATTGCATGCATTTGATCATGGGGGTTGAATGTCCGAATGGTTAGCATGTGTGCGCTGTATCATAAGGCCTGTCATTGAGTCAACTGGCGTGGTTTCGAATCCCCGGTTGTACGTGACAAGGAGTAAGGTCGCCTGTCCAACCTTGTGTGTTTTCTCTGGGTTCTCCGGGTTCCTCCCACTGCTAAAGACCCCTACGCGCAAGCGAATTATTGAAATAAAAAAATTAAACCATATGTTAGTCCCGAAATGACCTAGTTTGTGTCAAGTGGACTTAAACCCCATCTCTCTCTCTCTCTCTCTCTCTCTCTCTCTCTCTCTCACATACTTAGCATGATTAATGTCCAATTTATAATTATCAGATTTGTTGAAATACTAATCCATTACCCTTTTACTTCAGGTAATGAGTCTAAAGCCAAGAAAATAATTAAAAAAGCACATTTATATAAGGCTGAACCATGTGATTTATTAGAGACAGCACTACATAATGTAGATAATGGACATGCAGTGTTACTCAATGAAGAACAAAGAGAAAGAGGTTTTAATACTGGTAATTAAAGGACTGCTGAATATTTAATCTACCTTGATAATTTTTATAAAGCCACATTTTCATGTAAACATATATTGTTGTTGCCCCTGTCTGTCCTTCCGTTCACACTCTACAGGTCACAATTTTTATCAGATTTTGATGAAACTTGAAATATAGATTTATATCCCAAAGATCTTGCTTTCTTTTAATATTGGCATGAATCAGACCGTAACTTCATGGAGTATGGCCCATGATTGTCCAAAATATCATGTTTTTAGCTTGTGGACACTCTAGAGGTCACAATTTTTATCCGATTTTGATGACACTTAAAATCCCAAAGATCTCAGTTCATTTCGATATGCCCACGTATCGGACTGTAACTTCCTGGATTAAGGCCCCTGATTGTACGAAAAATGGTATTTTTAGCTTGTGACCCCTCTAGAGATCACAATTTTATGCAATTTAAAAAACTGTTTAAATATATCACAGTTACACCATAGTGACAGTTGAGTTTGAATTTTGTGAAAATTGGACTGAAAATGGCCGCTCCCCGTACGCAAATGGTGTAAAAGCATGTAAATACCAAGGTTGTAGATTGTGAACCCTCTAGAGGTCACAATTTTTTATCCAGTTTTGATGAAACTTAAAATATATTTTTATATCCCAAAGATCTGAATTCCTTTTTATACGCCCACATTGAAATGTTGTCGTATATTGTCATCGCCCCCGTCCGTCCGGCGTCCAAGTTAATATCCAATTGACTTTAGATTTATACACAGTGTTTAATTCATGAGACGAAGAAGCCTATTGATTTTCAGCGATTTCCGATAATTAATGCCAGAGTTATGGCCCTTTATCACTTCAAAAAGTCTTGTGGACGCCCTAGAGGTCAAAGTTAATATCCGATTGACTTTAAATTTATACATAGTGTTTAAGGTCATGAGACGAAGAAGCCTATTGATTTTCATCAATTTCCGATAAATACTTCCAGGCTTATGGCCCTTTATCACTTCAAAAAGTCTTGTGGACGCCCTAGAGGTCAAAGTTAATATCCGATTGACTTTAGATTTATACATAGTGTTTAAGGTCATGAGACGAAGAAGCCTATTGATTTTCATCAATTTCCGATAAATACACCTTACCTTAAACTTGGACCTCAACCATAAAATACATACACACTATCCTGTCGGCCATGAAATACAGACATAGACATTAAACAAACAAAAACGAACTGTTTTCTTTTCTTTTCATTCTTTGATAGCAAATAGCAAAGGGGGCAGGTTTTACATAGGCGAAGTATGTTCCCCAATCCCATTCAGATGTCCTAAATAAAAATTTTGTTTAAAGGGACAATAATACTCTTGCTGGCTTGACAACTCCAGAAAATAAATAATAGCCTTATTCTAAATACTAGATGTTTAAGTGTCCTACCTGTTGTGTAAATTATCCATTACATCCTATTTTACTTGTCCAGAGGGTTCGAAAATATTTTTAAATCCAAGTCACATTTGAAAAGGTTTACGTTAGGCTTTACTAATCATTTCGTTGAATTTTTTCCAATTTTTTAAATTAGGTGTGTTAAGATGAAATTTGTATCACCAATTTACTGTAAAATATTGTATATTGTAAAATAGTACAATTTGTTGACCAGAATAAAGCTTAGAGTGGTATTGAGCCTTTTAAAACAATAATCTAAGAATCATTGGTCATTCTTTTTATTTCAGTAATAAGTTGCAGTAACCATGAGAATGAAACAGCAGACAACAGTCATAAAAACCATCTGATGTATGTATTGGTTAATATAATTTTGACTTATCATGTGCCATATTTGATGTTTTTCCAGTAAATGTCTTATAAATTGATGTCTAAATTGTTTTTAAGGCAGTAAATAGGTGTACAAAATGAACTTATCCCGGGCACCTCTGTTCATGTTGACTGTCAATGTCTCCATTGGATCCTTTTGGTTATAAAAAATAAAAATTATAGAACCTGATTTCAAGAATGGAGATCCTTTCTTCTGTTTTATGTTTTCTTAAAATGAAGAGAAAGAGTTAGGTTTTTACTTCCACTGGACACAAACCAGATCATTTATTAACAGTGGCAGGAAACCAGATCATACCCACAAGTTTATGTATGCAACCCTACTCTTTGACATGTACAAGTCTGGGAATCAAATCTACCAAATCTAAGAAATAAATAATACATTATTATTGTTTTAGGGAAATCTACCAAATCTAAGAAATAAATAATACATTATTATTGTTTTAGGGAAATCAATAAAGATGACTATAATACAGCACCACTGATTATAGAACCTATTGAACAGTCTGTATTTAACAGTACAAGTAATACTACCATGAAACATTATAGAAGTACACCAGAATGTCGAAGTAAATCTCTCTCTCACAATCCATTCTCAGCTAACAAATGGAGAAGGTTTGTTAATTCATTCAAATTTTTACAATCACTGTCTTTCCACCAATTCATCCTTGCCAGGTTTTGATTTTCACTCAATAATTAAAGGGGCATTATGGGAGATTGGATAAAGAGTTGATAGTTCTAAGAGTTAAAAAATAGATAATGTAAATAGAATATGCTGAAAATTCCAGTAAGATATCTCCATTTGAACCGAGATATTTTGATTTTATGCTGGCTTTGATCATTATCGGTAAAGTCGGTACAATAAAAAACAAGATCTCGATTATCCATTGAAGGTCTTTTTTAGGCCTGAAATGTTATCTAAATTATTAATTAGACATTAATTAACTTATCTAGACCGTAATCAACTCTTGATGCCAACTGATGCTTCCGATTTTCATTAGTTTTAAACAGCCATTGATGATTAAACGCAAAAATGGATAATCAAGACTTTTTTTTTCACTTTCGCCACAACAGCAGCAATTACAATCGAGGCTACAAGACTACAAGGTTTTTAAAATGAGTATTTCTCGGGATAGAGTAAAGTAATTTAACTGAAATTTTCAGAATATTCCTGTTACATTATCTATTATTTACATTTTAGTGAGAACTGTCAGCTCTTTATCTAATCTTCCATACTGTATCTTTAAAATAATGACTATTGTTTAGCCTATAACTGTTTGGACGTCCAGGCTGCTGGTCAACATGTTTCTTCCTCTTGCAACCTATGTTTACTTCTGTTGTACTTAATATTTCAGACCAGCCAATAAATCTATTGGTCCACCAATGAGAGTGAAGTTACAGTTACCATCATTTGATACACCTGTTGATGTAGAAGAAACTACAGATGAAAATACAATGAACAGTTTTAAACAATTACATAGTTTCCATAAAAATGATAATGGTAATTTATTTAAAAACTAAACATGTGAACTCAGTGATAGTACAAAAGAAAATAAGTATGGTTTAAGTAATATATTGATACTGTACGAGGCGTTAGCCGAGTGTTGTTTCAATATATTACGCAATTTCTTTAGCTCGAGACCATTAAACAACTTAAAATACAGACACTATCCCGCACGTGCTTTTCAATGAAATACGTCACGCGAGTCCAATATTTCATCTAGTATAGATAATGTACGATTGGAAATAATGGTACGCCAACATCAAAGGATGACGTCACATCTGTATTTTTATTCATTTTATAATACTACCACTAAAAAAATACTGTGTTTAGAAATTAATTTGTACAAGATAATGGAGAAAATCTACATGGGATGAGCTGGGTTGTTGCATTAACGGGTCACATTAACAAATAACACAAAATTCAATTGGTGATTTTCTTTGATTTTCAGATATCAACATATAAGAAAAGAATATAACTATACCGTATTTAATTTATTCTTTACATGACAGAAGTCACGTGTCTTTAAAATGCATGAAAAATGGTGAATGGTAAAGCGAGAGTAAAAATGCATTGTAACCAGATTTTTATTCTATTTCAGAAACATTCGGAGCTCACTCCTCTGGTTATATTTCTTCTACAACACATGATCTAACAACTGATACAAGTAACATACACGATACAACTGCTTCACGTAATTATAAAATTAACACACAAGAAGAAATGGGACCACCATCTAGTCATTCAACAGAGGAATTAAAAACAGACAATATTTCCCTAATCTCTGTTGAAAATAAAAGACATTGTTCTGAAAGAGTTTTAAGTGATTTCAAAACACCTACCAATGACTTTATAAATCCTTACAATGTTTCTCAACCAGGCTCTAATTATGTTTCATGTGAAACTACAGGAAGCCAGTTAGTGAATAAAGAAAGTCAGTCAGTGAATAAAGAAAGTCAGTCATTGAATTCAGAAAGTCCATCAGTGAACAATGAAAGTCAGTCAGTGAATGCAGAAAATCAGTCAATGGACAAAGACGATCAGTTGATGAATAAAGAAAGTCAATCAGTGAACCAAGAAATTCATTTAATGAATAAAGAATTAATACCAGACAATATTCCATGTGTTAGTATAAGTGACTCTAAATCTGTGACTGCCTGTGTCGCTTCAGTGGAGATTGTTAAAAATGAAATTAAGTCGCAAGATACATTTGTGGCTCCTAAGCCTGTTCCAGTGGAAAAGGAACTTTATGTAAATGTTAATGAAGAACCAAAGCAAAGGTATGTACACAACTGGGAAATATACAGTTTAACATACAATCATACTATTTTTGTCTAAAATCTATGATTTCTTTTAAAGAATTTTGTTTGGTAAAATGTATAATTTTATAATGGTAATCTTTATTATTTGTATATTTTTATAGTCGTTTTCATACACTTTATATATTTCAGTCTGAAACCTATGGCAGAAACGCCATGTGTAAACAATAAAGTTGTTGTTCCACCTCTACAAACCTGTCAAATAGTTACACCAATGAAGGTAAATAATCTCGTTAACAGTGTTTCAATCCAAAATATTTTCAAAAGAATGATTTAACAATGCAATTATTTATTTTGTTCCATGAAATTGAAGTTGTCTTTGAGAACATGTATAAAATAGTTGTATTCAAATTTATCATCTATCTGCTAAAATTAAAAAGTTTTTTTGATCTATATCAAAACTTTCCAAAGATACATATTAAATTATTGGCAAATTTCTGTTTTAGACTGGAAGTGAAATTAAAGTTGTTAATGGTATACCTTATACAGTATTAAAACTTGCTGGTAAAGGAGGATCTGCTAAGGTAAGTAGGCAAACTGGAAAAAATAATTTTCCATTTTTTTTTTCAAAAGTTTATGATACAACTGCTTGTTTATGCAAAAATAAAAGATTTGCATCTGTCAAATTTTCCCATATTTATGTAGTTTTAAAATACAAAATTGGTATTTTTGTCTCAGCTACAGTTAGATAAAATGTTATGTATTAATTTTTTTTTTTTTCAAAGGTATACCAGGTATTTGATGCAGATAAAAATGTTCGAGCATTAAAATGTGTTGATTTAGAAGGGGCTAATGATATCATTATACAAGGATATAAAAATGAAATTAATTTATTAAAGAGGTTACAATACTGTGATGCGGTTATTAAAATGTATGATTAGTAAGTACAACCTTTTAACAATATATTGACAGACTCACTGGTTGATGCTCTAAATTAATTTACTTGTTTATTTTATCTGGGTTTGTTTTGGGAAATTTGCACTTATAGTTTGATTTTTCCTAGAATAAAATGCGTTTGAATGAAAATAAGTTTAGACGTCAGTATTATGTATCCTTCTATTCAATTTTTTTACTAAGTAAAAGTTTGTAATATTTTCAGTGATTTTGATCCAGTTAATAATAAATTGAATGTCATTATGGAGTATGGTGAAACTGATTTAGCTAGTAATTTATTAAATCGTAAGAAAGGAGGTAAAGCTCTTGGTGAGACAACTATTAAATTTTATTGGCAAGAGATGCTTCGTGCTGTCAATGCTTTACATCAAGAAGGTAAGACATTCATATAAATCAAGGTCATTGATTGATTGATTGATATGTTTGATCATTGATACTACTGCTACAGAAATGTGTTTTGAATTAAGACAATTGATGATAGCTCATAATTAATCAACCTGCTGTACACCCACAGATAAGTATAAACCTGTGTCACCGTTTAAACATTAGATCGGATTAGTTAAGCTTGGCTCTTTTGGTAAATTCTAGTTTATAATATTAATATGACAGATATATCCGTAGTATTTTTTAGATGAATATTTTAGAGATTTACAATGAAAATGGACTCCAAAGACAAGTCTGGAAATTACATTTTTTGTCATACCTGTGCAGGATATTAATCAAAGCCACAGAAAAAAAAGCTGTGTCAGACAAATGACAGGCACATTAGGAATTATGACTGACAGTGGGTTTATGTGTAGACTTGTGTATAAGGTTTGGAATTGTGTTTATAAAGTATTGAAATGTAATATGTTAATTTGTTATTTATTTTGTAGGTATCATTCACTCAGATTTAAAACCAGCCAACTTTATATTTGTAGCAGCTAATTTAAAACTTATAGACTTTGGTATAGCAGATGCTGTACAACAAGATAAAACTAGTGTGTTAAAAGAAACACAGGTTGGAACTTTAAGTTATATGAGTCCGGAAGCCATATTGGAATCTTGTGACAGTCCAGCTAGATTCAAGGTTAGGAAACAGTTTCTTTTTGACAAGGGGATCACGTGGCTAAGTGGGTAAGATGCTAGCTCGCTAGCCTGGAGGTCGGGTGTTCGATCCCTGCATTGGCCGAGAAAGTTCATCCAGATTTTCCGGCGTGGTTCTCCCTTGTCAGTGATGCAGGACGGAGGGGCTGACAAGGAAAGCTGTCTAGTCGTTCGGATGGTACGGGAAACCGAGGTCCCGTGTACACATTTGCGTGCACGTAAAAGATCCCTTGGCAGTTGGAATTCGATATAAGAGTAGGCCGTAGTGCCGCTGTCCGGGCAAAATTTCCCTCATAGCACACTGTATGGCGTATGCCCGTCTTCATTAGCCCAGGTTAGGAGCAGAACAGTAGGACGTTAAACTCCATTTCATTTCATTTCATTTCTTTTTGACAATAAGAACAGTGGTTGGGGAAGGAAAGATTTGTGGTTGTGCTTATGGCACTATATATACTGACCATGATGGACCAATTTCAGATGCTATTTCCAATGGCCCATTTTATGTCTAAACTAAACATGCCTTATCAATTGTGTTAAACTTGTATATTATCATATTTGTGATAACAATATTTGAATGCCTTTGACAATTGTGTTTTGTAGACAACCTTCCAAATCTCCAAAACAAGTAAAACAGTATAAATATATCTTCATAATCATATCACAATGATTTTTGTAACCAAGTATAAATTCAGTTTTGATGCTTTGGTATTTGTTAACATTTAAACTGTTAGGTCCACAGATAGAGTTAGTTTTAAGATACAGCTGATTTTGTGTTGCATTGTCACAAATGGAAATAATATTTGTAATGGTCAACCCAGTTAGACACTTTATTTTGACTTAAATTGAAGAGATATAGCTCCTTTGATACAAAATATTATCAACGCTGATATAATTTTAAGAATGGTTTATTTATACAGGTGAATGTGAAGAGTGATGTATGGTCATTAGGATGTATATTATATAATATGGTATATAGTAAAACACCATTTCAACATATACGTAATCAACTAGCTAAAATACAAGCTATAACTAATGATAAACATGTTATAGAATTTCCTGATATACCTGATAAAAACTTACTTAATGTTTTAAAGGTAGGTTAATATGGTTAATTGGTTATGAATGTTGTAGCTTTTATTATTATGTAATAGAAATGTTATCTAATTCAGCACGGTTTATTTCACCATCATATTTGATCTACATGTAATTATAAAATTTAAATAACATTTTAATGTAATATATTAATGTACCATAATAGTAAGTGCAGGGGAACTGCACCACACATAATTACACAAAACAAAACTACGGACAACACACAATACGCAGACATCACAAACAAACGTACATATCAGATTAAGTGAAGGGATCCAGGGTCTAGCCGTAAGCATCCACTGTGACTGGAAATTGAAAGACAAACAATCAGGAATATAACCCAGAGAACAAAAACATTGTGTAATATTAGTACAAGTCATGATAAGCTATATGTCACATGAAATATGAATGTAAGCATATTGAAGTAAAAAATTACCTATACAAGTAACCATATCAGTATGGTCTATGTTATAGTGAGAAAGATTTTAAGTGGTCAAAAGAATCGAGGTATATTGACTATAGGGCTAGGGTTGAAAAATACTGAATACAAAGAAGCAAACAGAGAAAGTGCAAACTGCCTGGAAGAGAGCTGTCTGCTGACTGAATGACGGACGCAAAAGGCAGTAGGTTGCTAAATAACGTCATTAGTTAAAATGTAATAAAAACCACAATAAAAAGGGCGATAATCCAGATAAGATAACGCCAAAAGGTTAATAAACTATCAATTTAGGAACTAATCGGAATTATTCAGCTATGATTGCACAAAATATAATACGTAATACCCTATAATTAATGCAAAACAGGCATGTTGAAGAAAATCGTACTATGAAAGTGTATTTATATAAAGGCATAAAGTAAGGACGATAATCTAGATAGAATTAGGAAACTGCAAAAAATTTAAAAAAATTATTAAATTAGATTTTTACCCAATATGTAGTCGGTTATATACTTATTATAGGATATGTCAAACTAGGTATGTTAAGAAATGGAAGTTTAGAAATTTCTTTTAAAATGCGTAATTGTGTTCCGCCTTTGGCAGTGCACTTAAAATAAAGAGATTTTATTCTAGAAAGAAATTTTGTTAAAAAAATCGTTAAAAAATGCCTGTGAATAGGAAACATTATAATATAGCGTGACATCTGGTATGTTACTATTTAAGTTGACAGGTATTTTACCACTTCAAAGCCAAATTTGTCCGTTTTGTCAAAAATACCGCCATTAAATTTACTGTCAATTATATTAATATCCAAGCCAACAACTGATGCATTTATAGTGCCAGAATTTTCTTAATTAATATTTGTTGAAAGTTCCGTTGATAGGTGTTATGTCATCAATGTATCGGAAGGTATAGTTTAGACTTTTAGCTACTTTATTATCAGTTTTTGTTTATGATCCTGAAAGCAGAATTCATATTTATATAAATGTGGATTTAGCATAAATGATTGGTAAACCAATTGTTTGCTGTATTATCTGATTCCCGACCTCAAATAAAGCATTGTCAGTGAGAAAATGTATAATGTTTTGAAACTTTAGCATCGTCTGAGTAAATCGCCATCAAAATTCTGCCTTTCCCGATAGCTCCATTAAAAGCTTTATCCACAAACCAATCCAAATAATATTGCCCTTTTTAATGCAATCTGATTAAAACACAGAACATTGATTCGGCTTGAAATGGAAATACATCTTTATAAAATTAAAATTAATTCTCATATTTTTATACGCCCACATTTTCATGTGGACATGGACGTATATTGTCGTCGCCCCTGTCCGTCCGTCCGTCCACAATTGTTTGTGGACACTTTACAGGTCACAATTTTTATCCGATTTCAACGAAACTTGAAATATAGGTTTATCTCCCTAAGATCTCAGTTCCTTTTGATATTGGCATGTATCAGACTGTAACTTCAAGGACTATTGCCCCTGATTGTACGAAAAATCACGTTTTTAGCTTGTGGACCCTATAGAGGTCACAATTTTTTATCTGATTTTGTTGTAATTTGAAATGTAAGTTGTTAACCCAAAGATCTTGGATCCTTTCGATATTAGCCCATATCGGACGTAACTTCATGAATTATGGCCCCGATTGTACGCAAAATCACTTTTTTTTAGCTTGTGGACCCTATGGAGGTCACAATTTTATTCTGATTTAAAAAAACGTTTGAATTTGTCACCGTTACACTGTAATGTTTGTTGAGTTTGAATTTTGTGAAAATCAGACCAAAACTGATGGACAAAATGGCCGCCCCTCTATGCAAATAGTGTAAACATTTGGTGTATGAAGGTTGTGGCCCCTCTATAGGTCACAATTTTGATCCGATTTTACTGAAACTTGAAATGCATGTTTATAACCCAAAGATCTTGGTTGCTGTTGATATTTGCGCATATCGGATCGTTACTTCCTGAATAATGGCCCCTGATTGTACGAAAAATCGTGTTTTTAGCTCTTGGTCCCTCTAGAGCTGGTCACAATTATTATCTGATTTACAAAAACGTTTGAATATATCACTGTTACACCGTAATGTTGGTTGAGTTTGAATTTCGTGAAAATCGGACAAAAACTGCCAGACAAAATGGCCGCCCCTCTATGCAAATAGTGTAAACATCTGGTATATCAAGGTTGTGGTCCCTCTAGAGGTCACAATTTTGATCCGATTTTAATGAAACTTGAAATGCATGTTTATTACCCAAAGGTCTTAGTTCCTGTCGATATATCTGATCATACCTTCCTGAATTATGGCTCTTGATGTTATGCAAAATCACTTTTTGTTTAACTTGTTCTCTATCCATCTCTTGCAAAATGTGGGCATATCCTGCCTGGCAGCCGCTGGTATTTTTTGCATTCATTATTTTTCCAGTCATGTTTAGTTAGAGATCCAAAATTGCGACCAACAACAGATGAATTATTACAGCATCCTTATATAGCTGTTAAATCTAATGATGAAAGTCCAGGTATAATATTCTATCATCACATTTTATAACATTTTATAACGTTTAGTTTATGAATTCTTGCCTTTAAATTCTCTCAGCAGTGATAATAAATCATAAGGTAAGGATTTCTGAGATGTAAAACTATTGGTAAGCAATGTTTATAATATGATGAAATAGAGATATTGCTTATAAATCATGATTTTTATTGTCCCCCACCTTTCAAAGAAATCATAGGACTATTAAAATGGGTTTGTCCGTCTGTCTGTGTCTGTCTGTCCGTTACACTTTTTGGGACAAAATAACTCTCCTTCTAATTGAGCTAGAATGTACAAACTTGGTGTAGGTGTTTATTAGGTCAATGAATGAATGGAGTTCGAAGATGAGCATTTTCTGCTTAGGGTAAGCAGAGATAAGCAATTTGATTGGTTGATGCTTTGGGAAACGATAACTTTAGTTCTAATTCATTGAGAGTGATGAAACTTGGTGTATAGTTTCATTACATCAAAACCTTGACTAAGTTCGATAATGAGCATTTTCTGCTCGGGGTAAGCAGAGCGATAAGCAATTTGATAGGCCGAGACTTTGGAACGCAATAACTCTCCTTCTAATTGAGCTAGAATGTTCAGACTTGGTGTACTTGTTTATTAGGTGAATGCCTTGATGGAGTGCGAAGATGAGCATTTTCTGCTGAGGGTAAGCAGAGATAAGCAATTTGATTTTTTGATGCTTTGGGACACGATAACTTTAGTTCTAATTAAGTGAGAGTGAGGACACTTGGTGTATAGCTTTATTACATCAATGCCTTGACTAAATTCGATAATGAACATTTTCTGAGGAGGGTAAGCTGAGCGATAAGCAATTTGATTGGTTGAGACTTTGGAACACAATAACTCTCCTAATTGAGTAGAATGTTCAAACTTGGTGTAGGCGTTCAGTAGGTGAATGTCTTGATGGAGTTCGATGATAAACATTGTCTGCTTAATGTAAGCAGAGATAAGCAATCTGATTCATTGATGCTTTGGGGCACGATAAATTTGGTTTTAATTAAGTGAAAGTGATGAAACTCAAGACTTTGGAACATAACAACTCTGCTTTTAATTGAGGAAGAATGTTTAACCTTGATGTAGATGTTCATTAGGTGAATGTCTTGACTGAGTTCAACGATTAATATTTCAAACTAAAGCTAAGCAGAGCTAATCAATTTCATTGGTCAATGCTTTAGGACAAGATAACTTTGATTCTATCTGATAGAGAGTGATGAAACTTAGTGTATAGTTTGATTGCTTGATACTTTTGAAAAAAATAAATGTGCGATTAATTAATATGTGTCATATTTATTTTGGGATTTCTGCGGTGGACATCAGCCTCACTGTTGGCTTGTTTCTTTGTAGTTCCAAACAAACCAAAACAAAAAAATTTACAGAAAATACTGGATCAGATATCTGAATTTTCTCCACGAAGTATCCAAACATTCCAGGTAAGAATATATTATAACCATTACCATAATTTCAGTTTGATGTGATTTGATAATCCAGTCAAATCAAATTTTACCTATGAATAGCCATGCATGTGATATTCTCTACAAGATTACATCTATCAAACATGAAAATCAAATGTTAAAAGATCTTTAGATTGTCAGCTGTGATAACAACTTTAGAAAATTGCGTCTGCTATTTTATTAATAATGCAGTTTAGAGTGGCATCATTTGGTTTAGTCAAATTTATTATGTCCACAGATTGGCAAGAAATTAATATTACTTACTTTTCACTTCAGTGTAATTTAGGTCCACTTTTAAATGGATATAACTTATTAAATACAACTAAAGTATAGTTTGCCATATATTTTATTATGGTAGCTTCATCTCTATATTTGGACATTATATATTGATGTATAAATATTTACAGGGGATGATACAACAGATGGGAAGTGGTAAAAATGATACTTTACAGGTTGGTGTAAGTTGCAAAAATATGAAATCTGGGCTATTTTTATACACCCACATTTTCATGTGGACGTATTTGTAAACACTCTACAGGTCACAATTTGAAATATATCTCCCAAAGATCTCGTTTCCTTTTGAAATTGGCATTATGGCCCCTGATTGTACGAAATATCATGTTTTTCGCTTGTGGGCCAACTAGAAGTCATCCGATGTTGATGATTGTACGCATAATGTTTTATAGCTTATGGATCCTCTAGAGTTCACAATTGATATCCAATTTAAAAAAAAAAAACGAAACTGCCTGACAAAATGGCTGCTCCTTGTACACAAATTGTGTAAAAGTATGTATTAGATTTTGATGGAACTTGAAATATATCTTTATATCCCAAAGATCTCAGCCCCTTGGATATTCGCGCATTTCAGATAATAAATTCCTGGATTATGGCCCCTGAGCTTGTTCTCAACCTGGTCTGTCATTGAGTCAACTGGCAAAATTTCGATTCCCCGGTTGTACGTGACAAGGAGTAGGGTCGCCTGTCCAACTTTTTGGGTTTTCTCCCACTGCTAAAGACCCCTACACGCAAGCGAATTATTGAAATAAAATTGAACCATGTGTTTGTCCAGAAATGACCTAGTTTGTGTCGAGTGGACGTTAAACCACATTGCTCTCTCTCTGTTTTCAACCCATCTCTTGCCTGGCAACCACTGGTTATACAAGAAGTTAAAGGAGCTAAATCGCTAATATTTGGGACCTACAAATTGACACAAATGGGTCCCAATGCTTAATGTTATGTGAATGTACATAAACTGATTTACATTCAGTCGTTTCCGTTTTTATTCCAATTTCAAAATCAGTTATGTTCCGCGAAATACACCAGAAGGCTAAATCAAATGGCATTCCCTAGCATCGTGTTATTCCAGTCTACACCGATAGTATTTATGACGTATGCTCTCCAGATAAGAATATGGCGTCACCGTTTGACATGACTAGGGGAATATGTCTAGCCCATCTTTTCTCGGTAATATCACAACATCAATGTTGATTTAAATGACATTGTTTTGTTAAATTTAAATTACTAATAGAGAACGACTATTCACACTCATAGCTGCATTACTATTGACCCATGTTGTAGTTTTATAAAATTGAATTTCTTTAATTAAAGCAACACAGAACTTACATTGTCTATCTAGTATATGTAATAAAGACAAATAAATTGTTTATTGTAATATTTCAGGATTCAGACACACCTCCTAGCTCTAATCACCATGGTAACAATCCGTCAAACAAGCCACCTTCAGCCCATTCTAATAAACCAGGTAGACCACCATTACAGTGTATATATGTTGCAAAGTGATGATCACTCTTAAGTTATTTGTTTCTCCGATAATGAAACTGCCTGTAAATTAAACTGTTTATATCATGAGCTAGATACATTGTCAGTTTTTGTCCTGGTATGTTTCTGCAGGTCCTAAATTTTTATGTGAAAATTCTTCAATTTCTGTTAAAAAAAAAAATGTAAACAAAAAGCAGTTTTGTCTCGCAATTTTGTATGCTGGTGCATTATTACTGGAAACAAGTGCATATTGAGGATATAAATCAGAGAATTCTGCAACAAAAAAGGTTTTAAATTTGCATGACCTGAATGCAGATTTGCATGAAATGTTATCTCCTGTGTATGATTTCCATACTATATATTTATGATTTAGTTTTCGTAGGAAGTTTATGTACGTTATTTATAACATTAGCAATTAACATTTTAAATCAAATACTGTTGTGTTATGTACATGGTGACAAGAAAATGCCAACGAACAGTTAGTTGATAATTTTGTTTGTAAATAATTATTTTTTTTTGTTGTTGTCGGTATAATGTATAATCTAAGTTTAATATATATATAGTCTTGTAAATAAGAAAATAAATAAATAAATGTAAAGCTCTTTGGTAGTCCATACTTATCTTCTATATTCACTGCACACATCCTATGTTTTTACCCCCCACCTTTTGAAGAGAGTAGGAGATGCTAAAATGGGTTTGTCTTACCTTTTGGGACACAATAACTCTGCTTCTAATTGAGGAAGAATGTTCAAACTTGGCGGAGGTGTTTTTTTTAGGTGAATGCCTTGAAAGAGCTTGTTTGATTTGTCACGACTTTGACAATTACAAGAATTGTTGCGTTTCAAACTTTGAGCATTCACGTCAAATAGAAGGATCCCCCATGCAACATACAATCACATAGCTTTCAAAATAACCGATGATTCAACTTTCTGCACATTACAAAATCCTTACTGAGAATAATGATTGTAATTTATTTGGACTAATCAGGCAAAATTCTAAAAGGATTTAGAACAATTTATTAAAAATAAATTTCAAAGCATTGTATTTTCTATTAATAGAAAAGTTAACAAAATATTGACAAGAACCTGAATATGTCCAGTTAGATGATTAGTTATATTGTACTAAAAGAATAAACTCTTTGGTTAAAAGCAGATAATAAATAAATCAAAATTAACCTTCCTTTACCGTGACTGTTGGGATATCAAAAAATATTTCTGTGCTACATTTTAAAACTCTTGATATACTGAGCGCCATGGAAAATGCATCACTTTTTTTCCCAAATAGTTTATTACTAGGTGGTTTTGTATGTATAATATTATGCAATACTATGAACTATTGTTTCACACAATGCTCCCAAATGCAAAAGATATTGGCCCGTGTGCAAAAAAAAAAATTGCACGAGATGCACATGAAAACTCCAATATTCACGTGCAGCATTGTGTGTGAGCCCTTTAAAAGCATGTTTTCAACTTAATGTGCAGTACATGAACTGTGAAACGTCAATTTGTCGTAATTTTTTGTTGGACGTGTGAAGGAATCGAGCAAGAGATGCCGAGACTTACTGAAAATTAACAGAATGAAGCCATGGGAATGTCCAGGGCTGGCATGTCTACAAGTGCTATTGCCAGACACTTCAATTGTCATCAGTCCACTATTGTAAGGTTGGTGGAACGTGTTCGAGTTACTGTATCAACACGTGACCGTCAACGTCCTGGTCCACAACGCGTTACAACCCAGGCTCAAGACCGCTACATCGGGTCACTCATCTGCGTGACAGATTCTGCCCAGCGACTCGAACAGTTGCAGCAGTCGTCGGAAGACAAGGACCAGTAAAAGTGCCAACACCGTAAGACGTCGTCTAAGAGAAGTAGGACTCTGTGCACAACGACCTTATGTTGGAGCTGTCCTCAGGGATCATCACCGTCAGCGGCGTTTGATATGGGCTCAAGGACACCAGACATGGAGAAAAGTAGACTGGCAAAGTGTGCTCTTCAGTGATGAGAGTCGCTTTCATCTTTATCACGCTGATGGCCGTCAATGTGTGTGGAGACGTCTTGGGGAACGTCTTGCAGACTGCTGCATCTTCAAAACGAATCGATGGGGTGGGGGAAGTGTAATGGTGTGGGGAGGCTTCACATTTCATCACCGGACCACCCTACACATTTGCAGGGGTCGCGTTAATGCTGTAGCCTACCGTGATGATGGCCCGTGGAAGACACACGCGCTACTGACATCTGTGTCGTACTTTTGGTTTTGACCCCTCTGACTTTGTACCCTTGATTACAGATTAAACATCCATAAGTGTACAAATGTGTTGTTATTGATGTGTTCCCATTTGAATATTGTTCACAATAAGGAGCAAAATAAATAAGATATGTTTACAGGATCATTTTGTTATACGAAAAACTAAGTGATGCGTTTTCCATGGCGCTCAGTATATTTATAATTTTTTTCAGACCTTCAATAGTAAATTCAATCTAAAATTTTTTTTTCTCTTTGGCTAGACCTAATGTCTTAACATTTTAGACACTTCAATAAATTAATAATACTTTGAGACATTATTCGGAACAATATAAAAAAATCAAAGAGAAAATAAATCATTGAATCAATCTGATCAAATTCAGACCTCAATGTTGGGTTGTTTATTTTTTAATTATACTACATTGTCGACATTTGAAGTATTATCTTTGAAGACTGTGTTTTAATCATGCAATCTTAGTAACTTAACAAATTTTTTATATTGGTATACAGTGCTTTGTTTTAAGGTGATACTTGAGTAGTTCTGAGGATGCTTTGGGTTCTAGTATAACAGGTTGATATATGTATGTTATAATGCAAGGTCTAAAGATTATACATTTTAAGAGTGCGGTAAAAAATTCAGACAGAGAGAAATGGGGTTTGACATCCACTCAACACAAACTAGGTAATTTCAGTACTAACATACAGTTCAATTTTATTTCAATTTGCTTGAGCGTATGGGTCTGTAGCAGTGGGAGGAGGACCTGGAGAAACCCACGAGGTTGGATAGGCAACCCTCCTATTTGTCACGTTTTAGCGGGAAATCGTAATCACACCACTTTACTCAAAGACAGACCTTGTGATTTCACGTGCACACATTAAACTGTGACAATACAAAAATACAACTCTAGTCTAATAATAAGTGCTTCATAACCACATCAAACATATAACTATCAAATAGAAAACCAGAAGATAAACAGGAAACCACACACAATCGATATTAAAAGTAACAAGCCAACAGTGAGGCTGATGTCCCCCGCCGAAATAGGAAAATAATTAGAGGACACATATAAATTTATCACAAATTATCTTTTACAAAGTATTGAACAATCAAACAGTATATCTTTACTTATAGTCTAAGCATACAATGTTTTTGATGGAATAATTATAGCATATTAAGGGGAAAACATGCTCTATGCCTACAGATCTAGAGTTTGGTTGTATCAACGGGTCTATTTTCCATCTTGCTGCAAGTTGTGCAAAGTTCACTGTTTTCTTTCTGTCATTAAATGTCAATTCATTATTGCATACTACATATTTAATTAATTTATAATAGTTCTCACTTAATTAGAATTAAAGTTATCGTGTCCCAAAGCATCAACCAATCAAATTGCTTATCTCTGCTTACCCTAAGCGGAAAATGCTCATCTTCGAACTCCATCAAGGCATTGACCTAATCAACACATACACCAAGTTTGAACATTCTAGCTCAATTAGGAAGAGAGTTATCGTGCCCCAAAGTATCAACCAATCAAATTGCTTATCTCTGCTTACCCTAAGCAGAAAATGCTCATCTTCGAACTCCATCAAGGCATTGACCTAATAAACACATACACCAAGTTTGAACATTCTAGCTCAATTAAAAGTTATCGTGTCCCAAAGCATCAACCAATCAAATTGCTTATCTCTGCTTACCCTAAGCGGAAAATGCTCATCTTCGAACTCCATCAAGGCATTGACCTAATCAACACATACACCAAGTTTGAACATTCTAGCCCAATTAGGAAGAGAGTTATCGTGTCCCAAAGCATCAACCAATCAAATTGCTTATCTCTGCTTACCCTAAGCGGAAAATGCTCATCTTCGAACTCCATCAAGGCATTGACCTAATAAACACATACACCAAGTTTGAACATTCTAGCTCAATTAGGAAGAGAGTTATTGTGTCCCAAAAAGTGTGACGGACAGACAGACGGACGAACCCATTTTAATAGTCCCCTGCTTTCTTCGAAAGGCGGGGGACAATAAATGATAAAAGTACTACTAAATCAAGTTTATGGATCCAGTGACACGCGATGACAAAGGGACCTTTCCCACATCTTGATTGCTCACACGACATCTCAATTTCGGAAAAATAAGATAATATATTCAATTAAAAGAAATGAGATAATCCATAAATGTAAAGACCGTAACATGGGAAGTTTTAAGATAGCAACGGATTGATATAGCACTAAAAAAACACACACTTATCTGGAGACATATCGGTCAAAAGTTATAATTTTAATCTACACCTGACATCATTTGACAAAAATAGAAAGTAGCAATGTGTCTACTGTATACAAGCCAACTTATTTAAGAAAAAATCAAGTATTCAAGTACTGTATAACTGAGAAAATGTGGAGATTTGTAGGGTTCTGTAAGTGGAATATAGCTAACCTGTAGTATCATTTACTCCATGCAAAGATTGGACATGATTAGTTTTATAAATCAATAGTAACATTTCTACTTTAATACATACACATAAATAAAGAATATGCTAAAGTATAATAATAAGTATATCTTCCTTAGAGTGTGCTTGATTGAAGTAATTTCAACCAAATCTGAATTCAGATTTACTTTTAACAATTCTTACACCATAAAACACAAAGTTTTGAATGTAAGGCCATATAAAAAACATTCTGTTTCTCTGATACTACAGTGTCACTGGATAATCACACACAAGATAAATGTAATGCTTTCAAATGTGATGTTTATGAGTGTTCACTTAGAAAAGTAGAATTCATGACAAAATAAATACCTCCCTCCAACATCAGATTTTTTGGAAAGGATTGTCTGAGAACCAGAATAATTTTTTTTTAGAATGGCCTAAATAAAAGTAGTTAGAATCAGATACAGGTCAATCTATCATACAAATATCTAACAAAGATAATGCCATATAACAAGTAAAACAATAATAATAGACAGGTATCACAAAACAAGAATAGTATAAATACAAGCATTACCTAAATTATTATATCACGGTATAAAATAAATTGGAAAAACATACTTAAACCTGACAAAAAAAAGGAAATAAAATATTTTCTAAAATATTTGTAAAGGTCTTATGCAATAATAAAACTTTAATTAAAAGTTTTACATAAGAGGTAAGTTATCTGCTCTATATACATCTTTAAGCACAAATACAGGATCCTGGACCATCAGAACATTTTTCAGAATGCTCAACTCTTTCGTTACCACTAGCAAGAGTAAATCTGCACAGTTAACTTGGGCATAGCATGGAGATTAAATTTGGCAGTAAAAGGAGTAGTTAAATGCCTGAACTGATTCAATGATACAGTTGGATGAAAGTTTAGTATATGACAGAATATTAGTTAGGATTCTAAGGAAAGTTTTGATGTTAATACAGACACTTCTTCATCTGATATATCTTCTTCACTTTCACAGAATGACATTCTTGGTGATGGTCGACAACCTTTATTTATATAACTTGTCAATCTACCAGTGCTAGCTAATAATAATCCTAAATAAGGTGGTGATGGTTTCATTGGTCGAGAGATATATTCTGGATGATACTGTACACCCACAAAGTAAGGATGACCTAAAAAGGGATGAATTATTGATAAAGTTGACTAATAATAAATGTGAACAGCAACAGTATTAGAAATATTCTTTTTTATAAGAAAATGTGATTGTATCTTTACCAAAAGAGAACTCCAGCCGTTGCCATTTGCTTATAATTATCTAATATTAAAATTGTTTCACAATGCACAACCCAAAATACAAATACAGTGGACTCTGTCAAATCCGACCTCGTACGGGATCATTACAATATGTAGGATTACGCAGAGTGTCGGAATAATCAGTTTTCTCAAAACCGGAAGTATTATTATAATGTAGTTTCGAATCCCCAGAAAGTTATTCCCTTTAAAAATGATAAACCTTTCTGTACATTGAAAATTTGATTACATTAATTTTTATTTCATTTAACATGCGTAGGCATTTTGAATAGGTCAAGTCTGTCGTTAATTTATCTTCTTCTTCGTCTTCAGTTGATTGCACACTTGTCTTTGCTGTCACGTGTTCATTGGTAATTTGTCGTTCTATGTCCAGGTGAGAGATCCGTAGGGTGAAAAAACTTAGGTATTCAGATTCAATCGGCATGCGCAACGAATGTTTCCAACAGGTGCTAGAAATATTTTTACGACTGTGAATTTGAATTTGTGGGAAAATTTGTGGGTATTCTTGAGTATTTGCCACAACTGTCTTACAAGAGGTTATAAAATTATCGAAGTAATCAACAAAGACCTACGCGAGCAATTTTTAATCTCGCCGATAATTGATTGGTGATTGCTTGTTAATCTTTTGTGGCTTCACACCCACAGATTAAAGGCAGGATTATACAATGTTGATTCAATGGATTACTCAATGTTGACGGGACGACTGATTGATGTCGTAATTCGAAATATTCAGAATGTGGATTACTCAAAGCTTTTTTGGCTTAAGTAATAAGGAAATAGATCAGGACATGAAAATGATGTCAGATTTCACAGAATGTCATAGTATTCAGATGTCGGATGTGACAGCGTCCACTGTAGTTAGCAATTTTAAGGCTTTTAATTCTGATCACCAGGCAACTAAAAATTACCGCCACAAGCAGCTAAGTCATCAGAACAGTTATGAGGTAAACAACTCATCGAGATTCCACAAGAAATTTCATAACTAAAAAATTGTTGAAAATCAAAGGGTTCTTCGACCTTTCAGTTGGACAGAACTAATATAAATTTCAGAAAAATGGGTTAATAGCTACAGCCTATAAAGTTCCAACAAGACTTTCATAACAACGAGGCATAACAATGCAGGTGATTCTAGGGTAATCTTGATAATCAATGGGTTTTTTTTTGTTTGTTTAATAAAATAACCATTTTAAAATGATATGTGGATTATTGTAGCCTCTATTGTGCAAACAAGAAATGTAAATGGCAGATTGACGGATGGACTAATAGATGTTATGGTAATATACGACCACATTTAAATGCAGGAATGAAAAAAAAAAACCTGCTTTACCATTTAATTCCATTATTTCCATTCTCTCTCCATCTTCACTTCTACCAACAAATCTCATTCCTTTTTCTTCAAACTGACTAACAAATGCTGGATTAACCTGATTTAAATAATATGTAGGAATTCATAAAATCTAAAATATAATAATGTCTATAACAATTTGTATAAATAAAATAGTGCTATATTTTTTTGCTTAAAAGCTTTCACTTTGTCATCAACATAATATTTGTATAATACCTCATATCTGTGTCTGTGACGTTCTTCTACATAATCTTTATTGTGATATAATTTTCCTATTAAATAAAAAATGTTAAAGGGTTAATTTAAGACTGGTTTGACAGTATTAAACATTGAAGACTTACAACTCAATACTGTTGGTATAATTTCTATAAATACTTACGAACATAAGAATCTTTGCTTTTAAAAAGTGTTTTTCGTTGACCTAACCTCATGGTACCCCCCATTTGACCTGGGTTATGCTCTGGCATTTCTATCACCTAAATTGACAAAGAATAATATTCATTAGTGGAATCTGTGGCACACAATTATTGTGTCAGACATTGGTTTATGTTATTTTAAAATATACCCTGAAATCTATATCAGAGCAATCAACACAATCAATGTGACCTTTGATCTACAAAATTTCCATGTAAACAAAATAAAGGCAACAGTTTCACAACACCAATTTTTTTTTAAAATATTGAAGGGTAGGCCCGACATTTCATGAATGTCCTATTAAAGGGGCATTATGGGAGATTAAATAAAGAGTTAACAATTCTCGCTATAATAGTTTTAAAAAAGATAATGCAAATAGAATATGCTGAAAATTTAAGTCAAATTGCTTCACTCTGAACCGAGATATTAGCTTTTGAATTTTAGGCTAGCCTCGATCATCATTACTAAAGTCGGTATGATAGAGACCTGTAATAGGCAGATTTAGCTCTTGCATAATGTACATTTAATATCATATGATTTAAATTGTCACATACCACAGGGTGTTCTGTGTTTGGGTTAAATTCTGTTGAATGTGCGTCAGACCACTGTAAAACATTTCTACCAAATTCAATTACAGCACACTGAAGTCCTAAACAAACACCTGAAAATAATTTAAAATGAGTATTTACATTTCAGATTTCAGCTCAGCTCAAAATAATGAAAATGCTTGCCAAAGCCATTCATAGGGTTTAAGTAACTCTTTTATAATCAGGTTTATCCAGCTGATTAACTGGATGTTGGCTATTTCTTGAACACAAATCACAAAGGTGCAGTTAAACATACATTATGCAAGAGCTAAATCTGCCTATTGCAGGTCTTTCTTTAGGCCTGCGATGTTATCTAAATTATTAATTAGACATTAACTTATCCAGACCATAATCAACTCTTGATGTCATCGCTAGCCTGCGATATTTACTGGATTAGGATCCGATTTGCTGCTCAATTTTCATTCATGATTAAACGTAAAAATGGATAATCGAGATTATGTTGATTTTTTTATCATACCAACTTCTTGTTTTAGAGTGGATCAATTTGACCGAAATTTTCAACAAATCCCCCTTATATTATCTAGTTTTAACTATTATAGTGAGAACTGTCAGCTCTTTATCTAATCTCCCACAATGTATCTGTAAGTTTTTTTCATAAAGGGTTCCTTCCAAACAGAAATTACCAATTTTATTCACTGAACTGTCAGGGATTATTTACAAAATTTGAAAGGAAAAATATGCACATACCAAGGAATGGAACATTTTTTGTTCTTGCCCACTGAGCTGCCAGTATTTTACCCTCTGTACCCCTAATACCAAAACCCCCAGGTACCAATATTCCACTGAAAAAATGTTGAACATGAAATTGGTGGCAGTATACACAAGCTTCTATAAATTTTACATTGTTTTCAATGAATGTGTGATCTATAATGTTTAAAAAATCCAATTGTTTACAGGCATTTATATACAATGAACAAATATATGTTAAATTGAGTTCAGAGATGTCCATTTGTTCACACAATCAAAGATTATAAAATATCTTACTTGGCACCAACAAGTTCTTTCCATGCTTGATGATATCTTTGAGCATCTTCGTGAACCATAGAAGGTTCTAAATCTGCTGCCTCTATATACTGTAATCAGAATTAAAATATATATATAACACTTCAAGTAATTAAAGCGGCATTATGGAAGATTAGATAAAGAGCTGACAGTTCTCGCTATAATAGTTAAAAAATAGATAATTTAACGGGAATATGCTGATAATTTCAGTCAAATTACTTCTCTCTGAGCCGAGAAATACCAATTTGATTTTTAATAACATTGTAGCCTTGATTGTCATTGTTACAATAATAATAAACAAAGTCTCAATTATCCATTTTTACTGTCACTGTAGAAAGTGTGAAGGACAAATGGGATGTGGCAGACCGCAAATGTAAAATGTAATGAGAGAAATGTAAAATGTAGACACGTCAAAAAAAGCATTTTCCCACAAAATATTTGTCACTTAACATTTGACGTTTTACATTTAACTCTTACCTTAGAGGTATTTTGATCAATATCAGTATTAGGACTTTGTACATTGTACTTTTTACATATAATCAATGGAAACGACATTGTCGCAGAGCATTTAATATTGGAAGCGGTACCCTTCCATAAATTAATGTCTAATCAATAGTTTATATAACATTTCAGGAGTGAAGACAGACCTGCAATAGGCATATTTATCTCTTTATAATGTATGTGTAACTTTCAACATACAGTTTGATGAGAGAGAGAGAGAAAGTGAGAGAGAGAGAGAGAGAGATGAAGTTTAACATCCACTCGACACAAACTTGGTCATTTCTGGACTAACATATGGTTCAATTTTATTTCAATAATTTCCTTGGGGTCTTTTAGCAGTGGGAGGAAACCGGAGGACCCAGAGAAAACCCACGAGGTTGGACAGGCGACCCTACTCCTTGTCACATACAACCGGGGAATCGAAACCACGCCAGTTGACTCAATGACCGACCTTATGACATAGTGCATGTGCACTAACCATTTGGCCATTCCCCCCCCCCCCCAGTTTGTTCAACACTATGAACAGGGTACATTCCGAATTAGATGTTAACTTTAGCGTCCGACATACCTTTAAATCTAATCTATGACTGGATGCTAATGCTGCATGTTGTAGTGATTTGATAACAGACGCATAAGCATCTTCTAACTGTGTATATTTTCCTACTAATACAATTGTTACTTCTTTTAATAGACGATCATATCTGTAAATATAAATAGCAGCTTTATACCAAAATTAAATTTAAATATCACTTGTATGGTATGCATTCTTTTGAGAAATTTATGAACAGATCACAAAAATCTGGGGGGAGTTAAAACATATCGAGACAAGACTAATTAGATTTAACCATTCTCAAATATAGCATACATACATCTAAGTCAAGATCATTTAATTCTGTTAGCATATTTTTAAGAAAAGCTTATTCTTATAAGGTGATATTTACAATAGTTACAAACCTATCGGCTAGTTCTTTCCATTTGATCATTAATTTACGAGGTGAAGGTGCTGCTTCAGGTAAACCTAGACGTTTAATAAAGAACTGTTTGGCTCCCTGATCTTCCAATAACAGAGGTACACGATATAACGATGTTACATCATGAACACAAAACACCTAGAAAAATATTCATATATTCCATTTTGGCTATATTTTCAAATACTTAGTTTAAAATTATGGTTTATAAGTATTACAGAAGTAAATGAGTGTATGAAACCAGTGCTTTGACCTGCAAATTGTTCTTGCTTAAAATCTTATAAAAACTAGATCTATTTTATACAGATTTACTACCAATACATCTTAATTAATAACTGCTTTAGACAAATTACATACATACAGTATAAATCTGCTATATCTACTAACTAATCTACTAACTATCCTACATCTATAATCATGCTACATAAACCAATAACTACCAGGGCCCTGTTGTACAAATCTGTTTCGATGAATATACGTAGATTTTGGGGCCACAAAAAAAAAAATATTCTGGTTTTCAGATAGTGCTGGTCAGGTTTAAACAAGTAAAGGGGAATCCTATAAACAGCATAATAAAACAAGCCAACAGTGAGGCTGATGTCCCCCACCGAAATCCCAAAATAAATAGATGACACATATTAATTGCACATTTATTTTTTTCAAAAGTATCAAACAATCGAACTGATTATCAACTATGCACTAAGTTTCATCACTCTCTATCAGATAGAATCAAAGTTAAGCTCTGCTTAGCTTTAGGTCGAAATGAACTCATTGAACTCAGTAAAGACTTTCACCTAATGAACAGCTACATCAAGTTTAACCAGTGATGGGTTATCAAAACTTTTCTTGTCTGACATTTTTACCAAAAATAAAGGGGCACAACTCTTATCGTTATTTAAACAGGCAGTTTCAGACGACAATTAAAAATCATGTGTCAACAAAGTATTATAATTTTTACGTAATAAAAAAATAGGTGCGCCTCGTTATTTTTCATATTTAATTCCCGTACGGTATTCAGATTATGTCAGTAATATTTCTACAAAATTACGTGTTGTCGTAATTAAAGCATGCCGACTACCGTCGATCCATACTTTTGTTCAAATTCACCTCCACAATTACCATATTTTTGGGGGTAATAAGTCGATACTTTTTTCAGCAGAAGTCCGACAATCGTCTTATACTCTTGTAACATCTCTTATAATTTCACGCGTCACGCAAGATTTCTACTTTAGGTTTTCGATTATTGTATTATAACCACGTGTATGTGTGTGAAATAGCTTTAGTTAACGTCCGCTTCCACCGAAGTGATATCGCAGACAAATTAATGGATATATTGATTTATAAGTTAACATGATAATTGTCATGTTTACATCTCTTGTAATTTCACATGTCTCGAGATTTCTACTTTAGTTTTTGATTATTGTATTATAACCACGTGTCTAAAAAACAAGATTGTGTTTATTGTGTGAATCTAAAACATCAAAATACAAGAACAATGATAAAAATAGAACAATCATATGGATTTTTGGGTAAACACTTAAATAGTGTCAAAAGTAATATCCAGAAAATGTCTTTGTCAAAATAAGTTGATATGGCACCATGGCATTTCTTCATCGCACAATTTGTAGTCTTTTGTCCATCACGTAACTAGTCACGTAACTTGCAAAAGTTTTTATTCATTCATCGATGATAGACAAACGGCACAATGGTCACGTGACAACTACAATTGAAATTGCTATAAAATAAAATTCGTACAACTATGATATAGCTTCAATAATATTTTTAAAATTAAGCCTCTGTCACCATTTGTATAAACGCTTTTTAGATCTGGTTTATTGACCTAATTCCAAGCGATATGTCACGTGTCATAGGAATTCAGCATTTGAGATTCTGTCGGGAAAATACCCTGTTTCTCTTTCCGTATATTCGGTGTTCTACCAGGGGATTATATTCAATGAAGATTTAAATATACCTAACAACTGGTAAGGGAATCCATCAATGTATGATCCATTTATTATTTTAATATCTACCTGTACCTGGAATTCACATGGACGGAGCATAGAAGACGTGCGATTTGCAAACCATGCCGAGATCGTCTTTATTCGCCACGTGGAGTATTTTACTGAACCTTTTATGAATTATCAGCAAGCGTGTTTTGTTTTTTTACTAGATTGTCAAAATAAATGTCAGTCAGCTAAAGCCGACAAAATACAGCCGGTACTGACCGACATTCAATAGTCGGACTCGACAATTCTCCGAGATTTTTTTTTTTTTTTTTTTAAATTTTACGCGTCTAGATTCGCAACGTTAGCTCTTTCGAGAATCTTTGCGCGATTCGGAGCTTCGCGTGAATTTCTAGCCCTGGTGTGTGTGTGAAATAGCTTTAGTTAACGTCTGCTTCCACCGAAGTGATATCGCAGACAAATTAACGGATATATTGATTTACAAGTTAACAGTTATATTGATTTCGGGTGTTACATACTCTTACAATATGTGACATCTTTGACTAGTTTATACATATTGTTGGCTTACATCAATGCAATTAAAACGTCCCACAATGGAGAAACCATGAGGTAAACATGTCAACTAAAATTATAATCACTCTTATTGGATTGATGAATAGTCTGACAAAAGGGAAGCAATGACTTCTGTTTAAGATTAGATTGATGAATTGTCCGACAAAGGATTAAGTCAGTCAATCAAGGCAGATTAAGTAGTTAATCAAGGTAGGTGTATAGACAGTATAACACAATAAATACATTGATCACTGAATTACCTAATCAATCCAGCCTATTATCAACAATAATCAGGCTGCGTGGTAGTTATACACGGAGTGGTAGTTATACACTCAGTACACTATATCAATTTTGGAATTTTGAATATTATTCACCATGTCTTGATGTCCGATTGGGCATATTACTGGTTGGACAATTTAGGATGTTTGGAAAATAGTGTTGGACATGTCCGGAATATACGAGCGAAATCCCATCACTGAGTTTAAACATTCTACCTCAATTAAAAGCAGAGTTGTTATGTTCCGAAGTCCTGACCATTCAAATTGCTTTTCTCTCCTAAGCCTAAGCAGAATATTCTCATCATCGAACTTAGTCAAGGTAATGATATAATGAATCTATACTCAGAGTTTCATCACTCTCACTTAATTAAAACCAAAGTTATCGCGCCCCAAAGCATCAAGCAATTAGATTGCTTATCTCTGCTTACCGTAAGCAGACAATGTTTATCATCGAACTCCATCAAGGCATTCACCTAATGAACGCCTGCACCAAGTTTGAACATTCTACCTCAATTAGAGGGAGAGTTATTGTGTTCCAAAGTCTCGACCAATCAAATTACTTATCGCAATTACTGATATAATAATAATAAACACCAATTTTCATCACTCTCTTAATTAGAACTAAAGTTATCGTGTCCCAAAGCATCAACCAATCAAATCGCTTATCTCGGCTTACCCTAAGCAGAAAATACTCATCTTCGAACTCCATCAAGGCATTAATCTAATAAATACCTACACCAAGTTTGAATGTTCTAGCTAAATTAGAAGGAGAGTTATTGTGTTCCAAAGTCTCGACCAATCAAATTGCTTATCGCTCTGCTTACCCTGAGCAGAAAATGTTCATTATCGAACTTAGTTAAGGTATTGACGTAATGAAACTATACACCAAGTTTGATCATTCTCACTTTATTAGAATTCAAGTTATCGTGTCCCAAAGCATCAACCAATCAAAATTGCTTATCTCTGCTTACCCTAAGCAGAAAATGCTCATCGTGGAACTCCATCGAGGCATTGAATTAATAAACATACTAGTTCAATTAGAAGGAAAGTTATTGTGTCCCAAAAAGTGTGACGGACAAACAGACGGATGGATGGACAGACAGACAGATGGACAAACCCATTTTAATAGTCCCCTGCTTTCTTGGAAAGGTGGGGGGGGGGGGGCAAAAAATGATGAGAAAAATATAGAATCTTGAATTTGATATTGGTAATTATATCATCATCCTTTTGAGTTTGACAAAATAAAAACAAGACAGGTTGCCAGGTGACAAAACACTTGCCCGTAGTAGCTCTGTTGTACGAACAGTATGTAAAGGTTGTCATATCTAGAAATTGATCAGGAGTAACAACCCATAAGAAACGTGGCCAAAAAAGATCTACCTCCCACTTCAGAACCAGAATTTGTTCGTATGCCCTTGTACAACAGGGCCAAGTATTCCTATAAAAGTAGATCTATATGACTATTGTTTTTGCCTGGATACCTGTAAAGCGTGCATCACAATCAAACATCTACAAACAGGTATCTGTTGAACAAATAAGGCTTCCCATCAACCAACTCTGACTGCTTAATTTTTATTGCCATATACCCAATTACAAACTGGCAGCAAAAACTGATTTGGTCCCAGACCAAATATAATTTTGCTTGAATAACTGTACACCATGCTACCGACATTTACTGCACTTTTACAAGATAAACTGTACCAAAATTCCTTCATTATTTATAAAAGTACTGAGAGTTGAAGTCTGGACGAATGCATCTACTTCATCCCAACTTATAAGCTGAGCACCAGTAGGTAATGTTTCACACTGAAAGCAATTCATTTACTTTCAAAATCAAAATAGGCAAGACACTAAAATTACTGGTTAGCTTATATTATTGGTTGCACTGGTCTCAAAACCAGAAAATTTTGGATTGGAACTTTAAAACTCATCAGAAGTCAAGTCTGCATGGCTTGAAAAGGAGTGTCTAGTCAATGCAGTAGGAATTTTATGAATGTAACTGAGGGTAACTGATCAATTGCAAATGTTGCCGTTGCATACCTCTTCCGAAATTGGTATATATCACCATAAACAATGTCTTACTTGTCTAAAAATTACCGTAAGTTTGAATTACTTACTACAAGATACGCCCATATTTTGCAAGAGATGGACAGAGAACAAGCTAAACAAAAACATAATTTTTGTACAATCAAGGGATAAAATCAAGTTATGGTCCGATATGCATGAATATCAAAAGAAACCGAGATCTGTTGGATATAAACATATAGTTTAAGTTTCATCAAAACTGTGGCTTCTAGAGGGTCCATAACCTTGTAGTGTGGAGGGGAGTCCATCAAATGGTTACAAAACCAAACTCAACTTTTCTAAAGTAAATTTTTATTTAGAATACTTTGCCGAGTGGTAATCAGTCTGTCGTTGGGGTGTTTTCGATATATTCTGGGTCAAAGTTCAAATGAGGTCATTTGCACTGAAACTGAATGCGCAGCCATTCTTGTATCATGAAAACATGCTGAAAATGATCGAAAGTAATCACCCTTTCAATAAAAATGTGAACAGGCTAAATTTTCCGTTTTTGCACAGAAAGTCTCAAGTCGCAAAATGTAACAAGATTGGCTACACCTGATATCATTCAGTCTACAATTCTGTGGAATACAATTATTGTTTATTACTGACCGACGTTCAAACTGGCTTCTCTATCTTTATCAATGCTTTTAGTCTCTAAAAATACTTGGTCAGACAAAATTTATTCTACAAACCTGTTCTGGTTCTACGTGACAGAATAATGATATCTTATCTTTAACAGCATTCATCAATGGTGAATTACTTCTACAAACAACCTTTAAATATACCAAAGTTATTCGTATTACAATACAGATAAGTAAGGAAATATTCTGTAACCATCCTTTATCAAGTCATTCCTCTTTAAAACTAGCTGAACAATTCCAGCAACTTGAACAAAAAGCTTCAAAACTCTGACCTGCAGAGTGTTTACAAGATGGATGTACAGGAGAGACAACAACAAACTCCAGGATGAAAGGTGGGTGCATAAAAATTATGAAGACATATGTATTCCCAAACACAAAGTCACCAATAATCCTTCAGCATTCTGACAAGTTTGCTGAATTAACATTTTAATCATTCCACAATTAAGGCGTGATCAAATCATATTATTTCACACTGCAATAAAATTTAGATAGAAATGAACTTACCAAATCTGGCGATAATCCTAAGCCTCTTAACTCTCTTACACTTGCCTGTGTGGGTTTTGTTTTCTGTTCCCCAGTTGTTTTGGGCTGAAAAAGAAAACAGCAGCATTGACAATATTAACGCTTAATCAAATTTAATTAACACATGTGCATTATGTCAATACATGTATCTTTTATTATAAGAACTCTCTTATAGTCCTCCTTTTTGTCTCACTGACTACTCAAGTTAATATTCAAATTGTGTTTTTATAAAATGAGGTTAACACTTGTTCCTCATAGACGAATACAGCAGGGCTGCCGACAACCAGCATCACAGCGCAATTTGCGATACATATTTTCTCCGCTGCTATCAAAAATTAAAATCTAACGTTTTTGATTCGCAGTAACTACAATCATTAATATGCTTGTCATTTTGGATATAGACACAGAGATTTATCCATATTTTGAAGACAAGAAGGCTTTCTCAACACTTTCAACGTGTATAAAATGTTGAATAAAATTTTATAAACAAAACTGAATTCTCCCTGTGACATTTTCGTCTCGAACTACCCAGACACAATTCATTATACTATATAATACCGGGACATAACTCTATGAATAGGGACTATTAAACCGGAAATAGGGAATCGAGTAGTACCACTCACGTTGCAAGACATGTCAATTTCAAGTAATCATGTATTCATTTTGAAAGAAATAAATCCAGTGTATCCTGCACGCATTGTAAATAAAATAAATACATGTTAACATAATGTAAAATGATAAATCAAAGTAAGAATTCCCGTAAAATATTATTGTTTATATCGCGTTTGTCTAGTTAATCGAGGTGTGCCCGATTGAACAAAAATAGTAACAAACGATAAAAAGCAGACGAAATTGTTTTCTATCGAAGATTTCTAATGTAACAAAGAAATAACAATTAAAATGAGTGGGGCTTCGGAAGTCACTGCCAAGAATTGGCATCAGGCATAAGACCTAACTAAAAGTCTATATCACATTCACAAACTGTCAAAACTACATGTGGCAGTGCTAAAAAAATCGAAGAATGAAATCTAATCATTTGTTATGAATTAAAGTAATATCTTGTTATTTAGGTGTTTTATGTTGAAGCTGAAAAACTGCTAATCAATTTTTAAATTTGCTAATCAAATTTGGCAAAATTGGACTTTTTTATTAGCAGTGCTGTTAATCAACTGTGAAAAAGTACCGACAGTCTTGAATTACAGCTACAACTAATCATATATGTGATCTAAATATATTCAACAGACAACAACTCACCTGAGGTACTAAGCTAACATGAACACAACAGAAGTTCTCTCTTTTAACACGAAACTGAAACTGTCGGAAAGCTTCAACAAATGGCATACCTTCAATATCCCCTATTGTTCCTCCCAACTAAAATAAAACAAATATAAAATCAAAAGTGAATTTATTTTATTAAAGATGCATTATACAACAGTCAAATCTGCCTATTGCATATCTTTATTTTGGCTTCAAATGTTATATAAACTATTATTTAGACACTTATTATAATAACAAGCCTATTATCAACTCTCTAAAATAATGGATGGCAGAGATTTAAACAGATGAAAATATGATCATCATTTAATGATTTAATTCAACCAGTGGCTGCCAGGCAGGATACGCCCACATTTTGCAAAAGATGGATAGAGAACAAGCTAAAAACAAACATGATTTTTTGTACAATCAGGGGCAATAATCCAGAAAGTTATGGCCTGAAATGTGCAAATATCAAAAGGGACTGAGATCTTTGTGATATAAAGATATGTTTTAAGTTTCATCAAAATCGGATAAAAATTGTGACCTCTAGAGGGTCCACAACCTTCGTATTACACACTTCTACACAATTTGCATACAAAGAGCGTCCATTTTGTCGGGCAGTTTCATTTCGATTTTCCCGAAATACAACTTAACCTTCATTATGGTGGAATGGTGGGGTACTTAAAAGGTTTTTAAAATCGGAAAAAAATTGTGACCTCTAGAGAATCTGCAAGCTAAAAATGCAATTTTTCGAACAATCAGGGGTCATAATCGAGGAAGTTAATTTCGGGTAACCGCAATTATCAAAAGGAACCAAGATCTTAGGATGTAACAGTGATATATTCAAACGTTTTTTTAAATCGGATAAAAATTGTGACCTCTATGGGGTCCACAAGCTAAAAACACGATTTTTCGTACAATCTGGTGCCATAATTCAGGAAGTTATGATCCGATATGCGAGAATATCGGAAGGAATCAAGATCTTTGGGTTATAAACATGTATTTCAAGTTTCATTAAAATTGGATCAAAATTATGACCTCTAGAGGGCCCACAACCTTGATATACCATATTTTTTACACTATTTGCATAGAAGAGGCGGCCATTTTGTGCGGCACAGTTTTGGTCCGATTTTCACGAAATTCGAACTTATTAGGGTGTAACGGTGATATATTCACACGTTTTTTTTTTTAAATCGGACAAAAAATGTGATTTTTCGTACAATCAGGGGCCATAATCCTTGAAGTTACAGTCCGATACATGCCAATATCAAAAGGAACTGAGATCTTAGGGAGATAAACCTATATTTCCCCGTCTTCATTAGCCCAGGTTAGGAGCAGAACAGTAGGATGTTAAACCCCATTTCATTTCATTTAAACCTATATTTCAAGTTTCGTTGAAATCGGATAAAAACGTGATTTTTCGTACAATCAGGGGCCATAACTTAGGAAGTTACGATCCGATATGTGCAAATATTATCTAAAGGAACCAAGATCTTTTGCTTATAAACATGCATTTCAAGTTTCATCAAAATTGGATGAAAATTGTGACCTGTAGAGTGTCCACAAGTTAAAAACATGATTTTTCGTATAATCAGGCTAGGGGCCATAATCCACGAAGTTATGGTCCGATACATGCCAGTGCTACATGCCAATATCGAAAGGAACCGAGATTTTGGGGGCATAGACCTATATTTCAAGTTTCATCAAAATCGGATAAAAATTGTGACCTGTAGAGTGTCCACAAACCAATTGTGGACGTACAGACAGGGGCAACGGCATAATACGTCCACATGGGCGTATAAAAAAAGATTAAATTTCCTATTTCAACATTAGTCCTCCTGTAATTTTATGTCTCTTCAGGGGGACTAAACACAATTTGTAAATGTAGATGGGATTTATGAAATGTTACTTGCAGCCTCTAGTGCAATGAAACACTTTTCATGTGTACACCTTCCAAGTCATGGGCTGAGTGGTACAGGCCTGATTTATTCTACACAATGTTCTTGAATTTTACTCTTTCTAAAATGAATCTACAAGCTTTTTATACACTTTAAATTACATTATGGGAACTGTTGCCTACATCAACTTAAGTCAGTCTTAGAACAAATAGCTACAAGTTCTGATATATGATTATTCAATCCAGGACATCCACATCACTGGACTTATCTGTGACAGGGATATATTATGACAGACTCATGTAGATTCTGGTTAATTCTTTTATGTTGTAAAGGGCTGCGTTATAATTCACTTAGATTCCAGATTGTGTTGTATGTTCTGATGGGCAGTTGTGTTGCTCATTCTATTAAAGGTATATAATGACTGAATGTCAAATATTTTAATTTTAAAATATTAGTTAATATTCACATTTCATTCAACCATGTAGTATAAAATCAAACTAAACGAGAAACAGTGATTATGATTCTGTACTTTTTTTTTTTACCATAGATCTTTTTATAAGATTATTCATCCTCTAAAATGCAAATTCCTATTCTTTTATTTATAAACATTTTAACATACTTGCACAATAAGAGCTACCCAATTTATGTTTTCTAACACATTAATTACAAGTAAACTTAATATTATCACAAGAGACAAAGGGTATAAAATAATTGAATTACTAATACAATAATTAAAAAAAAAAATTATTGTTTAAATCATTTTTACATAAAAATATTATCTATCTGTTTGACTGAATATATCTGATACATAATTATATTGATAAAAGCACAGATAGAGTAAGACACAGTGAGTTAAACTAGGTCAGCCAATAGCTAGCCTGTGTAATGCTAATGTTTGTTTAGACTGAAGTTCAGGTAGTGTTAGTGTATCAACTGATGTTATTGCCTGACTTACTTGACCTACTTCATTTCCTAGCTACACTCTGACTACACTAGAGTTACTCATGTGTAACACTGGTGTTCAGTGACCTTCACCTCTAATTTAAACAGACAAAGCTGGGTGAACAACATGGCTCACAGCAGAACTCAATGGAAACAGCACAAAATCATCTCTCTAGTTAATTGTTTGGTTGATAATCATGAAATATATAAACAAGAGAAAAAGAACCTAAGTTTAGAAGTGTTTTATACTACTATTGCTGAACAATTTAATTGTACTTGTCAACAGTTGAGAGATTTATTGAAGAATTTAGGCAAAGAATATCGACAGGTTTTACAAAATAGAACAAATGTTTCTGCAAGTTCAGTTACAAATGAGGAAACACTGCAATTACGTGACAGTAAAGAGCTTTTCGATGTTTTTAGTAGATACTATACTATTTATTATTCAAAAGGAACAACACACCAGCAAGACTACTTTGTGACACCTACTAAAGTGAAGAGAACATATCATGGTAGGTATATATTCTTAAACTGTATGTAAGCTATAATACTGCTGAAAGATTCAATTTTGACTATATGTGACAAAATACATTAAAGTGGCCCTAAGGGTAAATAAGAGTGTCAAGAAATAAACCAGTTTTAAAGTGAGTCTCTAGCTTAGACTGTAACACTCACTAATAACTGACCCTACACCATATAATGAAGACTTGGCAGAAAAACAAGTGTTATGTAAATGAACTAGTACAATATCACAGCTTTGTTGAGTCAATGGTACAGTAATTGCCATTTTGTCACTGTTCATGTCATCCTTTTGTAATTAAAGTCTCTAACTCAATATCATCCGAAGTCTTCGACATTGAAAACATGAATTATTTGTCTATTTAAATCAACATTGATGTGATCTTGCCGGGAAAAGATGGGTTTCTGATATCCAATATTTAAGATAAAATAAACATTTCACCATTGGTACATGAATCGTATACCATAATGCTTTTCAGCGCCATTTGTAACAAGGGACTTGTGAAGAACGAGGCTAGACATATTCCATAAGTCATGTCAAACGGTGACTCACATTCTTATCTGGAGAGTATGCTCAATAAATACTATCGGTGCAGAATGGAATAACCAGACGCTAGAGGTTGCCATTCGATTAAGACTTCTGGCGCATTTCGCTGAACATAACTGATTTGAAATTAAGAGTAAAAACGAAAAAGACTGAATGTAAATCAGTTTATATACATTCATATCATATTATTATATGCGTTGTGACCCATTTGTGTCAATCTCTAGGTCCCAAATATTAGCGATTTAGCTCCTTTAAATATTTATTACTCCTAACCTCGGCCAAATGTACCTTGGGGTTTTAATAACATTTTTGTTACAAAATTATTCGCGTTTTCTTTATTACATAACCACAAATCAAAATATTGAAACTTAAATGTTTATGTTTATTTTTTGACAACAATTATTCATCTTTTTTAATATCTTGAAATTTCAAGGTGTAGTCTTTTCACTTAGAATTTGAACTGTTCATCTTGAAATTGTACTTTATAAATTAAAACTAAAGAGGATTTTTTCATAATTTATGGTTTATTTCAGATTCGACTCAACCTGATACTAGTGCAAACAGTTCACCTACATTGACCATACATAATTCTCATAATGCTACAGAAAGCAGGCCTGCATCAACAGAATATAGACCCCAACCATATAGGCCTGCATCAAATGTATATAGATCTACAGTAACAGAACAGAGGCCAATGGGAGCCAATAGTCATTCCGGGGAGCAGCCTCAACCTAAACGAAAAAAGAAATCAAATGATGGAAGTCAAGATCCATACATAGATTTGATGAAAGAACAAAATCATTTACTGGCAAACTTGGTTAATGAAATCAGTTTTTTTCGGCAGATTTATTGTGAAGTAAATAGTAAACAACTGTCTACAACAGTTCCTGAAAATAATGTCGAGTCTCCTGACTCTCCTTCTACTATAACTATAAAGATGGAACCACCGGATGATGAATAAACTAAGTATCTATCACAACCATAACGTTAGATATATGTTCAGAATAATATATATTTGTACCAGCTATATTGTTCTTATGCACCAACATAAATAATTGCTGTCTTTACAGTGTAAGGAATAAATATGCAATGATCAATTCAGAATTGCAGACAACACAAAAATTGGGCATGGTTCAGCCCCTGGGGGTTGCCTATGTAACAATATAAATAGATACAACAACCCTATGATAGATCACGCCAAATTGGATCCAAATCTGTTAATAATGGCAACATGTAGATTAATTACAGACAAAGTATTAACAAAAAGTCTGTGTGGCACCGCCAAAGCAGGGCAGATCATGCACCAAAATCAATAGTTGCCGCCCTTAGGGTATAAGGAATAAGTATACCAAGTTCCAAGATAATCCATTAAGAATTGTGGTCTTCAGATGCTAAACACAAAAAATGGGTGTGGCCCGGTCAGGGCATGCACCAAAAACAACAGTTGCCGTCCGTAAGCTATAATGAATACATATGCCCAGGTTCCAAGATGATCCATTCAGATTTGCGGCCCATATTTGATAAACACAAAAATGGGGCATGGCTCTGTCCCTGGGGATTGGGACATGCACCAAAATCAATAGCTGCTTTCCTTCGGCTATAGAATATATGTACAAAGTTCTAAGACGATCCATTAAGAATTGTGGCCTGTAGGCAACAAAAAGGCACACAAAGAAAAAATGAATGTGGACCTATATAAAAGGCTATATATACTCTTCAAAAAAAGTAGGGGATATTCAGAAACAATACCAAACTGCGGAAATGCACTGCTGTTTTTATTAGAGGTAACCAGTGTATGTTAATAACAGGCCAATTGCCTACACATGAACATAAACAGTTCATATGGGCGGCTTATCTGATGGCCCCATTTCACACGCAAAGAGATACACCGTCAAAAGTGAAAATGTACGTTTTTGATTTTTGTCTTAACAATGAGTAATTGCTCCACCAATCCTCAGACATTCAGCAATTCGTCGTGGCATGCGTCCAACCACGATTTGGGGCAGTCTGACCCACTCCTCTTGCAGTGCCACGGCCAATTCTTGTAGTGTTGTCGGTTGACGTTGATGAACATGTCTCCCGATCATATTAAACATAACACACTAAAGCAAAGATACGCTAAACAGTAAATCTTATGCAAGAACCGATAGGAATGCTAACATGGATAGATAAACCAGCACACGGCAGTTTTCATCAACCCTTCCTTGAAGTGTCAAATTTGACAATGAACACCTCCCACGTGTATGGCGCTATTGCGTGTCGCATGTGCAGCTCAGTGGTTCTGTTGGGTCTCAAAGCGTGTCAAGTGTCCATGACTATTTATCATATCACAACCTGCATAGGTATTTGCATTTCAATATCCCCTACTTTTTTTTTGAAGAGTATATATATAAAACTGCTGATTCTAAGAACCATAATGATAAAGGAATCATTTGTTATGTGATGGTTAATACATGTAGTAAAATTATTACATATTTTATTGCTTTTTCAAACAGATGATTATACCCTGTAATAAAGATTCACAGTTGTAAAATTAAAAGATTTTAAATTCCATTTTACTTTCTTAATTTTCTTGTACAGTTTCTTCTGGAAGAGGGTGTTCATTACTTTATCAGTATTTTTTTTTATTTTCAATCACCATTCTATATTTATACAGTGGAGACTGCAGAACAAGGTGTTTCAATTATAACCAGAAATAGGACTAGTAGTCTGAATTTAAAATGCTGGATTCACACAGATTCACTACAATATGTCCTTTTTCTTTTCTATTCCATTCCATTCTGACCTACATGTATTTATTGAGTGTAAATGTAATGGAGACCATAAACCTTACACATTTAAAAGTAGTCATATCAAAATGCATCTAATACATTCTATTGTTACATGCCATCATTTCAGAATGTCTGCCTGCTGCTGAAGAATAACTGTTTCTATCACTGAACAACTCAGCTGCTTTAAGGGTTAAATGACTTTTTGGAGCATCTTTTGAGACGAAATACTGTAAAGAATTTTTCTTTTAGTTATCTAATCAAGGTTCTAGAATAGTTAATTTGATGAAACATGTCCTTTTTTTTAAAAAAATAAGTTGTTGTTTTTTTAAAAGAGGTGATTCATATATTTCAAAAGTACAACCACTACAATAACTTTTTTCAGCTATCAAATATCGATACAAAAAATTCACCAAATTAGTACTGGTCTTATCTACAAATAGTATTCTGTTGTCTGCTTTCTGCTGATTTTAAAATCTTTTCTAATTAAATTGATACTTTGCTCATTTTTTAGATATACCTTATGGAAAAATTGCTCATTTATAAAATGCCTATTCAACACCTTTTAAAAGTCAAATACAAAAAGTTTACTTTATCACAGTTTGTATATATTTTCTCACGGCGGGTTGCATATTTTCTTTACTTCAAGTATATTAGATAATTACTAAAGTCATAAGGCAGAAAACAGTTAACATTCTGAAGCTAAGACATATGTGTAAACAAGATTCTAGTGAAGGTTTTTAAAGGAGCTAAATCACTAATATTTGGGACCTTGAAATTGACACAAATGGGTTGCAACGCATAATTAATATGAATGTATATAATCTGATATACATTCAATTGGTTCTGTTTTCACTTTAATTTGAAATCTGTTATGTTATTACAGCAAGGTAATTCAGACCACGTGACATCAACATGACATATGTAGTCTGTAGTTGGAATTCGTTTATCATACACAATACAATTCATGCCGTGCGAGATCAGTAACTTGCAAGTAAAGCACAAAATATGAATACAAAAAAAATAATATTTTCCAAAATAACAATAACCCCCAAAATTTAATAACCATAGCTACTGTAATGTAAATGGGCTATCAAGGCAAATAAAAAGTACACTGTTACATTTAATTAATATTGAGTATCCATGACAGATTGTAACTGCACCTCAAATGACCAAAACTGCTAATTTAAATTTGATTTGATTAGCAAAAATTTATTAAAACTATTTCGCACTGCTAACCAATTGTCCACAGTTATTTTGTTTCCTGATGTGGTCACCGTTTGACATGACTTGTGGAATATGTCTAATAATAATAATAGTTTTCTATAGTGCTGAACATTCAGTCAGTCTGACTGCTCTGTGATGCTTTACAATGTAGATATAATTATAAAAAAAACATACATACAAATAAACAAAAGAATACAAAGGAATAGTCAAGTGACAATATACAAATGGAAAGAGAAGCATTTAAATTATAGTTCAAAAGTTTGGGTAAAAAACAGGGTTTTCAGACGTCGTTTAAATATAGCCATGTTTGGATTTTTTGGACTCCCAGAGGCAATTTGTTCCATTCTTTTGGTGCTGCGTATGCAAAAGCTCTCACCAAATTTTGACTTCTGTACTGGACATACAAGTTGTTTTTTATGAGATGAACGTAACTAACGCGAAGGTACATATTGTTTAATTAAATCGGATAAATAGGATGGTGCCAAAGGATCGTTTTAAACAGTTGAAAGAGATAGCCAATTTAACTGTTTTAGAACAGGCTTAATATGGTCAGATGGTTTGGTGAGAGATGCAATTTGATCTGCTTTATTCTGGATTTTCTGTAGCTGACTTTGAGTTACAAAAGGAGCTGAAATGCATTATGGTACACGATTCATGTCCCAATGGTACATTTTGTCTTAAATATTGGATAACAGAAGCCCATACTTCATGTTTTCAATGTTGAAACTTTAAGTTGCAATCCATAATCATTCATTATATTGGAAAATATATTATAAGATATGCAAAAAGATTTCTGCTGACTTTATAATTTTATACAACCACATTTTCATTTGGACGAATAGTCTTCGCCCCTGTCCACCCGCTCTGGTCTACAGGTCACAATTTTTATCCGATATTGACGAAACTCAAAATATAGGTTAATTCCCAAAGATGTCGGTGCCTTTCGATGTAGACATGTATCGGACCTTAACTTCATGGATTATGGCCCCTGATTGTACAAGAAATCATGTTTTAAGCTTGTGGAGACTCTAAGGTCACAATTTCTATCCAATTTTGATGTTCAGCTTGTTCTCTGTCCATCTCTTGCAAAATGTAGACATATCTTGCATGGCAACTGCTTGTTGTAATTTTTTCAATGATTTGTTTACAAGTCTAAGTCAATGATGAAGTGCTAATAAGATCATTTATTTCTGAAAAACAAATCTTATATGCCAATAAATTAAAGACAGCTCAAACTAAGGATTTTATATGTGCAAGGGACATAACTCTATTTAATAAAACTTTCCCTAATCTATTCTCCGGATGGTTTCCATATTCAAATCTGACCAAATTTCTTTGCAGAAATCGGCTTTTACTCCAATAATGTAAATACCTTTACCACACTATGTTAGGGTGACCCACCATAAATAAATATCTCCATATATCTCCATATATCTCGACAATTACGCCACAATATTTATATATATGCCAAGCCTCAATTCAGTTTCACACAATTATAGTCACTAAATAAACGATCATGTTGTACTTAATAAGCTATGACCATTAATCATCTATAAATAATAGACTGAAAACTGGTTCCAAGTGTCGTCCATAACATCCAGACACTTTTGAGTAAAAGATAGGTTACGTGCCCTTGTTTTGAAATTTGTCTCGCTTAACCAGTCTATCGACCATTCCACGTCTGATTGACAGGTCGGGATAATCAAGACTACTTTTTTACGAAACATAACAGAAAGCTAGAACAAGAAATTGAATTTAGAAATAAGCGCGTTAGGTAGCTCAACAATCGTTTTAAGAACCTTGTTAAAGTAAAATGAAACTACTGCTAGTATCATGTTCCTGTCTAACCCGAGTGATTCAGAGATATTATTTGTACTAAACCAAAAGATGCCGCTCTTAACGGTACAGTTAATGATAAAGCGATTTAAAAAATGAAACGAACGTAATTTCTAAATCTGCTGTAATAACCAAGAAGCTTAATTTCACTGCTATTCAAAATCGTCAACAATAAATTTTTTACGGCTGTAATAGTTGATAGATTTGTAGAGAATTGCACGTGCCATGGCTATTTATAGTATCATACTGTCAGAAAGTTGGTCTCGGCACGGCGAATGTGCACGCTTCAGTGGTAGTCTCGAACTATCAGTGGTGGACTTTATTTCTGTAGAGTACATGGGTCACCCTAACTATGTCAAAGAAAAAAACAAATTATACAATTTTTGAATTTTGTGGTTACACAAACATGATTTATTTAATTATGTATCAAAATGATGAAATATTATTTTTGGAAAAGCTATCTCAAAATAAATTGTTTTATTTGATGTCTTTCACTTAAAAATTAAGATCATTGAACCAAAATGTTTTAATCTTTCTGGAATACTTGATACAACTTCTCACAGTCATGTGGCAAGTTCATTTAGTCCTTTAACAGGATACAATAATTTGATGTGTTCATTTATTTTGCAATGCAAGCTACTATACCTATTCACAGTAATAATCAAAACAATGTAGGTAAGTGTCATAACGCTAGAAGAATTATTAACCGAAACTGATGAAATTCCAAAGCTGTATTCATTTCATTTATCTGAACAATGCATATATAAGCAGATCAGATGATAACATAAGCTATATCACGTTACAAGAGTGTCCACAAGATTTTGTCAAACAAACCAACAGTGAGGCTGATGTCCCCCGCTGAAATCCCAAAATAAATAGATGACAAATATTAATTAATCGCACATTTATTTTTTTCAAAAGTATCAAACAATCAAACTGATTATCAACTATACACTAAGTTTCATCACTCTCTATCACATAGAATCAAACTTATCTTGTCCCAAAGCATCGACCAATAAAATTTCTTTAGCTCGAAATGTTAATCATTGAATTCAGTCAAGACATTCACCTAATGAACATCTACATCAAGTATAAACATTCTACTTTAATTAAACGCAGAGTTATTGAGTTCCAAAGTCTCGACCAATGAAATTGCTTATCGCTTCGCTTACCCCCCCGAGCAGAAAATGCTCATAATCGAACTTAGTCAAGGCATTGATGTAATAAAACTATACTCCAAATTTCATCACCATCACTTAATTAGAACTAAAGTTATGTCCCAAAGCATCAACCAATCAAACTTCATATCTCTGCCTACCCAAAGCAGAAAATGCTCATCTTCCAACTCCATCAAGGCATTGACCTAATAAATAGCTACGCCAAGTTTGAACTTTATATCTCAATTAGAAGGAGAGTTATTGTTTTCCAAAGTCTGGGCCAATCAAATTGCTTATCGCTCTGCTTACCATGAGCAGAAAATGCTCATTATCAAACTTAGTCAAGCTATTGATATAAAGAAACTATACACCAAGTTTCATCATTCTCACTTAAAGATACATTATGGGAGATTAGATATAGAGAGCTGGCAGTTCTCACTATAATAGTTAAAAACTATGAACCAGAGTATTGATATAATGAAACTAAACACCAAGTTTCATCACTCTCACTTAAAGATACATTATGGGAGATTAGATAGAGAGCTGGCAGTTGATCCACTATGAACCGAGATTTTAGCGATTGACTTTTCGGCCTAGCCTTGATAATCATAACTGAAGTCAGTAGGATAAAAAAATGTAGTCGCGATTATCCATTTCATGATTTAATTATGAATGGAAGCGGAAAAGCAAATCGGAACTTAATCCAATAAACATCGCAGCCTAGCGATGCCACTGAGGGTTGATTATGGTCTGGATAAGTTAATTGATGTCTAATTAATAATTTATATAACATTTCAGGACTAAAGAAAGACCTGCAATAGGAAGATTTAGCTCTTGCATAATGTATGTTTAATTAGAACTAAAGTTATTGTTTCTCTCTCTCTCTCATCAACAAATCATATGATTGTAGTCAAAATGATCAAAAGGGATTCACGATAAATGATTTTAGTTCACTACAGGCCCAAAAAATATAAATGGAAATTGCTATTATATATTATATATCATATCACCATTAGGGCTGGCGAAAAATATCGATATTGTCGGTAAGCGTTTTGAAAATCGATTATCAATACAGTTTTAAAATAACGATTATCGCGCAATTATAGGTACTTCACTTGTAAGAAGACGTCCATAAAAATAATCCTTATCACTGTATTCTTTGCAACGCTTGCTTGGGCCTAGAACTGTAATTAAACACAATAGTCATAATAAAACACACGTTTTGTTTTTTCACGCGAGACGCCACCGGTGAGTAATGTTGGCCGCTTATGTCATGATGAGAGCCAATGGTTTCACGTAACATTCAGTTGTGCCCCTTATTTTGACTCTCCATTTCTTTCGTCTTGTCTGTTTCTAAGTCAAACACATACTTTCCCTTTATTAGTTTATCAAGAAATTTGCGAAGAAATGTCTGAAGAGGAAATAAGCAACAATGATATGGCAAGCGGTGGCGGTTCTGACTTCCAAACGAAGTTGATCGAGTTTCTTTCTACACCTTGGTTTTGCTATGGAATGCTATTATTCTATTGTCAAATGTCAAATAAATGAAAAAAATTCTACATGTATACAGAATCATATCACAACATAAACTTGCATATAATTCGTTATTCATGTACAAATTATGATTGTTTTCAAACCAATAGTAAGTCAAAGTAATATTTGCCAATATGATCGATTATTGACCTGTAGAATGTCCACAAACAAATTCTGGACCGACGGACGTCTGGACGGACAGGGGCGATGACAATATATGTCAACATGAAAATGTGGGCATATAAAAATGCAAATATTTATGTCATCTTATAAAGTATTATGGAGGCTTTTTTTATATCAACATGATTTCAACTGGTCTATACACGACCTGTCACAAAGTACCTCACAAGATGGAGAAATGAAATGTCAAGAATGAATGGAATTGGTACTGGCGATTAACTTAAAAGCCATAATACTAATAATACTAAAATAAATTAATTAACCGGTTGCAGTTGGGTTTTTAAAGACCAATTAGGTGGTTCAGACATCCTTAGTTACTAGTATTAATTTGGTTACTAAGCTTACATGTAACATGGAAGATTTGGGACAAGAAATTTGTGATAAAATTGTTACATGTAGTTTTGGTGACGGGCAAATTTAAGAATGCAAGTATAGATGCATTAATGTCTAAAATCTTACCGGATATCAGCTCTAGACTTTAGAAGAGTCCACAAGATTTTTCAAAGTGGTTTAAGGCTATAACTCAGATAGCAATTATTGGAAATCATTGAACAAACTTCTTTATCTCCTGAACATAAGAACTGTGTACAAATTTCAAGTCAATCGTTTACAACTTTAGCCTCTAGTGCATCAACAAGCAATTAATATCTGGGTGTATAAAAATGCAGATGGGTAAAATAATGTGTTTCATAATCTTGGGGTTACGATTATAATCATGCTAATTTATTGTAAAATAAAATAGTTAAATACCTCAATTATACAGACATCCGGTATAACTTGACTTTGATCAACAGGTCGTTTAGATACTCTCTCAACCCATTCTTGTATACTATCTGTTATATGAGGTACAACTGTAAAAAGAAAACATACACATACATTAATCAAAATCCCACTAATTGTTATAAAAATATATTTGAAAGTAGGGACAAAGTGGGAAAGTATAAGGAGAATGCAATTTGCTTCTATTTTTTTATTTTTTAACTTTTTATCAAATACAAGAATTCAAGCTTTTCAATAAATGTTATTTAATATTTATTGTAAATGTGAAAAAGCAGTAAAAAGGTTGAAAAGAGCTGATCACAGAAGATTTTCATCTGAGTATTCTGTACACACAAAAATAAGACTAGTGGATACTTAGCCCCCCCCCCCACCTCAAATAGCATTACCAAAGCTGTAGTGTTGCAGGCATAGTAACAGACACCTTGTATCACAGCTATATTACATTGGATTACAACCTCAAGATGAATTGTTACTTTTTCAAATCCATGTTATTTTAAAGGGCTAATCCCGGTAATCTTTTGGAGAATAAAACTGCTTAATTTTGTGTTAAAATCCCTTAAAATCCACAACCTAAGGGCAGAGCAACTAACTCAGTATTTGTGACACGTTTTCAAAAAACTTAAACCCGTCGGTCATCATCTGGAAATGGAGATCTGTGTCCCCAGCTGTATTATGGGTGTCTGGATAAAACCAGACATTTTTTAAATAAAAATAATATGTAGGTGAAATTTACTTTTCGTTATAAAGTACAGCACATGGGTCATTCACTGTATAGACCCCTCAAGGAACGTGAATCGATTATTAGGTCACAACGAAAAAATTGACCCGAAATCTTAAAAGGGTTACGTGTCTGGATAAGCAGTTTTGACATTCACGTCCAAACGACTCAATATTTTGAGCTGAAACTTTGAGACAAGGTAAATACACCATGCCCAGGGCTTGCCACTTGCGCGAGTGAGGCGAGTACATGTATTTACTCACGCAGAATGATGTGCGTGAGTAGCCATTTAAATTTCATGTGCCTAATGGCAATTTTAATGCTCTTGTCACTTCGGTGGAAGCGGACGTTGAATAAAGCTATTTCACACACAATGGCAATGCATGCTCTTTTATTTATCCAAACGAATTCTGTAAATCGTCTTCCCATGACAAGAACGTTGCGAGGGAAACTGGGTTTCCCTTTGCCATCGTTGGCGTGCTGAGGGGATTCGGGTAAAGCTTAGAAAGGTAAAAGAACAGGCAAAACAATTTCAATCCCATCAATTTGCAGAAAAGATGCGGGATCGAAAGAATTGCTATAGAAACGACAACATCCGCTCAATTTTTGATTATTCTGACACGGCAAAGGACATCCCCTTAAAAACTGCCTGGCAGTACGCGTCTCAAAGTATTTTTAGTAACAACAGGTGGCACTGGAAACACACGCCGCGTGCGCAATAGTGCATCAATATGAAGGCATACAAATTGTTTACGGCTTTTTTATTACGATATTCCATTATTTCTGATTAAATTATTTTTATATTTGCGCGAGTAATTAGTCACTCACGTAAATTTGGTTTTACGCGAGCGTAGCGTGCGCGCGAGTAATTACTCGCGTCTCGTGGCAAGCCCTGATGCCTCTATATTTTGGCGCTTAAATTTCATACATACTCGGACTTTTATTTTTTAGACTTCGTTCAAATCGGGATAGTCCCTTTAATCAAAAGTATTTAATCATGGAATTACAAGTAAATAAATTTAGCTTACCTTGTACTGTTTTACCAAGATAATCGCCTCTTCTTTCTTTATTAATAACACTCTGATAGATTTTACCTGTTGTAATATTGTTGTCTCTGTGTAGGGTTATGTCTAAAAATCTTTCATAATTGCCTAGATCTAGATCAACTTCACCTCCATCAGCTAATACAAATACTTCACCTACAACACACAAAATAAATCTTTCAATTAGTTTCAATATTATCACATTTTCCATTGAATATGTACAGTATTCTAGTTATCCCATAGGCAATCGCCAACTTTTATTGTGAAATTCAGGCAATTTTATTCCAAATTAATAGTTGATTATGTAAAGACTGACCTCCGTGATGTGCACACATTTAAAGCGTGATATAATTTACCAAGTGATAATAAAAACGCAGATCTTTTCATTTTACATGTACATGTAGACGAATCATATTTTATGGATGGTCGATTGAATCTTGGCTAATCCACGGTTTTTGTCCTGCTAAATGCAAATGCAGTGCCAGTTAAATTAAACCTAGATCCATCATAGATAAAGCCAGTGTTGAGATGTAATCGATTTTTTGTTCCATTCAACACAGATAAGCCAAAACTGAATCCAAAACTAGTAAACTAGCCTATTTTTCCTTAATCTTTCATTAACTTCAATTATGTTAATGCAAAACAATCTTAAATCTTACCATGTTCATAAGGAGAAAATGTTCCAGCATCGATATTAATATAGGGATCTATTTTTATAGATGTGACAGCTATCCCAGATGATTTTAATATAGTTCCAATACTACTAGCTATAACACCTTTGCCAACGCCACTTATGACACCTCCAGTAACCAATATATATTTCATGGCTGCTCTTAATGACCACGTCAGTTTCATAAGCTGAAAAATACCAAACTAAATTTTTTATACTTCAGCGCAGCTGATGATATAACAGCAGGATATAATTATAATAATAATCATTAAGCTATAGATTTTGTCTATATTATTATTTTATAACCTATCAAAAATGTTTGGTATGCGATAAGCTTTTAGCTTATTCAACTAATAACCAAAATGTATTTCAGCAATGTATTTAACCGACACACTGATACAGGCAACGGAGTCACTGCAATACTACTAATAACCTTAAAAAAGCAGGGTTAAATAATAAAACATGTCAGTTGACTTTACAAATTCACAGGAGTATTATTCATGTACTGGTACAATAGTTCTATCAAAAGTAAAATGCAAAGCAATGGAGGCAACATTACCCTGTCAAAAATACTAACTGGCACTGGTAATGGTAAACAATTACATCAGTCAGGGCTAACAAACATGGTACTTTTGGCCATAACCCCCCAAAACAAATATAATATTGAATCTGGTTGTGATTCTTTTAGTCTCATTCTATTACAACATATCACATCACAATACATTATACATTCAACTGAACTATGCAATCACAACAAGGTACTGTTAAGAAAATTTGATTCCAGTACTAAACTAGTTACAGTACCGTATTTGAAATTGTTTTTGTCAAGTGAAGTCTAATTATAAACTTCAAAGAACCGTCCATAGCACTGTCATTGCTACTGGGTCATCTTTAGTAACTTTCTCCTTAAAGATACATTATGGGAGATAAGATAAAGAGATGGCAGTTCTCGCTATGATAGTTAAAAACTAGATAGTGTAAAGGTAATTTGCTGAAAATTTCAGTCAAATTGATCCACTATGAGCCGAGAAAGAAGCGGGTGAAATTTTTGCATAGTCTCGGTCATCATTACTAAAATCATTAATATAAACAGCATAGTCTCGATTATCCACTTTTTCTGATTTAATTATCAACGGCAGTTAGCGGCTTATAGGAATCTAATCCAGCCAACATCGAAGGCTAGCCTTGACATCGAGAGTTTATTATGGTCTGGATAAGTTAATTCATGTCTAATTGATAATTTAGATAACATTTCAGGCCTAAAGAAAGACTTGTAATAAGCAGATTTTGCTCTTGCATAATGCATGTTTAAAATCAAGGGAAGTGACATATGTATTAAAATGATCAACAGTTACAGGCTAGAGCACAAGAAAATTAATAATCAGTCACAAAGGCATTGTTATGGTGTTGTCCATGGATACTTTTACAAAATAAACCACCCACACTGCGTCTTGTATAATGGCCATGTCCTATTGAATTATGATTAAAGTCAACTATAGGCATAGAACATATCAGTTGTCATCCCTGACATCACAGATAAGCTTATGCTTTTATTTTAATTATTTTGCATTCCAGTGCATTATTTCTTATATCTTTCATTCATTTTCCAAGTGCTGAATGTAGTGTTACCAGATCATTCATAGAAGAAACCGGGACATTTTGTTATTAAGATCAGGTAAAAGCAAAGTTGTGCCCGGAGTGCCCGATAAATTGAACGCAAAGTTGCGAATTTACTAGGGGGTAAGCCTACACATGTTTTGATGATCTCTTTGAAAACTACAAATAAAAGTACAAATACGTTATGTTTACATTTAACAGAAAGGTCCAAATTGACCGACAAGCAAAGAACCAATTACACTGTTCTTTGATTTGTGACCCTTCTTGAAGATCAAAAATATATGCGTTTTTTGTTGTTATTTTCAGTTGAAAAACACCGGATTAAAAACCGGAACGGGATGGCAAAGAGGACCCCAAAACTGGGACGTATGATAATCCTAGACCTTTGGCATAAGTGCTCAAGAATTGTGTGATAGTAAATAGCCTACTTATAGTTCTGAATCTGAACCTGTACGTCGAAAGAGCCTGTTACAGCATGTACGCGACAGGGGAGTGAGTGCATGAGGTTCTTGATAGAGCTGATTTAAAGCTCTCTTTTTATGGAGCGCGCACTATACTATCATCCATTCGGTAAGAATGAGTGTCTATAAAGTTTAGTATTACATGCCACTGTTTTAAAATATTTGGAATTGTTTGTTACATGATTTTCTACTATATTTTTTACTACAAAGTCAGAATTTGGTTTGGCTTTAATTCGGCGTTTGGGTTTGAAGAAAAAAGTGAGACGCCAGACGGATCATCTTCCGTCTGTCTTGTAGTGATGGTAGGTCTACTGTCTGAACCGTGGTAAATTATAAACGGATTTCTTTGATTATGAACAAACTACTCTACTGTGTTTATTATCAACTTACCTGTGTGTTTGAAATTACCTCCGGTTATATAAAATCCATTGTACAACTATATATCCAAGCGAATAAAAAAGTTCTCTCTTGTAAAATTGAACTCATCACCGAGAAATACCAAAATGGAAGCTAATTACGTCACTTATCGGGATAGATCATTTCGTATAAGGGGGTCAAAGCAAGGCTTGCCTATCGTAACGGTGTGTGGCTCTTTTACGGCAATTCAAATTTTGTGTATGAATAAGCTATTGCTCTCAGACCCAGTAATGAGTTTGGGCGTTTACAAACATAAATACGCCCGTAGTCCGGTATTTTGTTTCCGTCTTGTATTAATTATTTGGTTTTAGAGAGTTCGGTGGGATTATTTCTTTTGAACTGCATTTGTTTTACTGACCTTGAATCTCACCCTTGAATATTTTTAATATTTCCTGATGAACTTTAGCAGTCTTGTCAATTAACCTCAGCAATCTGCTGTAGCTGAGGTAAATGCCGATGTATATTACATTTGCCACGGCAAAATTAATAGCCGAGGCCATTGAATCATTGAATAGGTTTATTTTTATATAAATACTAATACCAAAAACTATTATCAACAATTAATCATACCGCACATCGCTTTAATTATCGGCAGAAAGTTCCATGTCTTTCTATTTCTCTCTAAATATTATTTCCGGTGTGCACAAACTGTTCAGAATTTTATAATCGTGCTTGATCGGTAACACAATTATTTTGTAAATTCCAGGCTTCGTTTTGAAATTCACAAGGCAATGTATCCATACGATTATATACAGGGGTGATAAACAATATTATATTTACGAGTATTCGCATAATCGGTGATATAAAAATTTAGTAGACTGACAATCAATTGTTTCCAAATCAATGTCTATCTTCAGTTGCTATTTTGTTGCCCAAACTCAAACGGTCGAAAAGGTTGTACGCTGTTTTGATTACAACACACGTGATTGTCAAGATTTGTCAACCTGTACCCCCTTCAACATATTATGATGGTTTAGCTCATCACGTAACATGTGTAATGTTGTGATGGACACTGTAGAAAATACAAGCAAAAACATTGACTTTTCAAGAGAGAACTTTTGTTTTGGTTGGGATATTTAATTGTGCAGTGGATTTTATTCAACCGGAGGTGATTTCAAACACATAGGCAAGTTTTTAATAACAATTATACAGTAGTTTGTTCAAAACGAAGAAATCCGTTTATAATTTACCATGTGGTAACCACCATGGTTCAGACAGTAAGTCCTTCAACATCCTTGTGACTACAGATTACAGAACTAATAGACAAATAGTACCGTAATACTATAACAGGCTACCCTGACTTAAATGTCTGAAACAATAAAGCCTAATCTGAGGAAAAAAAATCTGATACTTCCTAATCCTTGGACCTTGCCCGTTTGTGCTGTTTGTCAACACAACACTCAACAGGGAAAGCACGTGTTTACAATTACAAACAATGTTCTTTCACTTATAATAGTACGTTACATGCCCGCACAATATGACCTTAATTTATCTTAGAAAAAAAATGCATTTCGAATATTGTGATGTAGAATTATCAAACGATGCGGTCCGATGACCTGTACATTTTTCCAGTTATTCGTACGTACAGATAAGACTATCAATTATTTCAGAATACTGCCGCCACTTTTTTTTTCTTTTTCCTCCAGTCTCTCGTTGGTGAACGGAAACAGACATAGCCTCGTTCAACAAGGACGCGAATACGCGAATGTATGGAACCCCGTAACCGCCTGACTTGATTAGATCAATTGCATTATTCTACCTTGGCATTAAATTTTATGCGCAATTCGTTTTATTTAGATGAAACGGCTACTTTGCTGAAAAAATCAAAATTCGGACAATCAAAAAGATCGATATAGTAATTGAAAACATATTCAGCCTAACTTGTCAATAATTATTAATAATTCTATTATAGAAAATGTCTCAAACTTCGAACTACTAGGCGTCATCATGGATAACCATCTTCAGTGGAATGAACATGTAAAATATGTTTCATAAATCATTAACCAAAGATTATTTCAATTTCGCAAATTAAAGCAACTTCTATCTATTAAATTTCGGTCTATACAACCCTATTTTGATTACTGTTCACCTGGGACAGCTCTGATAAACATTTTTGAGACTTACTTCAACACCAGCAAAATTCAGCTCTTAAACTTATTCTTGATGTTCGATGTACTGCCGAAATTTCTCATGCAGCCAATAATAACAATATCAATGTTTTGAATGTGGAAAACAGGCATGGGCGCAGATCCCGGTGGGGACACCCGACCGGGACGCGTCCCCACCAATATTTTTAGTGGAGGGGACATGATATACTGTGCCCCCCACCACTTATTTCCGATGTTTTGCTTACTGTTTATTTTTTGAAACTGAAATCATTCCAGAGCTTTTATTGACAGTTCAGAAAGTGTAGAGTTGGTCCCAGGCACTTGATAGACCAAGAGCCCAGGGGGCCAACCTAGCTGAAAAGTGTACCAATTTTTTCCTATGTTATCAATGCATGTATATCTGGTATCATTAGAATGTAAGTCTGTCGGTGGTGGGTGTGGTATTCCACGCCCAAAATGCCATGCACCCCAACTAGGCTAGATTAGCTCAAATGTGTACCACATGAAAATCGTACAGCAGTATACCGTACATCTTCAGGTGTTACAAAAACACTCTAACAGACATTTCTAGTGGTGGGTTACCCCTGACAGAGCTATGCACATATCTTTGTTACAGCCATGTAATTGAAGACCATATTATTAGCCCCATTTTAGGGCGTGGTCGGGCAGACTTTAGAGCGATTTGACTTGGAGAAAGCCCCCAAAACGTCCGGTTAGACTTTTGTAAATTATATTTTCCATAAAGTGCACATAAGGTCACCAGACGCAATTTCTATACTTTTAGCCAGTGGTTACTCTATGCACTTTACGTCCAGTTCACACCAATCTGATTAAAATTAAATCAGCCATCTGAACCCAAAGTCGCAAATATAGACCTACTGTGAAAAAAGATTTGGCCAATTATCGAAAACACTCTTAATCCTCGCAGACGCCAGTGACGTCACAATGACCGAATGCATATTCGGAATGTTTATTCCTTAATTACAGCCGGGGTGTGTATTCATTAACGCCTGGTTGATTCCTTAATCCTCTAATTAAATAAAACAATTGACTACGGAATGATTTGTTTTGTAATTTAAGATCCAATTTAGAATTTGTTTTATAATACCATAATAAAGACAGTCGCTGTAGCCATATTCCATGTGTCCCTTTGATCAGAATAATTTGGGGTAAGTCAACAGTAAACCTGTACAATAATTCTCGTTCTATGAAGACAACAAGATGGGTGTAAAATTGTTATCGACAGCGTTACGAACATCTATGAAGTCAAGAGATAATTAATTGTCAACTTTACGAAACGAAATGGTTTCGTGGTGGTACTTCTGGATGTGATAATTAATTGTCGGCTTTTACGAAACGAAATGGTTTCGTGGTGGCTCTTCTGGATGTGATTGACAAAGCAACTGCGTCGAATCGTCTTCATCTCTGGTCGCAGCACACCAACAGAGATGGTTTGTTATACATGGAATCCAGAGATTGATGCTGCCACAGTGATTTTCTTTTCAAAGTGCCATCAATTTTGTTTTCAAACCTGGAAGAAACAATAATAATTAGGAGGGCTGGCGGGATTAAGAACGCTGAATAGGTAATTATCTTTTGTTTGTCGGCCAGATCAAAGATATAGGTTCACACAAACCTTGTAATAGTCTTTTTCCGACTTTGCAACGTGATAAATACGAATTAAGTTATACCTGGAATAATTGTACATCAAATACAAACTAAGCGTTGTGGCCAGGTGTATCGGTCCTACCGCCTCCTCTCACCGTTATACCCTTCTCATTTAATCTGACATCGGCAATGTAATCGACTTGGAATTCTTTCCATTCTAAATTAATAGCTGAGTGTAATATAGTTCGTTGGTGATTTATGTTGGTTGCAACATAGGGTATGTTCATGATCGGTAATGTCTTTACTTAAATTTGGACGGAAGAGAATCCACGACACATTATTTACCTTTTTTTGCTGGAAATGCCACTACTCTCAACAACACTAAGATAATGTGTCATTTTAAAATTCACTCTAACATATTCTAGTCACAAGTATGTAATCTAGGCCCTATTACAATTCAAGACAAGAAAGGTTAGCTCTTAAAAATGCTTTGAATTGTAGTGATTAGTAGCTTACACGTAGGTAATCATAAACGGGTAATGATTAGGTCAGTAAGCATGTTAATTGAACCGTCAATACACACTAGTCGACTGGTGGTGTGTATGGACGGTGATAAGACCTTAATAGTGTATATTGTATGCGTGGTCCCTGAGATGTCACCGGCCAATCAGCCGGATTAAGACTGTAATTGAAAAATTGAAAAACGTTTTCGGGTGTCCGATACTAAAACGCTGATATGTCGAATCATTTTAATCAGAATGTTGTGAGGTGGCCGTAAAGTGTATATAGTGACCACTGGCTATAAATACAGAAAATTTCGTTTTGTGACCTTATGTGCACTTTAGGTTCCGGTCATGTAACTGATGACCATATTATTAGCCCCGTGAGGAGATATTGGGTGTGGTCTGACTTGGGGAAAGCCCCGGAAATTTTAGTTAGATTTGTGGGATATTTATTCCAGCTATGGATACCTTTCCTCTAGACAGCTTCAACCATGCAACTTATAACCTTTTTGTTTTATTTTTTTAAAACAATATTTTATTCACAGGATACCGAAACAAGCCAAAGGCTTATATAAATCGGCTTACCAAAAGCAAGATACATAAATTATATATTATAATTACCAATATATAGTAAGCAGCAAAAGAAACGTCAGGTTTGTATTTTACTCTGAATAGACGCATTGCATAAAACTTGTCAAAATTTGTTTTTATTGTATATTTGTGACCACATCTCCATCTTTACCTGAGCAATAAGGCTCCTCCCCAAATACAGAATTGAACACAGGAAATGTTCCCCAAAACGCAACCTGACCTCTGAGATGGTAATGTTTTCTCCATGATTTTCATGTAACTCATGCTGCGCGTGCTGTTCACCGCGACCAGCCCTATAAAATGCACCCCCCATAGTTGAATCATTCACATTACAACGTCAGCAGCATGCCACGCCTCACGAAAGCTCAGAGGAACCAGGCGCTTGGAAGACTCGACGCTCGCCACACTGCCCGAGCCGCTACCAGTCACTTTCAAGTCAATGTTCGGACCATCTGCAGATTTCAGCAACGCTTTCGGGCCACCAACACGGCGGATGATCGCCCCCGAACTGGTAGACCAAGGGTTACCATGAGGCGACAAGACCGCCATGTTGTGCGACAGCAGGTGCAGAATCCCTTCACACAGGCATCCGAGACAGCACAGTGGGAACTGCTCATATTACAACACCCCTCGCCATCGACGTGAACGTCTACAGTTTGTCCAACAACACCAGAACTGGCGACACAGGCAATGGGAGAACTGATCTGTTCACAGATGAGAGTCGGTATTGCGTATCAACTGCAGATGACAGGACCAGAATATGGCGTCGACGAGGCCAGTGCTATTCTGACCAATGTGCCATGGAACGAGACTAATGGGGAGGTCCAAGCATAATGGTTTGGGTGGAATCGGCCTGAACAAGAGAGTGGGTTCTGTGGTGTTCCATAATCATGGTCCAGAGAGAGGACTTGGCACCACAGCAGTGCGCTACATCGATCAAACTCCCAGATACTGATGTATAGTACAGTCTCTAAACCTTCTCGTAATGTCTCGGAATTGTGATAAATTAATCACTAATGTGTCAACATACTGTTCACAAAGAATTGCTTTTATCTATTTTGTAAGTGGTTTTCTAAAATGATTTGATTAAAGTGTCTTTCTGATTTTGAAATCGTACTGACGTTTTTTTTTGCTGTTTAGTATATATCGAGTATTAAAATACTTATATTACAGAAAGAATATAATCAAGTTTTAGCTAGCATCAGGACCAAGAAGGGGTCGATACTCGACTGCTGAGTTTTAATTCGTTATCTCAAAATCGTGGGCGGCTATTATAACGTGTAACCGACGTTGGTGGGCGGGGCGGGGCGGGGCGGAGATCCATTTTACAAAGGACTTCAATAAGACTGTGTAACATCCACAATGAAACTATTCGACAGGGTGCAGTTATTTGAGTTGATAATTATTAAGTATTAAATTTCAAAGCGCTTGGATAATTTAATAAAATCATGAACAGCACATAAAATATTTTCATTAGTTGATTGGTCTGAACTCAAAGTCACCATATAGTAAGATGCGAATAGCTTGTTTATCGGGTGAGAGAGTTTTTATAGTTGTTTAACATTTTTTGGCCCCATGAGGGGTACTTTAAGGTTCTGCTTTGGCTATATGGTCCAGCAGTGCCCGATCTGACCAATTGATTTTTAATCGTATGGACACCTACTACAAATTGGGAGGGGGGGGTCAAACCTTTTGTAACATTAATGACCATATTATTTTGTCATTATAGCTCCTGGGCTATTACATTATAGACCACATATCATACAGTCACTCGTGCAATTCTTAACAGGTTGGGGGAGTTGGATGGCCGAATGGTTAGCACGCGCGCGCTGTATCATACGGTCTGTCATTGAGTCAACTGGCGGGGTTTCGATTTCCCGGTTGACGTGACAAGGAGTAGGGTCGCCTGTCCAACCTCGTGGGTTTTCTCCGGATCCTCCGGTTTCCTCCCACTGCTAAAGACCCCTACGCGCAAGCGAATTATTGAAATAAAACTGAACCATGTGTTAGTCCCGAAATGACCTAGTTTGTGTCGAGTTGGTCCTGCGCATATTTACCCTTGGCTTCGTTACTTATTTTTAAAAATATGATTTGACTGCATTGATTTTTCTGAAATTTGGAAGGAGAATTAATCGTGGGGTTATCCAAAAACATATCAAATAATGTTGGTTTGAAAAGTGAAAATATCGGAAACGCTTTATATAGCACTTTGGAACATTATTAAACATTGCTGTCTGAAAATCTATTTTTAAAAAATGACAGACATAAATTGTGATCTCTTGGATCAGCCCAGCCTCCGTTTCCAACTTGATCGCTCACTTTTCGCACAGGCGTTTTCTTGACAAGATAAACCATTTCTTGCGGATACATATATTGCTGATTTATATTTAAGAAGTTCTTTATATTCAACAAAACTTCATCCATAGAGCAAATATTTTCTCGGTGAAATCCGTGGCATTTACCAACGTGAAATATACGACTTATGATTGGTTTTAAAACTAGTAGTCCATTAAAACAAGTGTCTATCAGTTTTTGTAGACTCCAATCCCAGTTATAATCATCAAAAGTACAGAATATGTTTTTACAATTAGATATTTTTTGCCACAAGTCTCTATTAAAACCCATACCCCTTCCTATTCCCGTGTACCAATAACCGGACGTGAACATGTCACTATCATGCCGATATTCATTCTTAAATTCTTCATAATCACCCATTATCAGCATTTTATTTATGTCTAAGCCATGGATTATTTTATGTTGATTCATCATGCGCATTACACGCAGTATGTCAGGACCCAAATAATAATCATTGTCAATTCTAAGCACTAACCCTTTGAAGTGTTTTAACAGGCGAATATCATTAAAAACATAGTTGATTTTCCAAGTCCAGTGGTGCTTCATTTGTGAAAACTTTGCTTCTCTGTAATGGCCGTAAAGGTCTGGGTGATCTGCGTTGCTGCACCCCACTATTTTTGCCGTTTCTGGTCCAATATCACGAGGACAGTCGCTCATTGAATCTGCTGGGAATTGATTTTTCTTAATTTGTAGAGCATGGGGAAAGAAAATCTGCATGACAGAACAAAATTCGATGTCTTCAATGACGTCATTAATATTTGGTAAAAACAGATCATGGCTGAAAATAACCAAAGTATTTTCAATGTCCTTGACATTTCTCAAAGAATCAACTAATATTTTCAGTTCTTTTTCTCGGTCATGAACTTGCACTAAAATCACAATGCCCGAATCTGACAAATCCAGTGTATACTGTTGATTTCTTATGTACTGAAGCTTGTTAACTTCCCCAAAGATTTTATGTAAATGTTCTGTGTCATTTAAATCATATTTTACGCTGCTCCATTTTATATTTCTGGGTAAAAGACCACTCCACGTATCTTTTGATATAAAAGGATTATTGGCATTGATTGATAACTGTTTATAAAAGAATCCAACCGTGAAAATAGCCCATAATGTCGCCAGGGAAATAAGAAAGCGTCGAGTCGAAAACCTCACCATGTTACATAGTAGTTTATAAAATTTATGCTCATCTATTCTTGGAATCATTTCTGAAAAGATAAAAGGCAAATTTCAACCTTACATGCAAGATTTATGTTGGGTATTACGAATGATGTCGTATTAAAATGACACCACCCCTTTGTTGTAGGTCAAAAATAAAAGTTCTGTATCATTTGATTTTATATGATTTTATCTTTTGTATGTGCATATTTTCTCGCTTTGTGTGACCCCCTTTGTATATTTTAACAGCGGTGTCTGTGATTCTCCTAAAACGGCGAATTCCATTATTTCCCGCGTATTATTTTTATTCTGCTGTAATATTAGAACTACCGGGAAATTCACAACGAAATGAAGAAATGCCATGTGTTGCAAAGACGAGAAGCCGTATATATTAAATGTCATTTAAAGACATGTCTTTTATTCATGTAATTCATTAAATATTCGACAGGGTGCAGTTATTTGAGTTGATCATTATTAATTATTAAATTTCGCTAGTTGATTTATCTGAATTCGAGACACCATATAGTAAGATGTGAATATCTTGTTTATCGGATGGGAGAGTTTTTATAGTTGTGGTAACTATCTTCAATGTTATGGCCGCATCTATTATTTGATACATGCTTTAAGAATTTGTGAAAATTAAGATTACTTTTAGAACAGCGCAGTTGGCAGTGAATAATTTGTTCTTTCCTGCTACCATAGTAGAAAAGAAGTGGTACTATCGGGTCTGAGGATGATAATTTACTTTTGAAGCTTTGAAGTATCGGTGAGGCCTTAATGTGATCTGATAAGTTATTCCAATATCTGATCACAGAAGGCAAGAACGAATTACTATAATGAGTACAATTACATTGTATAGTACGATACGGATTAATATTGCGGGTTTTTGTGGGTACATGTATACTTAAATATTGGGGAACGAGCTTATTGATCATTTTGTAAAACACAAGTAATTTGTGTCTGTATCGCCTAGTTTCTTATGAGGTGAAGCCTGATTCCGCGTATAATTTGTCATGTTTCGTTGTGAATTTCCCAGTAGTTCTAATTTTACAGCAGAATAATAAAAAAAAAAATACGCGGGAAATAATGGAATCCCGATCATCAAGCGTATTATCTCTTTTATTTTATTTTTTTTTGGCGTTCGACATTCGCCGTTACACGAGAAATTTTGCCCGGACAGCGGCACTACGGCCTACTCTTATATCGAATTTCAACTGTCAAGGGATCTTTTACGTGCACGCCAATATGTACGCGGGACCTCGGTTTTTCGTCCCATCCGAACGACTAGACGGCTATCCTTGTCAGGTCCTCCGACCTGTATCACTGACAAGGGGGAACCACGCCGGAAAATCTGGATGGACTTTCTCGGCCAATGCAGGGATCAAACACCCGACCTCCAGACTAGCGAGCCAGCGTCTTACCCACTTAGCCACGTGATCCCCCTAAAAGTCCTATAGAAAAAGTATAGATTCCTATATAATTTTTTTGGATTCTATAGAAAACTATATAGAAAACGAAATCATTCTGTACGTTTTTTCACATGACTTTAGATTTAAAACAAATTACTGTAGTTTTGTATTGGATCGGTAGATGAGTTTTCTGCAAGTGTAGTTTCCTATAGAATTGTGTAGAATAATGTACTAAACTATATAAAAAAAACTGTACAGATTCATTAGTGCTATGTAATCCTATGGTCCTTGCGACCATATTGTATCTTTAACTAATTGTTTCTATAAAGTCAAGTCACAGGTACTTAAATGAATTTGGGTGATATATCTATATATAAAAAAACAGCGATATTTTGGTGAAATCCTTACCATTGTCAAAATATCCATCAAATACACTGAAAAAACTCTTGTGTTGGATCTCAACACAAGGACTTGCGTTAAAATTATTCTACACAAGCTTCTTTTGTTTTACATTGCACACAAGTTTGTGTTCTTCTCAATGTCTTACCACAAACTTGTGTAGATTTATAAAATCTTGTGTGTGTGTTGTTTTTTTTTCAAATAATTAATTACGTCGAATTTTAAGACAACATTTATTAGGTTACTTTATTATCTGTAATAATATGATTTTTTTTATTGAGAAAATCTGAATGGGATTGGGGAACTGGCTTAGGGATCTGGCTTAGCCTATATGTAAAACCCCTCTTCCTGAATTTGAATGTTGAGGAATTCATTCCAATGTTAACTTGATTTCTATACTATTTGTAATTCTCTACTACCTTATATTAATTATTACAAACGTTAAGTAGAGATCGCCATGTTACTTATCATATTTACAGAAAATATAAATACACTCATTTCTGGATAAAAATATATATCAATGTTATAACAGTATACTGATATAAAGAAATCGAAGTTTTAGCCAATTATTATCTAATTATAAACTATTTATTTAATTAGACATAATAAAATAATATTCTGATTATATCCTTTGTTTATTCTTGTCTTAAAAATAGAAAGAGACAGGTTATTACAATGTCTGCATTTGGAAGTGTCTGATGATTCAGTTGTTGATAATGTTTTTGATATTATTATTGTCATAGAAATAAGTAGCCAGCAAGAGGAAGTTTTTATTTGTGCGTGTTATTTTCCACCATATAATAGTATATTTTATAATAAATATGATATTGATTTATTTATCTGTCTAAAAGACATTATTAATAAGTATATCGATACAGGTATTATCCTATAGACTGCGGTGACTTTAACGCTATAGCACTGTAAAAAATATCCATTTTTTATGTGGCCGAATTCCGTAATTTAACACCTTTTTTCTGTTAATAGATGGATTTTTTGGAGAAATTGTGTTAATAGTGTGAATTATTTCTTCAAATTACGTGTTTTATGTATTTCTGTGGAATATTCAGTATCAAACAGGAAATTTCCGTGAAATTTAGGGATAAAATGTTTTATTCCCTTCTATAATGGACTTAATTCTGTTATTTTACGGAATAAACGGTGGAATGACAAGGAAGTTCCTTGCAATTTAGCTATAAAATGTTCAGGTTGTAATATCTGGTAATCAAACACGCTTAAATCCGGATAGTACAACCGGTTAGCCAGTGTAGGTCCGTTTGTCTCTATGGCAGAGTATACATACCTGCGAATTGATAATACCGCAAACTTACATCTGAAAGCCTCCAACCAATGACGAGTAGCGGTTTGTGATACCTTGCTCTCGATTCTTATATAAGCCAAAAGAGGGTTACGTTTAGAGATTATCTGCGGTATCACTTCGGTGGAAGCGGACGTTAAATAAAGCTATTTCACGCACGCGTATAAAGTCAATGGTTAATTCAATGAAATATTTATCACCTTCATCGTCAGGAAACAAAATTTACCAGGATTTTTTTTCTGTATTTGAAAATGGAATTTATGTTAATTTAGGGAATTTCTGTAAATTACAGGAAAAACAAATACGGATAAAATTTTCTTGGTATTTTTTGTTTCCGGAATTTTTTACGTTTTTTCACGGAAATTTTTTGTTACAGTGGGAACAGCTAAGTTGGAGGATTTTATCAGTGAAAATGGAGTAAGTATTGATGTTACAAATAAATTGACAGACTTGTACCAGTATATTCCAGTTACACCAATGATCTTACGGTTATAAATGAATTTGGACGAAAATTAATTAACTTCTGTAAAATACAGGTTTAAGAATTTTAAGTGGTAGAATAAATAACGATATAGATGGAAATTTTACATTTAACAGCAGTAAAGGCTCCAGGCTAATAGATTAACTATTAATGAATCATAAGTATTTTAATGTTATTAACGATTTTACATAATGTTGTGATTTCAATGAATACTCAGATCATAGCCCAATTATGTATAGTTTTATACACGCATGTTCTGTTAATACACTTGGTTCAGATATCAGTAAAAGAAAAATTAGAAGACGGATCTTGGATAGTTTCTCGCGAACACTTTCTAATCTAATGCTAAAGTATACTAAACAAATTGTAATCACTAGAGGTAAACAGAAGCGAGTAAAAATAGACAAACCATGGTTCAATGATTCTTGTTGGAAAAGATACAGAGACTACAAATCAGCCCTGCAGACGTTTTACTTGGATTTTAATGTGAACTATTGTTTTGTAAAACATATATACTATGTATTTGGTAATAAACAATTACAATTACTCCTTAATCGATCAAAGGGATATTACAAAAAATTGAAAGGACGGTTAAAACATGATTATAAAAACCACCAGGGCAACTTAGTACAACTTGTTAATAAAACAAACCCGAAGCTATTTTACAAGCTGTTCAAAAAACACAAATCCGTTACTGCAACATTAGAGATTGACGATTTCCATAAACATTTTAAATATTTAATTTTGTGAAACCGTATTAGACACTGTCATAACAGAGAGTAAAATTGGAGAATGTATACAAAAACTTAAGCTAAATAAGGCGTCATCTTAAAGGCGTTCTGATGCCCTGGGCCCTCATTCACAAAAACTTAAACTAAGTTACAACCGAAATTTTAAGAAATACTGCAACTTCATTGGATATATGCAAATTGATTTTACTGGTCAGCCAATCGAATTGCAGTATTTCTTAAAATTTCGATTGTATCTTAGTTTAAGTTTTCGTGAATAAGGGCCCTGCTTGGTGGAAAATGTTTAATAATGTTCTCAATTCGGGAGGCTTTCCTTCAACGTGGGCTATAGGAAACTTGGTGCAAGTCTACATGAAAGGGGACGCTAATGATCCAAATAACTATAGGGGAATATCTATTGTCTTGTGTCTAGGAAAACTGTTTACTTCTATCCTGAATAATAGACTACTAAAATTTAACAAAAAATATAACATAAAACCATCGAGTCAGTTTGGATCCGAAAACATGTAAGTAGGTAGATGCAATTTTTGTTCTCCAAGCACTTATTAATCGAACCCTAAAACAGAAAAAAACGTCCATACTGCTGCTTCGTGGATTACAGTAAGGCTTTCGATTTTGTTAATAGATACAACTTATGGCATAAGCTTATACAACAAGGAATAGGGGGTAAGTTTCTTAAGGTAGTTAGATCTCTATA